CGCGCGACCGCGGCGGTGTGGCAAACGGGCGGTCGCGGAACGTTGCGATGGGGCGGCGCGCCGCGACCGCGCGCAGGACGGGCGGAGGAGGGCGCGCGCGGACGCCGCTCGGCCGGCCCCTCGAGGACGATGGGTGCCCGCAGCGCTTGTGCGTTTTCCCTTTTCTCCGCGCACTCTTTCTTTGTGCTCGTCGCACAAATACCGCTTGATGCGGTGGGTTCACGGACGGCTCTCCTCGTCCGAAGCACAGATCTGTGTCGCGCGTCGCGCACACCGCGTGTTGGCGGACGTTTGTTTGTTTGCTTTATTCCCGTTTTACGCCCTCAAGGGCCGAGCCCTACGGTAAGCCGTACACACAAGAAATCCATCATCGTAAGAGGTCTGTCGCATTCAGGCGGACGTCGCGGTGGGCCCAGCCGGGCGTGTCGTTTCTTCTTTTCTCTTTCGCTCGCCGACGAGCATTCCGAACGGGCGGCATGTACATCGATCGCCGTGCTGTCCACGTCTGCCTTCGCCGATCCCGCCGCGTATGCGTACAGCTGCATTCGTTCGACCTCTACCAGCATCGACGCACCGGAACGTCGAGCACGGCGCGCCACTCGAAAAGCGCCGCTGTGAGCGTGGCAGCGACAACGCCCACCCACGGAGTCACTCCCGTGCGGAGCCCGGCTCCCCGGCTCTGCGTGTCCCTAGCCCTACTATACATCGTGCGACGAAAGGGAGGAAGCCCGCCGCGCGGGGTGCAGAGGAACACCCCGGTCGAAGCTCGCGCCCGGATCGGGAACAAGGGGCACACCCATGCAGGCCTGGGCAGCGGACGCCGGGCGTTGAGTACGGCGGCAAGTGTGCACCCGCGGCGCGCGGGTGCAGTTCGCGCGTCGTCGCTCCCACGCGCCCTCGGTCACGAACTTGGGAAGCCGGGCGCCCCCCGGCGGCGGCGGCGGCGCGGTGGGGAGAGCTGCGGGAGCTGTGGGCGCCGCGTGCGGGCGCGACGCGATGAGGGAGGGTGAAAGGCGCACGTGCTTGCACTGACCGTGCCGTGCGAGTCGGTCCGCTGGGGCTTTGGCGTTGGGTTCCTGGATTCGAAATCGATGCTCGCGCGTCGGATCATCTGCATTCCGGGGTCGGAAGTCGTGCTGGTGTGAGCAGCTGTTCCTAGGGAGGATCGATGTAGTGGACAGTACTTACCTGGTGGATGGAAGATCGAGCGAAGGAACGACAGGACGGCACCCGCAGAGGGAGGGAGAACGCCATGGCCCATGGACCGCAGATCGCAGATCGCAAGCCTGGAAGCTGGAGCTCTGGAGCCTGGACCGCGTCAGGTCGAGTTCGAATGCGCGCGAGTGCGATGATGGTGCACGAGTATATGCGATGCTATGATCCGGGAAGGGGGGAGCACCCTTCTTACAGTGCTAGTAGCTGCCCTCGTCTCGCAGCAGTCTGATCCCGCGACGCTGCGTCGGTGGTCTAGACTTGCAGTGAAGCCATTCGAAGCATGACGCGAAAACGAGGGTACGTGCCGCCGCCGTCTCTTTGGTGTGACGCCCGCCCTGTCCCTACTACTTGGCTCATTCGCGAATGGGATGGGCTCGAGGCCCGCAGCCTGCCGATATTTGTGCGGGCATACACGGATCCTAAAGCGACGTCGATGCCGCCGAAACTAGCCGCCTGGCCGCCTGCGGCACGAGAGGGAGCGGCTGGGGTGACCAGTCGATGGTCGACGCGCGCGCATGACCCGCTCGGCACCCCGGTCCGAGTGCGCGAGCCCTGAGCAGCCCGGCGTGCGCGCGTCGCCGGAGGGCGGAGATGGACATCTGTCGCACCAGACTTCAGATCTTCAGAGCTGAGAGGGAGCCATCTGCGCAGGCGGATCCGGGGCTCTATTTTTTCTGGACAGATTTCGTGCTGAAGTGTGCGCATGTCGCGCTCGCGCGCCACGTCCCGGTCGTCAGCTGCAGCTCTGCTGTCCGCATCCGTGCCCATGTCGGCGGGCCCGGCGCTGGTGTGTGCGCACAGATCAGAACGCCGCAACGTCGAGACGCAAGACGCAAGACGCACGCACGGCGCGGGCGGCACGGGCGTAACGGGACGCGCGAGGAGGCAGCGGGGGGGGGCCCTACGGCCGGACCCTGCTCTCCCAATCCATGTCGGATTCGCGCCTGGCCGCTCGCGGGTTCCAACTCCGCGACGGCCTGCATCCGGGAGCGCCGTGGGGTCCCGCCGATGATCGAATAGGCAGCCGCGATACCAAACGCCCCCCCACACACTGCACGCCGCGCGCCTCCGTGCCCTCTCGGCCGCCGTGGGTGGGGATAGGGGGGCGTGCGGGGTGCTCGGAGAGTTGAAGGCGCGCTCGCGGGCCCGGTGTTAGAAGTCGGCGGCTCGGACGGGGTCGGACGAGGAATAAGATGCAATCGATACGACGCGGTTGGTCCCTATGGGCACCGGGAGGCGAGTACAGACGGACGCGGGGGAGAACGAGGTGGTGGGGAAGGGCAAACGCGTGAGGCGAGTGCGGGACGAGGGGCGGCGGCTATCTACGGGATGACTAAGCGCTGGTACCGTACGACCGAGCTTGCTAAGTATGCGGGCAGATTCCAACAGGCCCCCACAAGCGAGGGCGTATAACGAGCACAAATCGAGGGGAAGACGGTGGTACAAAATGCGAAGGGTCGAGGACGAGGGATCGAGGACGATGGGTCGAGTACGAAGGGTCGGGTACGAAGGATCGAGGGGGACGCTGAATCGGTTACGCTGGTTTGAGGACGATGGATCGGTTTACGCTGGTTCGAGTACGATGGGTCGGTTACGCTGGATCGGATACGATGGATCGGGGTTTACGCTGGATCGAGGAGAGACAGGGGCATAGAATCGAATAAACAAAATCAACGTGACGAGGATCGGGGACAGGGGATCAAGACGATGATGCGGGCGACCAGCTACAACCTCAAGAGAGCAAGCGAATCACGATGTCGAGCACGCCAATGACGGCCGGCTAAAGTAACCACAACATGCCGACAGGGGAGCACGGAGGCGAGAAGGGGGAACGAGAAAATGCGCGAGGGGAACGAGAATCGAAACGTACGAATGTCCCATGAAACCTAGTAAGAGAACGCCACAACGGGGCTCTCCGAACCACTCCGGGACGACGGGTACGATGGGCCGAGTGCCATGGCGAAGGCGGCGCGCTCCTTGAAGGGGATGAGCGGATGCGGGCAGTCCTGCTGGTAGTGGCCCTTGTTCTTGCAGTTGTAACAGGTGATCTCCGAGAGCGGGACTTGACCACGAGGAGTACCGGTGGGAGCAGGAGCAGGGGCGGTGGCAGCGGCACGAGCAGCGGGGACGAACGTGCGAGCAGTGGGGGTGAACATGCGGGCGGCAGCAGCAACGGCGGAGGACGGCAAGGGTGAGGATGCCTCCGATGGGGCCTTGCGTGATTCCTCATTGACGAGGCGGATAATGACGTAGTCGAGGGTGAGAGACGCGGAGGGGGTCGAGTCGAGGGCGACGACAAGACTGTCGTACTCTTCGGGAAGGCCCTTCGTCAGGACGATGATGATGTCTTCATCCGGGACGTTCGCTCCGCTTGCGTTGAGATTGAATGCGGCTCTGCGGACGCTGGAGATCCACGTGTTCATGGCCTGGTCAGGCTGCTTCGACATGTTGAAGAACTCGCGGCGACGAGCGAGGCGGGTGCCGAATCCGTGAGCGCGATGGACAGCTTCGAGGCGAGTCCAGATGTCGGCCGAGGTCGTTGCACCTTGGACGTGGCCGATCTGCGAGGGGGAGAGCATGAGGTTAATCTCGGATCGAGCCTGCATGTCTTTCTTGTCCCAGGACTTGACGGCGACGTGCGCAGGGGCGAACGGAGGACGCGAGAGGGCACCGGACGCAACTTCGAAGACGCCTTGACGCGTGAGGTGAGCTTCCATGTAGAAGCGCCATTCGGGGTAGTTGTTGTCTTCGAGGCGGGAGAAGTGCGGGGCCATGGTGGAGATGGAGGGGCGATTCTTGCGATAGGAGGTGTGGGGGTCGAAGATCGGCGGGGAGAAAGCGGGATCGGAGGGTCGCGAACGGGTCGGAAGTCGAAAGGGTGATCGCGGGTCGGAGGGGGCTTCGGATCGTCGAGATCGGAGGGCGCGGACAACGAGTAGGCCGGGCGCGGGCGCGGAATGACCTCCGGGCAAGGGTACGCGTTTGTGTTAGAAGTCGGCGGCTCGGACGGGGTCGGACGAGGAATAAGATGCAATCGATACGACGCGGTTGGTCCCTATGGGCACCGGGAGGCGAGTACAGACGGACGCGGGGGAGAACGAGGTGGTGGGGAAGGGCAAACGCGTGAGGCGAGTGCGGGACGAGGGGCGGCGGCTATCTACGGGATGACTAAGCGCTGGTACCGTACGACCGAGCTTGCTAAGTATGCGGGCAGATTCCAACACCCGGGTCAGGTGCGCGGACGGGTTAACGTTGCCTGGGGGGCGCAGCGCAGCGCATGGAAGTTCGGTCCGGCGTCCAGAATCCAGATGGGACGCGGGACCCCAGACTTGGGATCTCCGGCGTCAGGCCTTCAGGCTTGCGCTGGAACACCGGGCGTGGTCGCAGATAGATGGATGTCGGTCAATGGATCGGGAAGACGGCATGTGGGATATCACCTGTTTGCGCATCCGAGGACGGATGCTTGGTGTGGTGCCTCGAGGATGGTGGTGGTTGCGAGGCAGCTGGGGTCGGTACGACGTTCCGAACCCGCAGCTGCGCGGCGACCCCCAAGGTCCGCGGTAAATCACAGGAGTGCGAGCGTGCGGGAGAGAAGGAAGAACGGTCCGAACGTGGAGACCGGCGCACGAGCAGCTCGCCGGAGGGAAAGAGCAGCGCGAGCCGTCGGCCGGAGCATCCGAGGCGACGTCTGGGAACGTCCGCAGAGAAGGGGGGACGTCATAGGGGGCAGCGGTGGGCGAGCGTGCGTGGGCGAGTTTGCGTTTGGCTGTCCGGAGTTGCACAGGATGAGCGCACGCGCGCCCCCTGGCACCGCCCAATCCGGCACTCGGCGCCTGCACTCGGCCACACCGTGGGTGCGCACGGCGGGCAAACTGACAACCGCGACCTCGTTGCACGGCGCACGCCGCTCTCTGCCTTCCCTTGCCTCGAGGTGCGGCCGTGACTGGCCCCTGCCGAGAGCCACAGGGTCATGTGCCCCAACCGCCATCGATCTCGACGGTTTCTTGCAAACTGAGCTCGGTGGAGGAACAGGGCTGTGTGCTCGCCAGGTGCGTTCCACTCCGGCTCTCCTTCATCCGGCGGGACATCTGTACTTTTCCAGCAGCGGGTGCGGAAAAGACGGCGCGACAGGCTCGTGCGTATCGATGCTGGCATGTGCCGTCGCCGTGCTGCGCTTCATTTGGCGAATAGGCCTTCCCACTCGTCTGCTTCCGCGGCCGTGCGGGAGACGTTGCAGTCGATCAGGCCACGAGCTCGCACTCCCGCTGGCGCAGCCTGCACACATCCTCCGGCACGTGTCCGGAGCGCGGTGGGCAGCGGACGGGCAGGCCGGTTGGGCGTCCTTTCCTGGGAAGCGTCCCGTCTTCGGCGCGGAGCTTCGCGGCCCTCACAAGTTGCCTAGCTGAGAATAAAGGCAGCGAACCGTCCGTCCGCCCACGCCCTCCCTCCTGCCTGCCCGTGCCCGTGCCCGTGCACCTGACGCCTTGTCGACTTGCTCCCGTGCGCCTGCCGCCCGCGACGCCTGCCCTCTCCCCATCTGCATCAACTCCCGCCTAGCGGCCTACGCTCTCCATTCCAGCCATCGCCTCCGCCCGCCACTCCCAATCCGATGTCTCCGTACGACCGCGAGATCGTCTTTGACGACGACGGTGCGTCTCCCTTGCCTTATCCGGCGCCCTCTCCCCGCCGCTCACCCACCGCCCTCCCAGACGGCATGCCGCCCCTCGTCGACGGCCCTCCCCCACTCCTCGACTTCGGCCCTCCCCCGCTCCTCGACGGGCCCCCGCCCGGCCTGCTCGACGGCCCCCCGCCGCTCCTCGACCTCCCCCCGCTCGCGCCGATCCGGTTCATGTTCGCGCCCGAGTCGGACATGCCGCCGCTCGTAGACGGCCCCCCGCCGCTCCTCGACGCCCCTCCGTACGACGCCGAGGAGGAGGAGGAGGACGCGGCCCCGCGCGCGCCGTCGTCGCACGCCAAGAAGCGCGACGCGTCGTACATCCCCCGCCCGCCGAACGCCTTCATCCTCTTCCGCTCCTCCTTCATCCGCGCCCAGCACATCCCCGGCCGGATCGAGGGCAGCCACAGCGCGCTCTCGAAGATCATCGGTGCGTCCGCCGTCTCCCCCTCCCCCTCTCCCTCTCCCCAGCCCACCCCCCGTCCTCGTCCCCGTCGACGCCGACGCCCACCGTGCGTGCCCGAGTGCGGAGGCGCGCGTGAGCATTGTCTCCGGCCCCCCACGCCGCGTGGCCGACGCGTTTTCCGCCCTCCCCCCGCGTGCGTCTTTTCGGTGTCGTCTGTGCTCACGCCACGCTTCTTCCTCCTCCCCCTTCCCCCTCCCCCGCCCCCCGCGTGCCCGGACGCCCGCAGGCAAGTGCTGGCGCGCGCTCCCGCGCGAGGAGCGCAAGGTGTGGGAGGCCAAGGCCGTCGCCGCGCTCGAGGCGCACCGGCGCAAGTACCCGGACTGGCGGTTCAAGCCCGCCGCGAACGCGCTCGCGCTCGCGAAGGTCAAGGACGGCCCGCGCCCGCGGAAGCGCGCGAACCGCAGCGGGCGCGGGCAGGCGGGCAAGGACCCCGGGGCGCGTCGAGGAAGGCGGCGAAGGGGGGCGCGGACGCGGAGGAGGCGGCGGAGAGGAAGAGCGGGACGGAGGAGCGGTGCGCGCGCATCGCGGACCTGATCGTGCAGGGCAAGACCGGGGAGGCGCTCACGCGCGCGGTGGAGGAGTACGACTTTGAGGTGAGGGGGACGCGCGGGCGGAAGGGCAAGGAGGGCGTAAGGACGCAAGGTGCGCCGCCGGAAGACAGGATGGACGTCGAGCGAGAGGACGTGAAGGCGCCCCCGGCTCCCCAGACCCCCGCCGCGGTCCCGAACTTCACGTTCCAGCACGAGCGCGAGGAGGTCAAGCCCCGAGGCGACGGCCCCAGCTCGGGCCTCGTCGCGCGCAACGAACGGGACACAGGCGCAGACGTCCGCTTCACCGTCCCGCTCACGGCGATGTTCAAGCGGTCCTCGTCCGCGCCCGCGCGAGGCCGCGGCCCGCCCCTCCTCTTCGCCGCCTTCCCCCGCCGCGAGTCGTTCAGCGCCGCGTCGTCTCCCGCCCTCCTGTACGCGCGCGCGGCCGTCGTCGACGTCCTCGCGAGTTCCGTCCCAACCCACGGTCAAGAGGCGTTTTCGCCCGCGCAGCCGTTCGCCCTGCGCCCCACCGACGTTCTCCAGGACCCCGGCGCAGACGGAGGCCGACACATCGTGAGTGCCCTCCGCCCGCTTCGCGCGCCCGCGCTCTCCGCTGACGCCCGCACCCGCCCCTGGCCTCGTCTCCGCCTCGTTCTCCGCCTTCTCCGCCCGCGCAAACGGCGCGAATTCGTATTTCACGCAGGCACCGTTCGCCCCCGCCGCGCACGCGCACACGCACGCGACGCCGCCGCTGCCCGCGTTCGAGCTCGACGGCGAGCTCTCGACCCCGGCGCCGTCGCCCGTCGCGACCCCGCACGCACACGCGCACGTCTGGCCCGCGCCCCTCGCCGACTTCGACTTTGACTTCGACGGCTTCGACGGCTTCGCCGACCTCGAGCACGAGAGCCCGACGCCCGCCCGCGCCGCCGCGTCGTCGTCCTCGTCGTCGTCCTCGACGTACTCCTCGCTCGAGAACTGGGCCGGGCGCCGCCCGCAGCCGCCGCTCCCCTTCCCCCTCCAACTCCAGCTCGGCGGCGGCGGGAGCGTGATGGAGAAGGCGTTCGACGCCGCCGCGTGGGGCGCGCGCGAGCCCTTCTTCCTCCACGGCGCCGGGCACGCGGGCGCGGACTGGGGCCACGGCGGCGGCGGCGGCGCGCGCGAGCCGCTGCTGTACTCGCCCGCCGCGGCGGCCGACTCGCCTGGGGGGTGGGGCGCGTGCCCGTTCTCCGCCGCGGACGGGTTCGAGCTGCAGCTGGCGGGCGTGGTCGAGCACGCGCCGAGGTCTTGCGTGGGGTGAACGTTTGAAGGTCACGGTGCGTGCATCGCGCGCGGCTCTCGTCCCGCCCCGACGAGGGCGCGCGTTGCTTTCGATTTTCTGGTTCGACCCATCCCTGCCTTGTCTCGTCTCATCTCGTCTCGTCCCCACTCCGTTTCCTCCTCGTTCCCAGCGTCCTGTTCCATAACGTGTTCCCGCACCCCAAAGCCCGATTTCTCCGTCTCCGCGGGCCATCGGTGACTTCTGTGTGGCCGGTGATTCAACTCACCGCGTCTGTACCTATATCCCCCGTTCGGTATCCTCTCTGTCCAAAAACAACGCCTTCTGCACCGACTCTCCTCCCCTCTCAATACACGCGCCCCGAGCTCGTTGCTACAATGTACGATAGTCCGCGTCCCGCCCGCCTCGTGTCCGTCTCTTCTCTCCTCTCCGTCCCGTGCCTTCTCTCCTACATAGACATTAAATGTGACCATTATGTACCTCCCCCTCTATGCGCCTTCTCGCCTCCCATGCCCCCGACCCTTTACGTATGCCCCCGCCCGCTCTTACCTATGCGCCCACCGCCCCGCCCGTCCCCTCGTCCGTCGCCGTTACCTCATACACGCGTCCGTGACGCGACGAGTACGCAGCCCCGTTATTGTCTCCGTGCGCGCGCGCGGGTCGCCGTTACGTCCGACCGCGGATCTGACGTCCCCGCACGATCCCAGCAACTGCCTGCAGGCTAGGGCCGGTGTTCTACCAGCTGTACAATATCCCATCCACCCCCGCCGGGCGTTATCGCTATCTTATCGCGCGCGCGGGCACCGATCAGATGACGCGAGGCGCGCGCTCCCGGGACGCGCGCGGAAGCAAATCCGAGTCGCACGGTTCGTTTTCGCGGCGCTGGCGTCTGCGTATCTCGTCTCGTCTTGCCATTATTCCGACGTCGCGGGCTGTTCTTTTCTTCTTCTTTCCTCTTCTCTCTGGACGTTCGCGTCGCGGGCAAGCGCGGGGGGCGCGTGGAGCGCACGGCGGAGCGCTAGGAGCCTCCCGCCCACGGGTCCGCCGCGGACGTGCGCCGTCAAACTCCAAGATCCGTGTACATATGCGTGTCCGGGTGAGTGCACCCGCGTTCTCCGCCGTGCTCGGGTTTGTTTTTTCTTGCCTGCGGGGCTTCTGCTTGGCTCCCTGCTGCACGTACGCGATGGGAAGGGCAAGCGTATCCGCACAGACGAGAATCTTTGGGGGTTCGGCGGTGCTTGGAGATCCCTCGCGCGGCGATGGGGGACGCCGCGCGCGGGATAGCCGGGCGCGCGACGATGGGTCCGTCAAGCGGACAAGAATCGAGGGTGGCGCGCCATCTGGCAGAAGAAAGACAGAAGCATGTACGGGCGGGGTGGCGCCCGAGGCACGCGTCGCGGGCGAGATCGTGCGTCTTCTTCCTCTCCCTCTTTCTCTTTCTTCTCTGTGCAGCTGGAGCACGCCTGAGGCGGTCGATTGACGCCGCCATCATAACCGTAATCCTCGTCTGCTCCGCGGCGTTCGGTGCGTCGTGCGCTTCTTCTCCCCTCAGCCACTGCGCAGAGCGTCAAAGCCAGTGCCAGAGGCGCTGGGCTGGTGCTCTGCGCCGACGGAGGACGAGGCGTCGGAGAGCCTGGGCTCAGAAGAAGGGTGGCACGGCCAGGGGCGTCCCGCGACGCGGCTTCTGCGATCCTCTCGACCTCGCTTTCCAATCCCTTACTCTCTGCAGTCCCCCTCGCTCGAGGGAGATCGTGAGCTTCGGCCCTCTTCTGTGACGCACCACCAGCGCATGGCGGTGTCGGGGCGAGAGGCCCGCCCCTCTTCTCCACCGCTGATGCGTATGTCCGGGGATCACGCCCTCCACACGGCGGACCGCCTTCTGGTCTGTGCCACCCATCCACCCATCCATCTGCCCATCCATCTGGGGCTCTGCGTGGCGGCGGTGGCGCCCTCTCTCTCTCGCCCTCGCCCTCGCCCTCGTCGCGCGGGCCCAGACTCCGGCCCGCCGCGCAGGATCTGCTTCCGCGCGCTCTCACGCCCGCGCACCCTCCCAATCGCGCAGGCCCGGCCCAGCACCCCCAAATCCGCCCGTCAGCTTCGAGCTACCGACCCGGCGGGAAGGGCGCGCACCCCCGGTCCGCCCTCGCCCCTCCCACCCCGCCGCGCCTCGACCGGTGGGCGTTCCCTCAGGCTGATCTCCTGAGCTCGAATATCCTCTCTTCTCTGTTCTGTTTTCTCTTTCTCGGGGCGCACCCACCGGGTGGCGTCGAGCGGAAATGAGCTGGGGCCCCGCCCGGAAGATGGGCCGCGCGGGCGCGCCGGAAATGAGACGGCGGCGGGCGGGGAGAGGCTCGAATTCCAGACGTTCATCTCCAGACGTCCGCCGTCGACGTGACTTGCCGGCCGCCTCGGCGGGTCGTCGGCAATCCCGGCTGCGCGCGCGGAGGCTTTCAACTTCGTGGGGGCCGCTCACCCTCTCTGCCTCCGCCTCGGGCCTTTACTCTGCGCTCAGGTTCGCGAGGGGGGAAGGGGCGCGCCCTCGGCGGCGATCAATCGTGCAGGCTGCGGCGCGCACACAAGCGTGTGCGCGGGGGCGAGCGTCCCGGGCGGGCAGCGAGGATACTGAACTCCGGCGGGATGATCGGGCGGCCATCTTTCTGGCAAGCGCGCTTCTATTCCGCGCAGCGCGGGAGGAGGGGCTCATGTGCCCCCCGCGCTCCCGCCCGCGCCAGGCACGCCCTTCCACGGTCTTGTGAGCGCCATCTCAGATCCTCCGGACTTCACGCACACGGCTCGCTCGCCCTCCTCTTCGAACGGTCCAACGGGCTCTTGTTCCCAGCGGGGTCGGGCTCCCGCGCGCGCACCGAGCACCGAGCGTCGAGAAGCGAGGATCGAGGACCGCGGAGCCCACGCCACCGACCGCTGCGGGTTCGCACCCCCATCTGCGCTCGGGAGCACATGTGCAGGCCGCGCAGAAGGACGCCGTCCTCGATTCTAGCTCGTGCCACTGGCGCCCGCACTCGCCTGATGATCGCCACCGCCGTTCGCCTCCAGCGCCGAGGCGTCCCCCCGGAGGACGGCGGCGCCAACGTGCGTACACATCGCCGGCATCGAGGGCGAGTGCGCAAGTGCGCACGCCGAGAAAAAAGAAGAAAAAAGAAAAAAAGGATCAAGTGCTGGCGCTCCGACCGGCCGCGAACGACGTCGCGCAGGGGGGTCACGGGGACGCCGCACGCCTGGGAGGGCGCGGTCGTAGAGAGGCAGGCGGTCTGCGCGCCGCGCGAACCCGTTCGGGGCTCGCGAAGGTTGCGCGTTACCCAAGCACGGCCGGCCGCCTCGCGCCGCGTCGGCGGAGGAGGACGTCCCCTCGTCTCGTCTCGTCGCAGCGCACCCGCGCGTTCCCCTCCCGCGCACGCGCTCGGGCCCGGGAGCGGACTCCCTTCGCGGCTTGGGGCGCTCGAGCGCGGACGCGGGTCTGATTCGCTGGTTTCCCTCGTCCGGACCGAGCGCCCACGCGCGCTGGGCTTTCGATGGACGTGCCCTGGCGTACGAGGCCGAGGTCGCAGCCCCGCGGAACGCACGGATACTTACGCGCGGCGAGGTGAGCTATACCTGAGCGCCGAGCGCGGGAGGCTGACAGATCAGGCCAGGATACCGTCGTTCGTCGTTCGCGGTCGAACGACGGCCACGCGCCCACGCACGTACGGACTGCACCCGGCGCGTCGCGCAGATTGAGTGGCCCGACCGACCGACCGACCGCGGTGCTTCGCGGCCTCTGACGGGTGTGTGTCATCTGTCCCGGCGTAGGCGTGGGCGTGGGCGTCGCGGCTTATTGTCTTCGCTCGATTGGGACGCGGGGGTTCCGACTCGGGGCGCGATGCCGGACCTCAGGCTCAGGTCTCAAGCCCTCGAATCTGAACACCGTGGCGCGCTCGACGCCGGCGGGGCTGTGGCCCGCGGTCTCAGTGTTGTGGTCTGCGGTTATCGTGGCGGTCGCATGGGGCTGCGAGGCGTTGTGGTCGGACGATGGCTGTCGGAGGAGTGCCGCGCGGTCTCACCGGTCGTCGTTGCTCGGCGCAGTGGCTGGCGGCGTCGGGGAGCTCCGCATGTATGCGCGGGACGGTCTCGAGCGCTGTGGGGATTCACCCCGGTATGTGCGGACGTTTGGTGACGTTTCATCCGTGCGTCGCTCACGTATAGGTCGTAATTTCTCAGTCGCTCGCTCGCTCGAGAACTGCCGGCTTCCAAGACCGGTCGGCGAGGACACATTCGATGGGCCTTGCAGCGCTGCGCTATGCATTGTCGTCCGCGGCCCTCGCGCCACGCTCCCACCGCGTCCCGAACCAGGCGCGTTGACTCGACACCGCACGCCAGGAAAGGAAGCCCAGTTGCCGTATCCGGAAACTTCGACGCTGGCCCAATGTGTGTGGGGCCCGACAGCGCATCCAGCCCGAGCGGATGCGGGGATGCCGCGGCGCGGGGTGCGTTAACGCGGACGGAAGGGCGTCGGTAAGCGCGGAGATCAGGTTGCGTGGGCTACGAGAGCGTGGTTCGACGGGTCAGACGGCCCTGGGCCGAGCGATGGTGTTGGGGGTTTGGGCCTGCAGGGACCGACGACCTTGACTGACTCGTTTCTGCTTGCAGGGTTCGGAACCGTCAGGACCGCTGGCCTTCGGGAAAGGGGCGAAGGTTTACGAGGCAAGCTCTCGTGCCGTACGTGCCCGAGCGTCGCATCCGCGATATTGGAGATTTGCTGGCTGAAACGGATTCTGCAGCAGGGGCAGAGCTTCGCAATTGATGTCTTCGGAGGTGGCTTTAGCAGCTCGCCGTGATTTGATCCTCCGTAAACACGACTTGACCGTTTCTCCAAGGCCAAGAAGGGTCAGATTAGCGCGCGACGGCGGAGCCCACCTCCCATGTCCCTCGAGAATAACGAATGCACGACGGCCCAGAATACTGCGCCGTGGAGATGAAGCAGCAGATGAGTCGCAGTATCTGCGCACCCCCTTTTCGAACGCACCGGAACGCCCAGTTCCGACGTCACGATATGGACGCGCTTCCATCCAGACCGCCTGCGACTCGCAACCCCACGGGGAGCCGCGCCCCTGTGCATTAGAAGAAGACGCAGCGGCCGGGTAAGTGACAAGTGCCGACATAACACGGCGGGCCGGAACTTATCAAGCGCACGCACGCGTTCGCAGGCGGCTGTGAGGCCCCATTGTGCACCGGGTTAGGACCGGGTCTGTGAATCGCGTCGGGGCGGTGTGCGAAGCCGCGGTCACTTCGGACGCTGTGATTCACGCCTCGTGATTAATGAGCAGGAGAGACGCAGGGCTGCGGTGTCTAGATGTCTGTGCTGTGAAATAGTAGGGCCAGGGCTTGTGTTGTGCGTGCTGCGTTGCACGTGGTAAGTTTGCTGGGTCTTTGCACGGCGTTGATGTGAGATATCTGTTAGGAAGGTGTTTCCGGGCGTGAGAGGAGACTCGTCAGCACAGAAGCAGCCGATGATGCATTGGCTGCCCGTAACAGTCTAAAGATCGAACGAACGCATGCAAGGTCGGTGTACCAGTGGCGGAAAAGTTGTTCAGTAATTTCGCCCAAGGCGTCATCTAGGCCATCGCCGAAGGTGGCACAACGAGTCCACCGCCACCTGATTTCATCCATACCTGAAGTCATTCGTGGTCGATTGAAGACCAAGACCGTATGCAATCGCAGAGCAACTCGATCCTTCTGCTCCGTAAAGCTCAAGGACTCCGAGCTTGTCCCTGTGATGGCGATTCCTTTATAAACCAACGCGCATTGAGTAGCGGTATGTCGACGTCAGACTCGTACACGCCTACGCACCTCCACCTGATTCGCTCCGCCGACAGCCCGTGCACGAGTGGGATCCGCAGACTCTGCGCCTCGCTCAGGACTTGAAGGCGCGGGTCCGGAACTCTCCGAAGTTCATGCCGTCGCCGCACCTGCAGGTGTCCGCGCTGGCACGGGGACGCGTCGACGTCGACGAGCGGAGCGTGGCGCCCGTACCGATCTTGCTCGGAGAGACGCTAGAGGACGCGGCCCTCCGTGCGCAGCGCGCGGATCTCGCTCTGCGTCCGGCTCTGGGTCAGTGCGAGGCGACAGACGGGGAAAGAGCAAGGTGTGTCTCACCGTGCATCCACCTCGACGGGGCCGCACCGCAAGAACTACGCGAGCGTGAAGAGCCGCGCGGCTGTCGGGCACTTAGGGTCGTACATCGCGCAGAAGACGGTGCCGGGGAGCGTGGGGGCGTCGAGGCCGGCCGTGGTCAGCGCGGGTGCGCCCAAGTGCGAGTCAAGCTCCGACACGCGGTGGTCGACAGCCGTGACGTAGCTCGTGCGCACTTGGCGTTTAGAGAGCCTAGAAAACACTCAATGGGGGAGTGGACAGGAAGTGTTCGCCCAGGACCTACCAGTGCGTGATGACAAAGGGGTGGAGGTCGAGACAATGTGAGGGGGACTGTATTTGCTCTCTTGTCGGAGTCGCAGTCTTCGGCGAGGTTTTATTTAACCTTGGCGTCTGACCGTACTGAGGTGTGATCAGCTCGTTGTCATTGTCGGTCCAATTATTCCAGTCGTATGAGGACGTATATGCCTCCGTGTCGTCGACGTGTCGGTCGTGCGCCGGTGCGCGCAGTAGTGCCTGTTGCAGCACCGCGGGAGCTACTTCGAGAATATAAATCACTCAGGGTGGGATCATAAGATGTCACTGTAAGTGACGCGCAAGCGAGGTCGGAAGGGACGGGGGAAAAAAGAGACCAGAAACATTTGCGTACCGAAGTTTCTTTCAACGTTTAGGGCAAGAACGCTATAAAAATCCAGGCCATGCGTGTTCCAGCAGGTGCAAAGTTACACCTTCCTCTCCGCAATCGTTTGAGGATAGGCCCGTATGCGGTCCAGGGTAGTTGACGTTCCAGGTGCATTACAAGTTCTATGGGCAAGGAGTGGCAGCCGATAATAAACGCCTGCCACGTGAGCGCACGGACCGGCTCGACGATTGACGCCCGTACGTCTACTTCGTCTTTAACTACAACCATCGTCACCATCTTCTACTCGTCATGGCGGATGTGGGCCTATATCACAACAAGCATACAAGAAGACACGACTGCGATATTAAAACACCTCGTCGATGCTACTAGCAATTCAGCACCAGACATGTCAAATACTTCGGCCACAAGCTTTACCGTATGGTCCATGGACACATCCCTTTAGGTCTGTCGTTCATTCTTATTGCTCTCGTTTATTTTTCCCAATTCTGATTTGTTGTCTTGTGTTAGAACCTCGATGCTCGTCTGCGTCAGGTCGAGCACAACGATCACGCCCCGGGGTGGCATTACTCCCACCGGCTGTCCATGCGGACATCCCCGAGTCAAATCGGACGAATATCTAGCAAAATGCCACGGTGCGCAGACCAATTGTAGCGGGGTGCAGGCGCGTCTAAGTCCTCCCCCGATCTCAGGCAGCAGTCCCGCTCTGTTCCTTCGGTCTCAGCAATGGACGAAGCGAGCACTGCGCGCCCTCACCGCGCTAGCCGCATGCGGCACGCACCCTCCGAGCACCGACCGCGAAGCTCTCTTCGAATCCGAGCCGAGGCACGCACGGCTCCGCAGCGCGGGCGAAGGTTGTGCGTTACGCGATGGTGCGACCGTCCCTCCGGTGTGTCTCCTCGACTTACCTCACCCGGAACTCTGCCAGGTTGCTCCAGCGGGTAGGGGGAGATGGACCAAACGCGTGAGGTATGCGATCTGCGCGATTTCAGATTAGCTACGCCCAGAGTGGCGGGTCGTGCGCCTCGAAGAGCCTTCCGATCGACCGCGGAGCTTGTGTCCGTCAGGAGGCTCTTTCATTGAGAACCGCCTCTATTTCCTCCTCAAACTCACTCTTCTGGTCTACTCTTAGGCTTCATTGTGCCATAATCGAATGCCACCGCACACTTGAAGACGCCGAAGGCCATATGCACAACCCGTGAGCTAATCCACCGATATAAGCGCCCTTGACTTACCGCCTCACTCACCACTCTTCCCCTCCTTCGTCCACCCCTCGTCGAATCTAGGACATCACCCGGCTATCTTGTTTCACTTTTTTCACGCCCTCATCCCACCACCCGTCATCAGCTGCCCGCGCGCGAGCGCCAGTCGGCTTATTGTCTTCGCTCGATATGGGCACCGCTTCCTCTCGTTCTCGCTCGCGCTGGAACCTTTCCTCAAGCTCTAGCGCATCCCGTCGTGCAGGGGCCTCGTGTTTGGGTCTCAATTTGCTGCTTTTGTCTCGCAGGGCGTCGCCATGGGACCCGAGCTAGTCGTCGTCGAGGACGAGGGGGCGACGAGGAGCCCGGAGCCGCAAGATGAGGCCGCTTCGCACCGCTCCCAACGGCTCCGCGTGCTTCTCCCCGGTCTTGGCGGCGCATCGCAGCGCGTGTTGCGCACACCAACGTCGATGTCAGGCCCCGTCTCCCACCGACGGCGTGCCTTAGACGAGAGCACACGACGAACGGAATCCGGACGCACATTGCGCCAGGCACGAACTCAGCATCCCGCTCGTACCGCGCCCGCCGGAGACCCCTTCTCTTGTGCCTCGTGTGGGGTCGTATTACCCAGGTTGTCAATGTCGCCGCGACCCGCGGCTCCGTAACCTGCAGCGACATCCAGGTCGACTCGACTCTTGCGAATATACTACCGCATTCGGCAATGCGTCATCGTGACTTGTTCCCTGGATTCGTCGTCTGTGATCCCACATCTACAAGACGGGGCCGCATATATTAGGCTGAAAACGAACAGAATGGGTGCGACTCCTCGAAGATGGCCCGCCCATCAGTCCAGGCTAGCCCCAAGGGCCGCGCGCCATTCCTGCGAACTGCAGGGATGCTGAAACCGTTAGGAGTTGCTTGCCATATGAAGAGAAGAATGGCTGATTTGGAGGTGCGTGTATTTGCAGGGAACCGTGTCCGCTGCCGCGACGGCCGTGGGCTGACTGGGTGTCAGGGTACACGCCGCGCCAGGCTCCTCGACTTCCTTACAATCTCAGACTTCCTTGGCTCACGGATAGAGACCAGGGTCGCGACGCGGAGCCAATCATCCGAAGACCAGTTCTATTGTGCAGTGGATATAGGTATCGTCTGGCTGCATGTAAGCGCAACCTACTGTATTGACTACGTGCACAGTGCTGTTTGCGGAGGGCCGTTTCCGAAATGGCGTCTTCTCGTTCGTACAGTCACGATCCAAGGCATTCCCCTCCCGCGCCTTTTCGTTCTCGATCTGACGGAGTTCTAGATAGACCTGGTCGACACGCTCTAAAAGCGCACCGCACGGCCCTCGTTCTTCAGGCGCATGCCAGCGATTCAGAAACCGCGGTTTGCGCTCAGAAGCGTCACATCGGTGCATGAGACGTGAGTCCGCCCGAGCTATGTCCCTTCGAAGCTGACTCCGCCTGATCAATGTCGATGTTGGCCTCTCACAGCCGACTGGAACCCCCATTGTCGACCGTATTCGGATGGTTCCGCGGTCCGGATCGCGCGCAGGCGGGCAGTCTCATGCGGGGTTGCGACGCAAAGGTGAGTCAACGGTGAGCCATTTTCTCGGGCGTCGACTGAACGTGGTTGATTCTAGGGGCAGCCGCGACTTCGCAAAGCGATCCATCGTTGATTGCATACCCGGCAACACGCGATATGTCTACTGTTGAGCACTAGCGGAGGACATGGCGCCGCCATTTCTGCAAAAGTACACATCCCCGCTTTCCGCAGCTCTACTGTGCAGCCAGAATACCCTCGTACATCCTGGCTCCCGTGTTCCCAGCCCGGCCTGCATCATGCCCGAGAGGATCGAGAACCGCGGAAGGTCCGTCCGAGCCGCGGGGCGCTCGCATCCTCACGGAGCACATGGCGCGCTCGTGCGAGAAGGAGGGCCGACGGCGTCCTAGCCATGAACGCCGGCGAGTGGTTCTAGCTCGCGCCACTGGAGCCCGTACTGACCTCGCTTTCTTTCGCCGACATCCTCGCTCGTCCGCCGACAGCGTTGAAGCGTCCTGGACCGTCGGCAGCGTGGATTCGCGCGCACGTCAAGGCCGACGTCCTCGAGGTGGCGGCGCAGCTTCGACTTGTTCCGGCCCCGGGCGCACGTCGATGTCGATCACGGGAACGCAGCGCGGGCGTAGAGAGGCGGGAGAGTCCACAGACGCGTCGGCCGGCAAGCGCGAGAGGAACGTGGGCCCTGCTGGGTTTCTGCGCTCCACGTGAACCTTCGGGGGCTCGCGAAGGTTGGGCATCACCCAAGCGCCCCCGCGCCGCGTCGGCGGAGGACGGTGACTCATCTCGAACCTGGCGTCTGCGCGCGCGTTCCCGCGCGAGGTGCGCAATTTCCTCTCTTGCTCGGACGAAGGTCACGAGCTCACCCCGCGTTCGAAGGCGCAGAAGCCCGCTGTTATGCGCTCGAATCGGCCTTATGCGGCCAGCCCCGGGAACCCTTCGCGGCACTGGGTGGGGGCTGGCCGCATTGAGCAGGGATGCAGCTCTAATTCGATCGCTCCATGACACGGTGCTTCGGGCATGTTTTTCCCTAAGCGGCCACGCTGGGACTCCGCGAGCTCACTGCGCACGTCCTCTTCGTTTTCGAGGGACGGCGCGCACGGGCCCGAGATCGTAGGCTCGCAGAAGGCGCTTATAGTGAACCGTACTGCACCGGAGCTCAGGAGGTTATGCAACAGCCCATGTCCGTGAGTCCTTATGCACGCCAAGGGCTTTGGCTCCCAACGCTGACCCCAATCCCACAGAACGGTATGCACCCGTGCGCGCGTGCTGGACCCGGCGCGCCCTCGCTCGCAGATTGAGTGGCCCGGTCTAAGCATTTCGTCTTCACACGCCGTCTTCCGGCCGACGCGCTCAAGTTGCGCACCACATGACCCTGGGGCGCGGTTCTTGCAACCGCTGGCGACTCCGACATCTCAGTTCGAGTGCTGGTTGCACATTAGACGTGAGTAAGCCCGAACGATGTCCGTGCGAAGTTCCCTCATCCCGATTAATGCCGATACTCGTGTACGTGTTCCTCACTGGTCCAGGGCTCATGAAAACGTTTGAGGATGCCCCTCGCGGACTCTTCGGAGCTGGTGTACGACATCCGCGACGCGCGACGCCTCCCGGGTGGCTGGGGAGTGGAATCACCTTCGAAATCCCCGGTCTGACCGATGACGTCTACCGCCGTGCTACCCGCAGCGTCTGACCTCTCCGCGCCCGCTCCCCCGGACCCTCCCCGACCGCTCAAGTTGGAAAACTCGCCTGACCAAACGTTCACAGGCATTGAAGTATCGGCTTGATCTCCGGTCACACAACCCAAGAAATGCGGCGGTGTGCCGTGATGTGCAGGTGATGCTGTCCGAATCTCCGTGTTTGGATGGACGCGAAGCGAGTTCCGGTGAGAAAGCGTTATATTGTCGCGATGGCTGAATAGATTTCATGCTCAGGCTCCCCAAAATTCGAGTGTAGCTGCCTTATGGTGATCACACCCCGACACTGCACACGCAGCATGCTTCCTGAATCCCAGGAAGATTGTAATTTCAATAGCTGTGTAGACCGTCTGAACGATGTCTTCCCTGGAGCTTCCACTTGCATTTTTCCTGTCAGTTTCATAACTTTCATATTGCATTTTCGACTGAGGGGGTCTAACCGTTGTCCAGATCTTTCAGAGATCGTTTGCGCCAACGATGTACTCCGTAGACCTTTTTGCCAATCTTGACGTTTGACAATGACCAAGAAACGGTGATGCATCCGAGGTTTTCTTGCTCCACAAAGCACTCCGCTTGTGGACCACATGGGTTGGTCCTAAAAACGACACCACCATACCCGAGACCCATTCAGCCGTGGCTCTGGAAACAAGTCGCCTATCAAGCTTTCCCGGCATCGGCCTCCTCGGTAAATGCGTCCGAGGTGAGTCCTCAATATTGAATGGACGAAGCACGGGAAACTGAGGCCTGCAGGGAAAACACGGCGCAAACGTGCCTCGTCCCCCGTCAATTACAACGAGTTTGCTCGGGTGAGTGTTCTTGCACGTACTCGACTCTCTCGCAGGGCGCCATGACCCAGAGCACATTTGCTTCCGGGGCCCGACGGTAGACGATACGTGCCTCCGAAGCCAAGTGAGAGCGTCCCCGCAGGGGTACAAAAACCCCCTCGCAGCAACCCAGTTCACCAGTACGGGCACTGGCTCCTCTTTCCTCTGCTCGCTTCTACCAGCTTTTCCTCCACTTCCCTCTCAACCGTCCACTTCTCTTCAACCTCCACGTCCTTCACGATGTTCTCCATCTCCAAGCTCTCCCTCCTCCTCACCGCGGCTGCCGCCTCCGTCGCTGCGCTCCCCTCAGCCGTCGTATCGCCGCACATCACCGCGCCCCACGCAGTGGACGTCTGGCCCGCAGGGTCCGTGCAGACCGTATCGTGGGACACGACGGACGTGCCCGCGGGCGCCGTCGCCGACATCTTCCTCGGCCACTTCGAGGACGGCAGCGAGAGCGAGCACCTCGACCTCGGTGAGTCCATCTCACCGTCTCTGGGATTTTTATGCATGGCTGACTGGGAGCCTGGGACAGCGAACCCGCTCGCGACGGACGTCGACTTGACACTCGGCTCCACCCAGGTCACCGTCCCCAGCGTGACGCCGATGGAGAGCTACATCGTCGCCCGTGAGTGTCTCCGCAGGATTGCACTCGCTCTGGATGTTGAACTGACGCGTTGACCCGTGCAGTCGTTGGTAGCTCTGGCAACATCTCGCCGGAGTTCTCGATCACCGCTTGAGTGTCCGTTACGGGAAGCCCACTGCTCGAGTAGTTTTGGGATCTGTGGGATGAAAGCACCATAATGGGCTGTTAGTTATGATTCGTTCAGGATGTTGTTCGTCAGCGGTGGTCGATTTCCTACTAGTTGTGACCGGTGCGACAAATGCGAACTGTGCTTGTCAATTTTCCTGGCGAACGCCCTTCGCCTGGTGTGCCCGAATGCAATATGCCGGAATTTCGGTAGCGGAGCCTGTAAAGCCTCGGCTGAAATACCGGTGGAGTGGACTTTGTCAAATTCGCGGTATGACGTACACCCGGCGTTGAGTATCGCAGTTTCCCCTTCAGGCATCTGGGTGGTGGCTATGCCGTCCTCGATACGCGCCCCGAGCCAACCCAGGTTGACTCCCGTCCACCATGACCGCCGCCGCGCCCTCCGCGACCATGCGCCTCATCGAGGCCTCCACCATGATATCCCAGGGCGCAGAAGCCGTGCGCCCTCCCTCTCTCTCGCTCTCCTCCCTCCCCCCACTCACCCATCGCGATCACAGAAAATCTACCGCGCGCGCCTGCACCCGCCCGCCGCGTCCTCCCCCAGCGACCCGTCCGCGCCCGACGGCTGCGTGCTCCTCAAGCACCGCTTCGCGAAGCAGTACCGGCACCCGACGCTCGACGGCGCGCTCACGCGGGCGCGCGTCGCGGGCGAGGCGCGCGCGCTCGTGCGCTGCCTCCGCGCGGGCGTGCGCGTCCCCGGCGTGCGCATGGTCGACGCCGCCGCGGGCGTGCTCGGGATCGAGTGGGTCGACGGCGCGAGCGTGCGGGCGCTGCTCGGGGGCGGCGCCGAGGGCGAGGTCGAGGTCGAGGAACGAGACGACGGCGAGGAGGAAGAGGGAGAGGAAGAGGCGCACGAGGATGGCGCCGAGGTCGCGCTGAGGGAGTACGGGCTGACGCCAGGTGCGCGCCCGGGCGATCGTCCGCGGATGGGGCGTCCGACGAGGCTGACGACGCGACAGACCAGGTGATGGAGATGATCGGGGCGGAGCTCGCGAAGATGCATCGCGCCGACGTCGTCCACGGCGACCTGACGACGTCCAACATGATGCTCCGCCGCCCGTCCGCCGCGCAGCCAGCTGCGGAACTGGTGTGTATACTCGCATCACCGCACCGCGAGGTCGTCAGCCTCCTCATGCCGCACGTTTCCTTTCAGGTCCTCATCGATTTCGGGCTCGCGTACATCTCGACGCTCCCCGAGGACAAGGCGGTGGATCTGTACGTGCTCGAGCGCGCGTTCGCGTCGACGCACCCGCAATCGGAGCCGCTCTTCGCGGGTGTGCTCAACGCGTACGCCAAGGGAATGGGCAAAGACTGGACGCCGGTGTCGCGACGCCTCGACGACGGTGCGTGTCTTCGCGCCGTGCGACACTTGACGTAGGCTAACCATCGATCCAGTGCGTCTGAGAGGACGTAAACGGAGTATGGTAGGATGATCCCCGTAGAAGAACTTGATCGTAGGAAGATGCTCAACAAAACGTCCGTGACGGCTGATACGGACTTGTGTAGTATGTAGCCATGGTGTAGTATAATATGACGACGCGATGTGCGTGCGATGTGTAGGCAAAGCACAGTGGCATCGATTGGTATCACCCTTAGCCCTCTCTCAAGAGTGCCATGCACCTGCGTTGAAGCAATGCAGTCATCCCACGTATGCCCTACCAGCCCATCGTCCAGACCTTACGCCTTATCACAAGCGGCACCTTCCACGATATCTAACCACCGTCCCATCATCATTCACTTCTCTGTCGTAGAGTCGTGACACGGTGAATACTGCAACCTATCGTCTTACGACAACTCGGGCATCCACCCGCTGACTACTGGGACCGCCTTTCATGTCACAGCCTTGATGAGCCCCAAGCCAACGACACTATAGCCGACGCACGCTGCCGTGGGCCACAAAAACACACGCAAACGCCTCAACATGAGCATCGCATAGTAGCACAGCGTACCATGTCCTCCCACACGAATGGCCTGATGTACAACATGTCTACGTTACGGTCCACAGCGATACAGTTCGTCATAAGTCGCATGGATGAGATTGCGTGGGAGATCGGGGAGAGCAAAGAACATGACTATACGTAGGGCCATACAATGTGCGACCGCATAGGACGACGAAGATACCGGTGGAAGGCACTTTACGCAGTCCTGCAAGAAAAGGAGATCATCAGTCAGAGAGGGCTACAAAGCAGAAGCGTTGCACACGTACTTCTTGTGCGAAGCCTTGACAGCTGCAGCCTTCTCCTTCTTCTCCGCAATGCGCTTGGAAATGAGGGCGTCGTACTCCGTCTTCTGCTCCTTCTGGTGCTCGAGCCGGCGGCGCTTGAGGGAGCGCAGGTGACGGCGGCGCTGGAGACGGAGGGGGGTGACGAGACGCTGGATTTTGGGACTACGAAGGATGCGTTAGCGATAAGGAGGGCGGACGCGCAGAAATAAAGACAGTATACGCACGCCTTGGTGTAGGGCTTCGCGTCCGCCTTCTTGGCGCTCTTGACTTCTCTCCGGACGACGTACTTGCGGACGTCGTCGTCCTTGGACAGGTTGAAGAACTTGCGGATCTTGGTCGCACGCTTGGGACCGAGGCGCTTGGGGAGGACGTTGTCCGTCAGGCCGGGGACGTCGTTGTCGCCCTGCTTGACGATGACGAGGGAGAGGACGGCAATGTCGGGGCCGATAATACAGCCGCGAACCGACTTGCGCTTGCGCTCGCCGGTGCGACGGGTGCGGTAACAGGAGTGGCCGTCGGCGAGGAGAAGACGAACACGGTAGGGGAGGAGGACACCCTGCTTCATGGGGAAACCCTGCTTGTCGTTGCCGCCAGTGATGCGGAAGATGTAGCCCTTCCACTCATCGCTGATGGAGTCGCCTGAGACCTCCTGGGAGATGCGCTTGTCGAAGAAGACACGACTAGAACAGCGGAAGGGGCTAAGAGGCATACAGAAGGGAAAGAAGGGAGCAACACGCACTATTTCTTCTCATCGTCGTAGTCGACGGTCTTTTGGGCCCCAGTTGCGGGGTCTGTCACGACCATCTCTGGTCAGAACACAAGCTCAAATCTCCTCCTGCTACTGAATCTAACTCACTGGCGATGTTGAGCTTCATGCTGAGGGGTGACACGACGATCAGACTACAGAAAACGACGCAACAAAAGAGCGAGCACACCTTCAGGCGTTGAGGGGCGTATCTCGGCGGCGGCGACGACGACGAGATAGTCTTGCGCTCGGGTTCGGATGGCTGGAGGCGGCTTCAGGCGCTAACAAACGCGCACAACGCTCGGACGCTGTGGCGGAACAAGGTTTGGTGCTATACAGCCGCCTCAGCCACCCAATCCGCGCACGTGGCCTGTGCCCTCCGCAAATCCGCGCCGCACAACGAAGTCCAACGGCACGCTCGACGACAAGACCTCCTCAAGACTCCCCTTCCCTCCAAAAGCTTGTGAGTGTCCGAACCGCTGCCGCCGCGCTCGATGTCGGCGAAGTGCTGACCGTATCGCATAGATCCACCATGGGTCGCATGCACGCTCCCGGCAAGGGCATTTCGTCCTCTGCTCTCCCCTACCGCCGCGCTCCCCCTTCCTGGCTCAAGACCACGCCCGAGGACGTCGTAGAGCACATCGCCAAGCTTGCACGCAAGGGTCTCACCCCCTCGCAGATCGGTGTCACCCTCCGTGATTCGCACGGCATCCCCCAGGTTCGTTTCGTGACCGGTAACAAGATCCTCCGTATCCTCAAGTCCAACGGTGAGCATCTTCATTCGACCTGCTATACGGTCTCCGCGGCATATGTTGCGCCAATTAGGAAGGGCGTTGGACTTATCCTCAATCGTACACAGGTCTCGCGCCTGCGATCCCGGAGGATCTCTGGCACCTCGTCAAAAAGGCGGTCGCCGTGCGCAAGCACCTCGAGGTCAACCGCAAGGACAAGGACTCCAAGTTCCGCCTCATTCTCATCGAGTCCCGCATCCACCGTCTCGCGCGCTACTACAAGAGCAAGCAGCAGATCCCCCAACGTTCAAGTACGACTCCGCCACCGCGTCGACCCTCATTGCATGAGCGTCCCTCTGGCCGTCGTTGTATGCTGGTAGTGGGGAGGTCTGGGCTGCGAGCCACGGCCGGGTTGGGGAGGATGCGATGCAGACGGCGATGGGTGGGCTGTCGAGACTATGTTATCGCTTGTACGCTTTCCACATGACACCCAATGCAGAACCTAGGGCTATGCACAATCTCTCGTTTATGTCCGCCTTGAACGCTCTCGGATTGCATGCATGATTAAGGTGATACTAGTGAACTGACTCGGAATAGATCGACCTGCAAGGGTCTGGAAGCTTGGTCCACCAGCGTATTCATGGCGCTTTTCATGAGTATGTATGTCACTCAGTGTTTCTTTTTGCCTGTCGTGCTCGCCCCGACGTCCGCGATGAACACCCTATCCTATAGGTATCGACCCTAATGTTCTTCGAAGTTCGGACACATCGTCCCATTCACCGACGTTGTGCGGGTTCCGAGCCTCTCAACATAGAATGGCTCTTTGACATCTGCGCCAGCCATTTCATCTATCGCCCTCGACCAGTACGAATTGATATTTTGTCCTAATGCTTGCTGTCCAGAGTTAAATATGGCATTCCTGTAGGAGCAAATCTGTCTGCGTCATGCAGTGGTGAAAATCGCTTCCGAATATATGGGAACAGGGTGTTCCATACAGAAGTACAAGTGCCCCAGGGAGCGCGAATACGATATAACAGTACAACAGAAGCACGAACCGGGGGCTGTCTCAGATCGACAACGTGTACTCGTACTCCGTGCTGACGCTTTGCGAGATCCACAGGACGATGGCGGAAAGCATGAGGGCCACGTTTTGGGACACGTTCGCGTACCCGTAGTACGTGTACTGCTCCTCGTAGTTGTGGAGGACATACTTCAGGACAAGGACGCTCTGTGGAACACGAGCAACAGTCAGCACGGCTGTCGCACGACCACCCACCCGCTCAGCACCCCACCCCCCAGAGCAGACGTCTTCGCCGAAACAGCGAATCGCGAAGCCCCGAAAAGGAAAGGGATAGCAGACCAAGCACGAGAGAGGTACGCACCACACTGCCCGCCAGGCCGCCTGCCATGAGCGCGAAGCCAAGGAACAAGAACAGGCGGGCCCGCCACACCGCCCTGCTGTCCCCGAAGTCCTCGTGGCCCTGGACGCGGTCCTTGTCGATGAGGTTGATGACGATCATGCCGAGGAGGGAGCAGATGCCGGGGAGCCAGTCGAGGAAGGTGACGTGCACGGGTGGCGGGCGCGGCTCCTCGCCGTACGGCGCGTGCGCGTGCGCGGAGAGGATCGCGGCGTCGAGGAACGTCCAGTTCGCGAGCGCAAACTGCAAGCGGCATGCGGTGGACGACGAGGGCGTGGGTGAGCGGTGGGGTCCGCTGGTGAACAGGAGGATGGGAGAAGACGCACCAGGCCGCCTGCGATGTAGATGCCCATGGTCCTCCGGTGCTTGCCCAAAGTGAGGCCAGGGAAGGGGTTGATGCAGACCCTGCGTGGGTCGTAGTTTGCGCGGGGAAGGGCCATGGCGAAGATGTGGTATGCGCTCAACGCTGAAGGTAAGGAAAGTTGAAGGAACTCCTTGAACCCCAGTCGGGTCGTCACTGCCGCACTGCGGAGCGATTGCGTCGGAGTTGGAAATATATTAGCCCATACAACCAGAATTGTAATTCCGAAATCTTCGGCCTTCTCGCTTCTTCAACCTGCGCCTCTACCTCGCAGACCTCGAACTTTGACAACACTGTTCACCAACCCACACGCCGTCATGGTCGACCAAAAGAGAGACAGCGGCCTCACGGTTCCTCAATGGCTCAAAGACCATCCCGGCTTGAAGGAACTCAACATCACCCCCTTCTCGATGATGCTTCCGGTGTGCTCCAGTTTCCGGTCTTTCTGACACGCGCCTGAAACTGACTGGCGAACAGTACACTTTATGCTGCACTGACCCAAGTACAGAGCCGCAACACGTTATCAAGATACCCCCGTCAACTTCCAACGAGATCAACATATATCGGTTTCTATGGCGTGATCCAGCGTTGTCAGATCATATTCTACCGGTCCGCATTTTTGAAGGCGAGCGATCTACGAACACCCTCTGAGTCACGTCCTGAACTGGTTCGATGGCGTCCTGAAGGTGAGATCATTGGCATCTCAGATTGGTCGTCTACTCGCTAAACCGTCGCAGGCCGTTGAACTGCTCCATCAGCGGCACGTCGCACATCTAGTGCGGAACCTAGCGTGTGTATCTTTATTCGCTGACGCGGCGTTCCAGGATCTCTCTCTCGGGAATATCCTGATATCCTTGGACACTGAATGCTTCTGGGGACAGCAGCTGTACGCCAATCACCCGTACATCATTGATTTCGAACTGTCAAAGACGCTCGAGTTCGGGCCCGGAGAACAGACCGCAATTGAACTCCCATCGGAGTCGATTCATGTCGAAAATTTCGGCCACACACACCTTGACCCATATTCATTCGATGTGTGGCTGCTTTCCAAAGCTCTCGAAAGCGGCCCTTTGATGGTAAGCGCTTTCGAGCATCTTTGTGTGTGTGACTGACATAGACGCGATCCTAGCTCACGTACAACAACGACTTATCGACTGTACCATGGATTATCAGGTGGTACATCGGATGGCTGAGGGGCAACGAGGCCGGCTGCCTCGGTGTATGCACCTGTCGTCCTACCGTGACCCGAGCCCGATGGGTCCTCCGGGGTATACGGACATGGGTATGCATAGGCGAGAGCATCACTGGCCTTTTCGGTCTCCGTGCACTGTATCAGAGACTCCGGTATTCGGCTTTGTCCGTGCCCTAGACGCTCTCCGAAATTCCATTGTGGGTGTCGAGTCCCGGCTTTCCACACGTGCACTGTGTTATCCGTTGAAATATCGCCGAGGTCTGTCCCGTTGTGTCCCTGCAGTGAGTGGCGTCATTCGATTGCTTTTATACGCTGTTTAACTTGGTCTCCTCGGTCAGCAGAAACACCCGCCACCCGTCGAATCATGCCAGTTGACCCAACTTCACTGAGATATCGTTGCCTACAGGCAGCCATCAATGCCATCTCCGCCATGCCCAGCGAGCACGATCTTTTCCAAGACAATACGCATGAGTGCAACGTCCCACGAACGCTCGATGCCTCTCTGAGAGTGATTCTCTTCAAGTGCAACCCGACTATAAAGAGCGGCCATCGCGCTCTTCAGTACTACGTGCACTCCTCTGCATGGAAGCCGAAGCCGCCGTATATCGTCTACATCACTGTGGACGGCGCAGAGCAGGGAAACTTCCGCGCTGCGCTCGTGAACGGCCTACGTTGGTTACAGAGCAATGAGGCGACTTGTATGAAGGATATGGAAGGCAGTGCTCCTGACCTGGTGTAATGGTGAGTCGCCTCTCTCACTGCTGATGGGCGCGGGTCTGATCGTGCGTCGCAGACATGAAGGTCGAGATGAATCGCTATAATCCCGCATCGTGTGTCAGTCAATGTGTTATGTCTATGAGCAGTCGTCATCACTGCCAGTACTGCGGAGAGTGGGGATCGAAGCTACAACGCGGACAGACCTGTGCCACGACGCCACTCGGGATGATACCTACTACACAAGTCGCGACCATTCCAGAAGGGACTCTTTAGTACACTTCTCATTTGGAGCGTATCCCTTACTGACCTCATTCAACTTCCGGTGGGGCAGGACGCCGCTTGAGACTTCGAGGCTTCCCGGGGGTCAGCATGCAACATGCAGGGCATCCTGAAAGTAATGGCGGGAGCGGAACTCTCATTCAGGATCAGGCCTTGTGCGCGATGTTGCACGGAAATTAGCATACTAACAGTATGTATTACCTGGAGCCAACTATAACACAGGCTTCGTGTCTACTTCTCCGTCCAATCTCCGTGTCAGGCTGGTGGTCGTGGACAAGCAAGGCAGCCGCTGGAGCCCCTAGGCAACAACGCCGACAACAGCATCGATCTAATCAGCAATACAAGCCACTTGATCTACTAGATACAGAAGCGGGATGGTACACCAGATGACTACATTGTCAAACGAAACGTTCGCACTCTTACATTCACGCCTCCGCAGAGTCCTCCAGCGTCATCTCGTCAAAGTCTTCGAGCAAGTCGTCGAGCTTCACTTCCGGGAAGTCTGGTTCCTCCTCTTCCTCCTCGTCGCCCGCGTCGCCGCCCACCGCAGCCGGCGCGGCATGCTCCCCGTCGACGTCCATGTCGAACTGGCCCTCGCCCCTCCGCCGCGACTTGCCTCCCGCCATCCCCGACCCCGCCTCCAGCCGCGTGTCCTTGGCGCGGTACAAGTTGACGGCCCCGCGCACCTCGTCGTCCTCCTCGATGTCGCGCAAGAACAGCTCGTAGTCCTCCTCCACCTTCTTCTGGTCCCGCCCGCCCATGCGTCCGACGACGCCGCGCCCCGACCCAGTCTCGCCCTCCTCGCCCGCCTCCTTCGCGATCGACCGCAGCCGCCACTTGCGCGGCCTGTTCTTCTTGCGCCGGTTCGGGTACGCCTTCTTGACGAGCACGACGTCCGGGACGCGGTGCGCGGGCAGCGCCGCGAAGTCGTCCGAGTTGGCGTTCGTGTTCCTGAGGAAGTAGCCGAGCGCGGCGTCGCCCGGCTGCAGGATCCCGCCGAGGTGCGTGCGCGTGTGGAAGATGAGCTCCGCGCCGCCGCCGTCGTCCATCGCGGCGTCGCCGTCGGCGTGCGAGCGGAACGCGCCGGAGAGCGCGACCTGCGCGTCCGCCTGGACCCACTTGCCGCGCCTCGGCGCCGCGGGCTCGACGTCGAGCACGGTGAACTCGACGAGGTCCGTGGCGGACGCGAGCGCGTCGAAGGGCGCGCGCCAGAAAATTGTCGAGGCGATCTCGACCGTTTGGAGGGTAGCGGGGTCGAGCAGTTGCAGGGAGTTGCCGACGCGGGAGCATAGCACGAGCGGGGAGATGTTAGAGAGGGAGCGGGCGAGTTTTGGGTTGAGGCAGACGAGATCGTCCTTGCATATGGGTGCGATCTCGACGGAGTAGGTGTACTTGAAGTTGGCCGTGCTCGTGTGGGTATCGGAAGAGATCAGCTGCTCCGACGACTTAGATCTGTACGAGCGAGATCAGCGTTGAGCCTCATAACGCCCGCACAAGCGGTCCTCGAGGGGCGGCCGCACAAATGAAGGATGGGGATATGGAAACTCGCTGAGGGTACAGATGAACGCACACATACCTTGTGGGGACCACGCTCGCCAAGAACTCTACCATCTTCTGCGCATGGCTCCGCGACGAGTAGAAAAAGTCTAGCCCATCCTGCACCTCCTTGACCGAGATCGTTTCCTTCTGCGCACCGTGCTTGAGGATGAGCTGCTCGAGGAAGAGGAAGGTGCGCTTGTGGGGGACCTTCTGCCGGACCTGGACCATCGCTTTCCACGTGTTCTTCGCGGCCAGCTTCGTGCAATCCGGGCACTGGCCATACTGGACGAGGAACTCGATCTCGAAGACTTGCTCCAGGACCGTCGCGGCGAGGACCTCCTTCTGGATTGTGAGCGATACGCGGAGACGTTTCGAGTGCGGCTCGGTCCAGATGAAGTGCGCATCGGTTAAGCGGATCTTGTTGAGGCCCTTAAGCTTCTTGAGACATATCGCGAGCAGCTCTTGGGACTCGGGTCGCGCGATGATCCAACTTGTTGGAGGAGAAAGAAAGCGCTCGCAGTTCCTGCAGAAGGAGACAGATGCTGCGTATAGTCAGTTTCAATCAGACAGTACGCACGGGTGAAAGGGAGGACGCGGACGCTGCGCTGCATCTGGCCTCGAGCAATAGAAAGCTTCACATGACTGTGACGTACCTTGTTTTGGTATGCCTTCCGTAATGTCTACGGTATTCCGTAGACAGTTGACGCATAGGTTGGCGGAGTTGGGGACGATGGGAGTGCCGCAGTCGGCACAGAGGACGCGGTGGACCGCGGGCGCGGGTACGAACTGCATGCCAGACGATCGCTGCGACTGAAGTTTTGAGGGTCCGAAAGCAGAGGTAGGGAAGTAGAGAGGTGTGAAGGAGAGCAGAAGAGTGGATTATATACAGGCTGAGACGATGGAGGATGAGCAAGACGTGCTCGGTCCCGCTCGCTGACAAAAATTCGATATCTAATCGCGCTCGGCTCTGGCGTCTATCTGACCGGCGTGGCGGCTAGTACAGGCGTCTGTGCTCCCTCCTTCAAACTCCCACTTTCAGCTTTTCAGCTTAATCATACTTCACTCGACACCTCCTCCGTTGAGGAAATTATTAAAGTGCGCACACATGGAACTTTCCGTCGGCTAAACGCGTGTACTCATAGGGTGTGTACCTTCGTACCGCTCTCTCTCTCTCTTGCCACCAGCGCACCTACTTTGCGGCGTGCGCAGGTCCACATAGGTGGGTGGAAATCGATTCAAGCATAAGGGGAATGGCGTGAGTACTCTGCCTTCGCGCCATCGTCGTTTTAACCGCTGTCCAGTGCACGGAACGCGCAACAGAGGCGGATATAGTACCTCGCAGCCACACGGGCTCCGCTTCGCCTTTCCAGTAAATCAGATAGCTAGAACGGAACAACCTCCTACAACACTGTCCGATTTTTCGGCACCCACCACGCGAAGTGCATTCTCCGGCCATTGATTAACGACATTCTTCGGGATCTTCTGCAGTTCCGAAACGCCAGCTAGCATGAGCGCGTTCTCCGCGATCTCGCCTGGCCGCTCGACGCGACTCGACACAAGGATCCAACGCCGCTGCAGGCACCAGCGGTTCAGTTGGCACGTGCCACGCAGTTACCGCGGCTTCCTCTCGCTAACACGCAATTTCCGGTGCGCAGTTCCTCACCACGCTCCCGGAGATGGTCACCATGGGCGCCCCGACAAGTCGAGAACCGAGATCGGCCAAGTGCTCGAGACCATCAAGCTCGTGGAAGATGAGCTGGCGAGGCGGCCGCAGCTCGCCAAGAGCGTGTTTTCCGCAATCCCGCAGAAGGTTCGTCCGGCGTTCTGTTGCAACCGGTAGTCATTCTGACGAGACGCCCCTTCCGTTCTTTGCAGCTTTTGACTGAAACAAGCGGCACGCTCGCCTCGCTGCAGGCTCGGGTGATTTGAAGACACCGGGAGAGTTCGTCTCCGAGCCGCGAGGCGCTCACGAAATAATTGTGTCGATAGGCCTACCAGCTCAGGATCACGCAGGACAACCATCGACTGTGTCGTCCGTGATATCGTCCGTGGAGAACTGGCAAGCCGTGACCACTCTGCTCGACAGGTACCGTATGTGAGGAGCACGAAGTGACGTCGTTCGTGGTGATGCAGACCCGGGCTAGGCGCTGTTGGGCGCAATCGCAGGCAGGATCAGAACTTGGCGAGTCGGAAAGCGGTATCGACGAAGGTCAGGCGGCGCGTAAGGATGGCTGTGGGCGTAGCCAGCGCGATTGTATTCCAAATTCTTCGACAGATGGACAGTCTCACCATAGCTCGAACGGACCGGTGGAGATAGTATGTATATGACTTCACGTGTCGATCATGGCGAGATGGAGCCACAGTACCGAACCGCCCAGCTCATCCAATGAAACTCCGGAACGGATTGAACCGTTTGACGACACGTGGCGCGTCTGCAGCCCTGTCTGCTGGTGCTTGGCACGACGTGGTCCCCGTGCGTATTCACTCAGCAACGTACTCAGTCGCGAGCTCACGTCTTTCAAGAGATCCATCTTCTTGGAGAAAAATATCTGCAAGACGATGTCAGACCCACTCTCGCAAATCATGAACGAGATAGAAACGTACTTTGTTGATAGAGTCATCGTGCTCAGAGATTACGTCGAGTATTTTCCGGAGTTCGTGCATGTCCATTTGTATCTGATTCACATTGCGCATAAGTGGTGAACATCTTCTATGTCCTGCACGTACGTTCTTCCAGATGAAGGCCAGGGTCTGGAGTTTCTCGCCAAGGTGCTCGACGTCGGCCTTGGTGCTGGCGAGTCTCTTCCCATAGAGTTGATATCTTTTCATGGGCCCTTCGAGCTCTTCCACTCTGACCTTCGCTTTGGTGAGCTCTTCCTCAAGACCTGTCATACTAAACGCTCGGCTATGATGTGCACTGAAACGAGGAACAACGCACGCTGTCGTTCGAAGCCAGCAGTGACTAGACCGGCATTGCACTTAGCGAGTTTGAGAGTAGTGGTCTAAGCGATGTTCGATGAGCTGTGAAAGTGTGGGTTCGTGTCGCTCGACCTATACTCACCGTGACAATATACATCGCTGAAGGCGCCAAATTGCGGAAAACTTCCGATAACGCAGAGCATCCTTTGTACACGTTATCTGAGATTTCTTTCCCCAATCCATCCATCTACAGACAGAATGGTGAGTGGGTGATGGTACATTTATAATCAGCACACGGCTCACCTTCGCTGACACCCTACCGCAGAAATGAACTGTCAACACCGTACTACACCGTTTCAACTAGACGAGACAAAGACTCACTGCTTTACCTGCGCATCTATGCTGTCGAACTTCTCCTTCGCAGATTTGAGCGCTGACGTGATTGGCTCTCCAGCGCAGTCCAGCGCCATCTGGATATCGGTCTGAAAGATTGACAGTTCCTTGACGAGCTCATCGAATTCGGAAGTGGTACTGCACGCCTCCGCGCTTTTGACATCGGCTTTCTAATCTGGAGCATCAGCAAAGAACGGAACGTAGGACACCACGGACGTACTTCAATAAGCTTTTGGAGCTCGGATTTCGCCCCGTTCATGACATCGTTCGAAGCGTTTTCGGACACAGTGTCGAGAATGATGGTGAGCACTGAATACACTAGCTTATTCAATTATCTATGTGTGAGACGCATTCGGGAACTTACGTTTCATGAACAGGGACGCGTCTACCGCCTTTTTGTGGCTGTCATTGAGATATGCGTCGAATTTCTATGGTCATGCACGTCAGCGCATAACATGCGTAGCAGAAGGGGGAAAACGATGTACGAAAGAGAACTCATCCCATTTGGGACCGAGCTGAATCCACTGCCGTTTTTTCTTGTCGCGAAACCGTGCCTTGTCGAAGTAACTGAGATCGTCGCGGATCCGGCGGTTGGCTTGACGTATTTCGTTGACAGTGGCCGTAAGTTTCCTGATCTCTTCCAACGCAGTGCGTTCCACTTCGCGTGACTGAAAGAGCTGCTGTACGCTATCAACGGCGACATCACCGCCATGAAGAAACAAGGTTTGAGGCATCTCTTCGACCCGTGGATCGCATGATTCTGTGTAGGTGGGAGGCGCAACACGCAGTGGGTTCATAATGTGAGGAAGTGAAGACGTGGGGTCGTTTACCCTCCTTCGCGGACTTTTATACTCGCCGATCAGATATTTCCAATGCTCTAGGGATACGAATGGGGCAATGTTCGGCGCGTCTCCCCGATGAATGGGAGGAAGGTCGGTCCACCACACCTCGAACCGTGTGCAAGGGTGACGCGGCGTAGATAGACACGACTCAAGTCAGCGGACCAGCTTCCTTGCCACTGTGCGGTATGACCCTGATTGAAATGCATGAGTCCGCCCACAGCCAACAGAACTCCTCGAAACTATCATCGGCCTTCCGAAACCTTCGGTGACGGGAGGAGTCGGTGCGGCCTACGTGAGGCGCGACGGGACGCCCGTGTTCGGAGGATCCGATTATAGAGAGGTTTACAATGCTCACAGAACGGTGTTTTTAGCTTCTTTCCTCGCAAAGTGATAGTTACGGTTTCAAATCGAGCGGGCGGGGCTGTCCGGATCCGCGATTGGAGGTGAGGCACTAGGCTCGTCGATGCTGTTGGCGACCTGCTGGCGCTCTGCGGTTCTTGCCATGCGACTGCGGCTCCGTTTGTGCCACACACGAGGCCTCGGGAAGACAGGTTGATACGGCGCGGAGACAAGGTGGACGTGTGCACGGCGAACATGACGTGAAGCTTCTGCCGCTGAAATTTCCCGGCGCCTCCCGGCCCGGACCGATCCGTGAGCCTCGTCCACGACTTGTCCACGACCATCGACGGTGCTGAACTCGGCAATCTCATTGTGCTCTGCCCTTCGACGGAGATGTACAACGGAGACAGGTAACATGCAAGCGTGTATGCTCACATGGCTTCCGCCGAACTCCCGCCTAAACCGTTTTGCTGCCACATGTCTACTAACACCGGTCGTCTTATAAGTCCTCGTGATGCAACGGTGTGGCCCAGCAACATTCCTCTCGGACCCCTTCTCCCAGCCCCGCCAAGCACATGTCCATCGCTTTACCCGGCACAGTAACTCAAGAGCTCCACGCTCTCGAGCGCTCTTCCAGCGAGCTCCGTCGCTTGCATATAGAGAGCGAGGCCATTTTGCTTCGTTTGGATGCCAGGCATTCTTCCAATCTTCGCCCATCCTGGACTTCTATATACACGGTACGGTGATAGGCTCATTTCGGGATACTGCTGTCTCATCGCTGTGGCCACCAGGAGCTCCGCAAGCTTCATCCTCATCTTGAACGGTTCTCGGCCGAACTCTCTGCACATATAAAAAGCAAGTGCTTTTTTTCCAATAGCTTCTCATTGGTCATGTGCTGATCTTGTCGGTCATAGTATACCTGGCTGTTCAAGCAGACTTGAGAGATACCGCGCTGACGGAAGACACGATTCAAGAACTCAGATCTCTAGAGAAGGTGATCCATGTCCCATCGCGGTGGCAAGACCTTCTTACCAACATGCCCTCTAGAAACTTCGCGACATGAACCTCGACCCCATATGGGCCGACTTCTCGGCCGTCGCCCAGCGATACGGCGCGTTCAGAGAAGACCTTAGACGACAACTGCGGCGTCATACCATCGACGTTGTCACGGACATGACCCGCAATCCTGGTGCCAGGAAGTCCGTCTATCGATATTCTCAGTGTGAGACGCCGTTCTCATTGTCTCGGCATACGCTCCAGATCCCCTCGGTCCCCTCCACGCGCATCGTCCGCTCCCCAAATGGGACGCTCGAGAGCATACGCCCTGAACCCGGGACTGCGAAGACGTACGACTGCTCAGGAGTGTTTCAGCGGTAAATCAATACAAGAAGAGCCCGATTCGCTGGACGCCAATGGAACCCCATCCTGCTTGGACGGCGTGAGGGTGGCCGGCGCTTCGCTGTGGAAGGCTCTCGCTGGCCGCTCGACGGCGGCTCAGAGCGGAGGATCCAACGCCGCTGCCGGCACCAGCGGTTCAATTGGCACGTACCACGCGACCCACCGCGACTCCCTCTTCGCTTCCTCTCGCTTACATGCAATTTCCGCTGCGCAGCTGCCCTCCAAGCTCCCCACCAAGCTCCCGGAGATGTTCACCATGGGCGCCCCGACGGATCAGAACGGAGATCGACCAAGTGCTCGAGACCATCAAGCTCGCCGAAGAAGAGCTAGCGAGGCAGCCGCAGCTCGCCAAGGCGTTTTTTCCGCGATCTCGCAGAAGGTACGCCCGGGTTCCGTTGCAACGCGGTGATAGTCGCCCTGACGAACTGCCTTACTGTGCTTTACAGCTTTTGGCAGAAATAAACGGCACGCTTGCCGCGCTGCAGGCCCCGAGTGATATGAAAACACCGGTAAGTGTTCGCCTCCGAGTTGATCCCGACCCGCCTGCACGGTGCTCATGAGACGCTGGTGTCGATAGGCCGACCAGCTCAGGATCACTCAGGCGAACCATCGAGTGGTGTCGTCGGTGGAGAGCTGGCAGGCCGTGACCGCTGCGCTCGACAGGTATGCGAGGTGCGCAAAGTGATCGGCGCTCTGGACGAGCACAGCAGAGTTCGGGTGTCGCTTATATTATCACCCACGCTCTGCGTTTTTATACATGCTGGACATGACCAAGCCTAATTATTCATTTGCCGAGAATTCTGCACACGCGTTCGGACTACAGACACTCTGTGCTCGATCTCATTTTGCGCTCCTTGCGAACTTGTCCAGCTGCGCGATCACCTCCTTCCAATGCACCACCGACGTGGCCAGGGTGTGGTCCATGATGGCTACGCTGCGCTGGTTGTCCTACAATGCATATCCGGCATCAGCGCATCCCCGTCAGCCTCATAGAAATGCGCGCGCGCACCGTGGATGGGTCCTTCTTGATCGCATCCAGCGCCTCGAGGCAGTCGTCGATCTCCTTCGCCAGCTGCGGGCGAACACAGCCCAGTCAGCGCACGCCCTTAGACCCGTCAGAGGACCGGACACTCACTGCGTTCGCGACGTCAGAGAACATCGCCTTCACCCGCTCAGTGTCCCGCGTCGACGCGGCCTGGACGAGCTCGAGGAGCGCGGGGAGACCGTCAACGCTCGCGCGCGCACGCGTGTACTTGTCCTGGTCGATTGGCGGCGGCGCCTCGTGGGCTGGTTTCGCAGCAGCTGCGAAGATGGACCGTGAGCGCGAGATGGGAGCAACGCAAGGAGCAATACCGTTGGGCTCTTGCCGGTTTTAAATGACAGGCTGCCACGGAGCGTTTTCCACGAAGACAGAGGCCCGTGTGACCGAGGACTCGCGTCTTTCGCCGCGACTTCCACGCGGGGATCCGGAGTACGGCTCAGCGGCGTCCCTGAATGGGTCTTCGGCAGCTGAGGATCCGGGCCTCTGGGGGGCACATTGGGTTCGGAGCCGGTGTTGAGTGGCCCAAAGGGCCTGCGCTGAGAGACAGGCGCCTCCCCCTCGGACGGCAGGGGAGGGAGGGCGTCCATCTTGCTCTTGGAGGGCTTAGAGCGTACGGTGGGTTGCGCGTGGCCAGCGGACGCCTTCGCGGTCTTCGTTGAATGGCCGGGGATAGGAATGCAAGCAATACCTACCTCGGAACTGAGAAAAAGATGGATTAATGAAACTCGCGAGGGCGAATGAGAGCAACTACGTACGCGGTTGGACTGGTTGTATATTCGGGATTTCAGAATCGGCCTGGGACTCGGCGACTTCTGGAGCATCATCGGAGTTCGGGGTGGTGAGCGCGACTTCCATCTCCTCGAAGAGCTGCCGGTAACTCTCGACAAGCGTGGAGAACGATGGTGAAAGATCGAAGTCCATGGACTTGATCGCCTGTAACCGATGGGGGTGTTGTCAAAATACGGAAGACGGCAGAGCTATACAACGACATACGGTCTGCAGAGCTTGCAGGTCATCGATCGTGTCCTCCGTCTCTTCGGGATCCTTCAAGTTGGCCTGCTGCGCGATGTAGACTGTTTGAATAGCAGGCAAGATAGAAATTAATATTCACGTTCAATAAGCCTAGTGCAGAGGTTCCGCACGCCAAAAAACCAACCTTTGATGGTCGCCGCGAGCTTAGTGGAGAACGATTCCGATCGAGATACGATCCCACGATAGTCCTGCGTTTTGGATGAGCACCGGGATGAAATAGACTATCAAGAGGGTCGCACCTCATAATAGGATGTGAATCGCTGGAGAAAATCTTGCGGGGTGTACAGGTCGACGTGCAGGACACTGGCGTCGGCGTTGGTAAGACTGTTACGGAGTTCGCGAGCCGACGCTTCAAGCGCAGTGACGTTGGTGGAAAGCCTGGAAACGAGCTCGATAGACATGGCGAGAATCTGGCGGGGAGATGGGCTATGCTGAGGTTGCTGAGCGTTGCAGCCTTCTGAGGGTACTTATGGAAGCCCTGGACCCCACGGCAGTATGGCGCTAAGCTCGTGTTCATCTGAGCCTATGCGATGCGGAGGCAGCGTTGCCTGTCAGCTTCAGCACACTCGGGCACCCCAGGATCCTCTCACCATATCTGAGTATATCGTGTGCTTGCTACACCCCGTGGTTGAGCATCCGGACCATCTTCAGGCCAATCTCAGCGTCGCCGTGATGCAAGCAGGAGACGAAGGTCAGTTAGCGCCTAAATGGAACACGTCAGCGGAGATCGTCCGGTTTAGGCGCCGCAACGTGCATTTGGCCACCACACGCAAACCACATTCTGCCCCTCTTCCCAGCCTCTTTTGGCGAGAACGCCGCGACGCTCTTGCACTCTGCCATTCCCCGAACGTATTTTTCATTTTCAAGACGTATACATCAATGGTGAGAGGCCACGTATGTCAAGTCACTCGCCAGCACCGATGAATCTGCTCACATTGCCCAGAACATACGGATGAGTAAAAGGCCTGAATGCTTTAAGATAGCATGCGAAGCATTCTTTCTATCTGGGCAGTATCTATCCCATTTAAATCTTCTTTGCGGTCCGACTCCGATCTAAAATATGATAGCCACCATCCACCTCCTTGAGGCACGCCATCTGATCTCTGCGTCCGTTCCCCAGACCGAGTTCTCTGTTCAAACATGGACAGCGCACATCTCACGCTCTGTCAGAAAGTGCAGAAATGCTTCCCCAAGTGTACGAGGTGGACCAGATCCACGCCCGACTCTGAACCTTTTCATGTGGCCTCTCGTTCGTCCTTCCATTGTTGCGTCCACGCAGATCGCACTGACCGGGGACTCGATAACGCTTCCGTGCAGATAGAACGACACCTGACTGTCTCACTCAGACCACCTCGGAACACTCGTCATCAATCGCGGAGCGCCGAAGGGCTCACCCTCGAACCTCCCGCCTCCGAACGTCATACTTAAGTCCCGTCGCCAGATCTCTCTGCTGCAGCGATCTCTACCCCCTTTTTTCGTGCACGATGTCACCGACCGCCACCTATACCCAAACCAAGCCCGCACCCGAGGTCATCTCGATCGCGCTCAAGGCCGTCGAGAGTATCGAGTCCACCGGGGCGACCGAGGTCGTGAAGCAGGCGTTCGAGAGCCCCAAGGTCGCCAAGACCGTGGCCGACGAGATCAAGTCCCTCGCGGCCACGGTGAACGACATCCGGCGCCGGAACCGCCAGATCCGCGCCGACGTCCTCGACTTTGACAACGCGCGGTTCACCCGGCGGAACGGCACGGTCATCGCACTCAGCCCCGAGTGGGACATGCTGTCCAACGTACGTCGTCCGTGTCCATATCGTCTGTCGCCCGCGACGTGCAAGGCTGATCTGATTCCCAGAGGTTCGACGAGCACCTGAACCTCAGCCACAGGAATGCGGTTGAAGCGTCGGCTTTCATGAAACGTGAGTTCGTGACCTCCTACACTATGCAGTGCGCCTGGGTGCTCACTCGGGTCTTGTGCAGAGTATACCAGGGCGGTGCTGGAAGACTTCGACCTCGAGGAAATTCAAGACATCAAGAAGGATCTAAAATTCTTCGCGGAGGTGGGTGTATCCGGCATGACCAAGTCGAACTATTTACTAATGACTTTTAAAGAAACTGAACGAGAAAGTCGACGGAGCTCACAAGACTCAAGTGAAGTTCGAGTCGCTTGCCAAGGACGTCGCGCTCTTCAAGGAGAAAATTGCGATTGCGCTCGACGACGCGGAAAAGCCCATTAACGACATGTTGAAGCCGGCGGAAGAGAAGTTGAAAGGAATCGAGGCGCAAGTTAAACAGTGAGCGTTCAGCACGAGGAGCGTCTTCGACTTGCGCTGATCGTCGTCTACTTCGCGCAGCGTATCAGACCAGGTGAGTCGAGGGACTTGTTGATCTTCATACTCTTTGTCTCAGTCTCCGCCTTTTACTAGCTCTCCGCCATAGGCAAGGCGACAACAGAACTGCTTTCAATAGGTGCCGGTGCCGTGACCCAAGTAATCCATACACTCGCACCCGGCGCTATGATACTTGTAATCGTGAGTATCGCAGTCCTCGGTCCTCGCGTTCTTTTTGTGTGAGATGACTGAAATTTCTGGCAGACTACCATTTTCGAACTCGCGGAGAATGGGGTGGAGTACTTGAAGCTACGCCGAGAGCTCTCCTGTGCGTCTCCGTGAGGTCTGCGCTCCATGCACGTCGCCCTCATCATTCCGATCTCACAGCCTTGAAGCCATCCCTGGAGAAGGCGCGCGAAGAGTTCCGACAGCGCGAGGAAGAGCACAAGAGGGAGCACCTGCGGTATGAGAAATACGAGAGGAGTCTCAGGGGGACCCAGCGCGAGATCGACGGACTCGTCGAGAAGCTCGAGGTCCTCGCGCACATCTGGCAGCACGTTCGTCCCATTTTCTTTTCCTTTTTCCTGATACACGCCGCTCACAACAAAGCTTTCTAGCTCCAGATCGACATGCTTGAACTCACGACGCAGCTTGAGCTCGTCGTCGGCTCGGACGAGTCTAAAGTCAAGGTTCTTGCGTGCCACGCTTACAACCGACTGCTTGAGAGCTAACTTCGTTGCACAGCGCTTCGTTAGGAAGCTCAGCGGGACACGAGACCTGTACAGGAGTCTCACCGAGATGCTCGACAACTACGCACGGGGCGTCCAGGACTCGAACAAATGATCGATGGTCGTCGCCCGTGTTTGGGCCGTCTCCGTCTGGCACGGGAGCTGGTAGCGCCCTCAGAAGGCAAGCGTCGGAAGGGCACTGGAAGTCTCGACACGCATCTGCCGGGAGCGCTGGCGCTTTTGTTCCCATTGTAGATAGCATGCGCGTGGATACCGTGTACAATAATGAAATCGTCGCTCACATGAACACGAATATTCTGCGTCGACTCCTTCATTTCCTTTGCCTTCGGTCACTTACCGGTTACCGGTGGCAGCCAGTCTCGGTCGAGCGAAGCAGTAATATATAGAAACAGGGGTGTCGTGACCGAATATGAGACAAATAACATTGCGTACGATGCATCGATGCCGCACGTCACTGATTGCTTACAATGTACGCATCATAGCGGCGTGTTTCTTCTATCCTGTCAGACAATGAGCCCGTAGGTTTCGCGTGAAACGGTGAGTCGTCACGTACTGTATTCCGAGTTCCTCCGCTCTCACACCGTATTTGACGGCGAGCTTCAAGTGATCGTCAGCGCTATCCAGCTGCGCGTGCCAAACTGCTTTCCACAGTTCATCCTGCAGTTGGGTGTCCTTCTCGGCGCGTGACGGCAACGGCGCGAAGCGGGCATCCCATTCGGCCTCCGTAAGTTTCGCGAGCCTAGGATCCTTGGCGCGACGCTCTTGAAAACTACCCAACCGGTATCAGTGAGCACTGTCAGCGGCGAACGAGGAAAAAGAAACATACTACGTGCGCAGGGAATCCGTCGTCCGCCGGGTCAGGCGGGATATGGCCTCGATTTGCTCCTCGCTGGGGCACTGGAAGCCGGAGACGTCGTACATGTAAAACAGGAGCGCTTCCGCTCCCCGAATGGAGACAGGTTCACGGAAGAGGATGGAGGATGCCTTGAAGTTGGCGCACCACTGCTTGACGCCGACGTCGACCCCCGCACGCACTCGGCTTCGCTTGAACCTGCACGGCCGAAATGGCGTGAGCAAGACGAGGCGACGGCGCTAAAGAGGACTGAGAGCGCACCATTCTGCGACTGTGTATTCCGCTCCAGGACCGAGCCCCTCGGAGAGCAACTTGATGTCGAGATCGGTCGGCCTGGGGTCTCTTTTGAAGGACACAAGGAGGGGAGCCTCCGCTACGGCATCGATTGTGTTTCGCTTGTTTTCGCGGAATTGTTCCATGAGGGCAGTGAAGGCATGGCGCTCTATGTCGTCCACGCCAAGCACAGGAAGGGTCGGGATCATGTTGGTGGTCATTGAGTTGTTGTGAGCTGGGCGAGAGACAGGGTTCTGCGATGGTTGAGTATGCCCATGACGGAATTTATATACTTTAGAACTGAATGAAGTGGCTCACAATAGACACGAATCGCTTGAGCCAAAGCGTGCTTGACGTGCATCCATGCTTGGGTGGCACTGGGACTCGGGAGTGGCCAACTCGCCGCGGTGAGAGTGGCTTCCTAGGGCATGTTTTCTGTGATTAGCAAAAACAATTGAGCTTGTTCAAGATCGGACGACAAGTTCAACCTAGGAGGTGACAAACACTAAAACGTACCACATGGGCTCCACTTGTGGTTCTCAGAATGGGATATTGGTCCATAGTGAGGCAGAACCAATCTGGAGTAACAGGGACTTTGGCTCGACCGCGAGGTCAAGCTCAGCTTGATTGGAAGCTGCGTCCACGTCCGCGAAAAGCTGATAGCCAGGCAATGTATGTAAGCGAGATGCATGAGGTGGTCGGAGTAGCAGGGACGATGCACGGTTTGTAGAGCTCCATTTGGCCGCCCTTTTCATCTGGATGTGAATGTGAGCTCACTGCACAATATATACCACAAAAATAGCACAGAAATGAGATTCGAAGCACTGTCGCTGCGACGCCCTATTGCCTCGGGAACAAGGCGACCTCCATGGACCTGGTGGAGGGAGCACAGTCGTGGGATGGGTTCGACTTCGACGCAGTGCGGTGTTTTGTACACATACTGAAAGGAAACACACCTGCATGATGCACGACTTCCGCTCATTCGTCCAACAACTCTGCACGAGGTCGTCAGGCGGAGCTTTTGCAAGTACTCATACATTCCGAGAACGAATGGACAAACGTGTAGACTGGCACGTACACGCACCGCCATCACGACCCGCGCGGCGGATCCCTCTTCGCCGCCAACCGCTCCGTGTCGTCAAAGACCGCCTGCGACGCCTGCGCCCGCTTCTCCACCGTCCCGAGCGAGAACTCGTCCCCCGCCCCTCCCCCGCCCCCACCGCCCTTCGACCCGACCCTCCGCAAATCCCTGGCCTGCGCAATCGCGCGCGACCGCCCGACGTACGTCTGGAAGACGAACAGCGCGATTGCCTGTCCCAAAAAACCGTCAGCCCTCGTCCCCATACGTCAACCACGCCCTGAAGCCCGAAAAAGAACCGACGAAGGGACGACAAGAAGGAAAAGACGCAGGAAGGATGAACAAACGAACTAAACGCACCACCAGAAGCGCGCCGACCATCGTCCGCTCGCGCCACCGCTCGTCCTGCGCGGGCTCCCACTGCGCGCGCCGGATCCGCGCCGCGCGCGCCATCGCGGAGCTCAGGTCGTGGTACGTCGGCACGCGTGTCGGTCGCGCCTGTGCCCCGTCCCCGCCCCCGTCCAGGCCGGCTCCGGCGAGGGTCTTTCCAGAGAGCGCGGCGTACGCGGCGGCGATGGCCTGGAAGCGGGCGTGCGCGGCGTCGGGGGAGACGCCGCCGGCGCGCGCGGCGGGCGAGTCGGGGTGGTAGATCCGGACGAGGTCGTAGTCTGCGGGGGGAGACGGGTGGGGAGGGGGAGGGTCCGAGTCAGCGATGAGGTGAGGTGTGCACGAGGAGGGGGCATACGTCCTCCACTTAGGACGACGTCGGCGAGGGGGACGAGCGGCGCGAGGGGCGGGGAAGAGACGAGAGAGAGAGAGACGTACACCGCGCCTTGACGTCCGCTCGGGTCGCGCTCGGCGGGAGGTGGAAGATCTGGTGCGGCGTCGGGCGCGCGGCGGCCGGGAACGGGTACGGGTTCGCGCTGCTGCCGCTTGTGCGGGGGCTCGAGGACGAGGACGCGGACGCGCTGCTTGGGCCGGAGCTCGATGCGTTGCTCGAGCCGGGACCCGACGAAGACGAAGACGAAGAGGAAGGGGCGCTGCTTGGGCGTGGATCCGACGACGATGCAAACGATGACGACGCTGCCCGTGTTGACTGCCAAGGCCCCGGTCCCGCGCGACGAGCCAGGCTGGGTGCGCGTCGTGACCCAGTGTGCAGACAGGCGGGACACCGTCGTCGCCAGACACTCGTTGCGCTCGGGAAGACGGACATCGAGGTGGCAGTGGGCAGTCAAGGCGTTGGCAAAGGGCCTCTGGAACGGACGGGAGAGAGGGAGAGGAAGGAGGCCAACAGTCACAGTACGGTGGATGAGTGCAGAGGGATGGCGCTCCGTGCCGGCCCCTCTGCATCTTGTCTGCTGTGACTCTTCTTGTATCACTGATCAAGCGTATAGACGTCTTCTAAATATCTCTCTTTGTGCATCTGCCAGCCCGAAGTTCAAGTCGCTGGACACGCAGCGCAAGCTGAGCTTCTCTGAAGGCACTCGCCCACCTCCGTCATATCAGACTGAATTCAAACCGAGGTCGTCGCACAAGTCACGCAAAGTACGGATGCTCTATGTCTGCTTTATTACGTTTCTCTCGTTACACTAGATGCTGTGGTAAATACTCATCTGCGGCCCACCCGTCGACACATTATGCGACAGTCGCCGCGAGCAGGGATGCGCAGGTGCAGGTCGTGAAGGGATGCACGAGAACAGGGGGGAAGCCGAGACACGAACGAACACACGAGGGCGAGACGGACGCGACAAAACGAGGACGTGCAAGCGACCAGTAGGATCTAGTAGTACGGTGGTGGGGAGGGGCGGGGGCGGTAGGGTATGGGCGTGGGGGACGCGGGGGATATGACACCACAAGAAGCTGCTGACCTCGGATAGCCACGCGGCGTAACCTGCTCACGCTGCCATCGCGCTCTTCTTCGTCTACGAGGGGCGGGAGGGGTTGCGCGCGAGAACGGTACCAGTGCGCGCGGCCTGGATGGAGCTGAAGCGCTGGAGTTCCTCGGGCTTCATCGAGATCTTTTGGCCGAAACCAACCTTGCGGGCGGCGCGACGGATGAACGAGACACGGTTCGAGTAGAGCGACTCGTGGAGGGACGCGGCGCGCGAGGTCGTACGAGTCATCGGAACACCAGACTCCTTGGCCTGCTCGGCGACGGCGGCCTCGTGACGAGCGCGGAGGGACTTGATGATCGTTGCCTTCATCGCGAACTTGATCAGGTCGAGGGGGAAGAACCAGATGATGTCCTATATAACCAAATGAGGGGCTGCGCGACGCAACGAAAAACGAACATGCACTCACCCAGACCCAGACGATACCAACCCAGCCACCTGAGATACCTTGAACCTTGGTGAAGCCCCAATCGCCATACACAGCAATGATCGTCGAGATCAACTGCGCAACACAGAACGCGCCCATCAGGGCGTACGACGGACGCTCCATGAAGAAGAAGCCGTGCGAACGGGTGATGAAAATGAGGGCCTGCGAGATGATGGCGACCTGGAGGTAGACGATCGAGTGAAGCTGAGGGTCGTTGTGGTCGCTCGCCGCGGACGTCAGACCGTTGGCGAGAGTGACACCGAACATGTCGTGGAACCAGGTGGTGCGGATGATGATCGCAACGAGCGCGATGCTACAGCACAGCTGTTAGTGGCAAACCACCGGATAAAGAACCCAAAGGGACTTACGTAGAGAGGGTGAGGTAAAGACCGTACGCGACGGCGTACGCGAAGATCTCGGTAAGATCCCAGCTATCCGGAGTGTTCGACGGGAGGACACGGTCGACGGAGAGGGTCATGATGGTACCATCGTTAAGGAGAGCGATGATCAGAACCATGAACGGCGGGAAGTCGAACTTGAAGGCGAACGCGAGGATGGCGAAGCAGACGACGATACGGATGGTGACGGCGCAGGCGTAGATGGCGTAGTTGCGCATGCGCTGGAAGATGACACGGGAACCGCGGATGGCGTGGACGATGGTGGACAGACCGGGCTCAGTGAGGACAATGTCGGCGGCAGAGCGGGCGGCGTCGGTGGCACCTTCGACGGCGATACCGACGTTGGCGCGGGACAGAGCGGGAGCATCGTTGGCACCGTCACCGGTCATGGCGCAAAGGTGGCCGAGAGCCTGGAGACGCTTGACGATCTCGTACTTGTGTTCGGGGAAGACACCGGCGAAGCCATCCGCGTCGAGGATCATCTCGTCGAGGGACCGGAAACGCGAGCTGGGGTCGGGGCCGTCCTTGAGAACTTTAGCCGGGTACATGTGGTCGCCGAGTCCGAGACGACGGCCGGTCTCCTTCGCGATAGCGAGCTGGTCACCGGTGACCATCTTGACCTTGACGCCAAGAGCCATGGCATCGTCGATTGTCTGCTTGGTGTCCTCACGAGGCGGGTCGAAGATAGCAAGGAGACCGATAAGCTCGAACCCGTTGCCCTCAGCCTCGAAATCGTCGCCGTCAACCTCCTCGTACGCGACCGCGAGCGCACGGAGACCGCGCTGGGCGAACTCCTCGACGTCGGCCTCGAGACGGTTCTCGAGCTCGTCAGTCTTGTTGCGCGTGCAGAGCTCGATGATGATACCGGTCATGCCCTTGGTGACGCGCTTGAGCTTGCCGGAGGACTCCTCACGGTAGGTGATCTCGGTACGCTTGTCAACGGGGTTGAAGGGCTTGAAGTCGAGGAGCTTGATGCCAGCACGAGCGCGGGAAGCATCGCCGATAGCACCGACGACGCAAGAGTCGATGGCGTCCTGGTTCTCCGTGCGCGAGGCGTACGCGGCGAGAAGGACGACATCCTCCGCCGAGAAGGGACCGTAGGTGCGGATCGTGTCACGGTCGATGGTAAGCTTGTTGGTCGTGAGCGTACCAGTCTTGTCCGAACACAGAATAGTGACGGCGGCGAGCTCCTCAATGGCAGTGATACGGGTGACAATGGCCTTGTACTTCGCGAGCTGCTGGGCGCCGACGGCGAGCGTGACGGACAGGACAGTGGGCATAGCGATGGGGATACCACCAATGAGGAGGACGAGGATGTTGTCGAGACCGCGGCGGTAGGAGTAACGGAAGCCGGCGTAGAGGGTGAGGATCTCCGCAACGACGAAGATACCGATGACGACCAAGCAGAAGGACCCAATCTGGGCGAGAATCTTCTGCAAGTGACCGGTGGTGTCGTCGTCCTGACCGACGAGGTTGGCGGCGCGACCGAAGAACGTGTTGGGACCAGTGGAGATGACGACACCCTCGGCCTCGCCCTGCTTGCAGGTAGAGCCGCTGAAAGGGACGTCAGCCACGTGCCCAACGACGTCACAAACGACGAAAGACTCACGAGAAGCACTGGTCGCCGGTCTTCTTGCTCTGGGGAAGGGACTCGCCGGTGAGAGCAGCCTGGTCGATAGAAACGTTGATGGCCTCGGTGAGACGGCAGTCGGCGGGGACAATGTCACCAATCTTGAAGGCAATCATATCACCGGGGACGAGCTGGGCCGACTCGATCTCGCGCCACTGGCCCGCGCGCTTGACACGAGCCTTGGGAGCCAGCGAGTCCATGAGCGCCTTGACGGCGTTACCCGCATTGCGTTCCTCGTAGAAGCCGATACCGGAGTTGATGAGCAGGAGGGTGACGATACCGACGAAGTCCTGCCAGTCGGGGGGACGAGACTCGCCGTTGGACAAAGCGATGGCGACGAGGGCGGCGGCTTCCATGACCCAGGAGAGCGGGTTCCACATAAAGGAGAGAAACTGCGCAGCGGGGTCAATTGCGTGCGCCGCCGAGACGCAAGCGGGCTACACACCTGGAGGAAGGGGTTCTGCTCCTCGCTCTCGAGCCTGTTGGGGCCGAAGAGCTCAAGACGGCGGTTGGCTTCCTCATCCGTCAGACCGTTCTCGTCGCACTGAAGCAACTTGAAGACGTCGTCGACGACGATGGTCTCGAGGTCGACCTTCTCCTTGTCGTAGAGGTCCTCAGCCTTGAGTTGGATCTGTGCGAGGCAGGGCAAGTCAGCAAATCGTCAACGCAGCAATGAGCCGTCCCGTGACTTGCCTGAGACATATCAACCTTGGCGTCTTTAAGCGGGACGCGACTTAGCTGTCGGCTACGGATACGCGAAGAAGCGATGGAGACGTACGGGTGGGCTTTTCATCCTCCTCGCCAAAATCCTTGTACTCTCTCTTCTTCTTTTCGGGCTCGGGAGTGATCTCCTTGGCCGGCGCAGAGGCGTCGGCCACCTTCTCGACCGTGGGGTCGGACATTGGGGGAAGGGGGGAGGGGAGGTGACGGGGGGAGGACCGGGTCGTCGGGAGGAACCCTAGACTGAGCTAGAAGGCCTGCAAGTGCGGCGCGGACGGGCGAGCGGGCGACGACGGGAGGAGGAAGAGGAGGGAGGATGGAACGTCGGCGGCAGCCGCCATAGTCTTAAATATCCGGCTCCCTCCCACCCGCGAGATCACGCCAAACAGGACCACACAGTCCGCCAGCCGCCTGATCCCTCCTTGATCCGGCGCACGCCCGCCGAGGGCCAATCTCTGCCGCGTCTTTTCGCCCGCCCCCGCGCCTTCGCCCGCGCGCGAGTCGGCCATGCTCGTCCTCGCGATAACGCTCTCCCCGGCGGGCGCGGGCGCGGGCTCTGCGCGCTGCGCTGCGCTCGAGGGGCGTGTATACGAGCCGCCGCGCCTCCGACTCGGTCGACCACCCCGCCGCCGTCGCCCCCGCCTCAGTGCATGCTGTCGGGCGTGGCGTGCTGCCAGCGACGCCCGTTGCCACCCGAGCGGACCCGGCGCACCCAGGACTGTCTGTCGATTGATCACCGTCGACTCCGCCGGGGCGGGCGAAGGGTGCTCGTCTCCTCGTCAACGTTCCCGCCCGGTCGTGTGCGCCGCCCCCCGCGCCGTCTCGTCCCCCACTCGCGCGCGATTGGCCGCGGCGGGTGGCCCAATGGGTGCGCCGCGCTCCCCGCCGTCCGGTCATCAGCCACGCTGATGCGCGCAGCCCCGTCTAAATGATGTATCAGCCCGCTATCTTCCCTCCTTCTGCCCCCCTCCGCTCCTCCGCGCACGCTCGAACATATCTCAATCACGTACGTTCCCCCACGCACCGCCTCTCCAACTCGTTCGCGCGACGTCGACATCCCCGCACCCAGCGGGTGCCCATGGATATCAGCTTCGCACACCGCACGGCGCACGGCGTCGAATCAGAGCCCCCTCGCGCGGCGGGTTTATGCGGCGCGGCGGTGGAGGGGGGCTCTATCGGCTATTATGCGGGCGACCTCGCGGAACTTCTGACCGGGTGTATATAAGCGTCCCTTTCGAGAACGCGCCTTCAACGTGCACCTCGTCCCCTCGACGCCGTGGGAGTGTTCGTTGATGCTCGACTCGAGCGTTGACGACGCGGCGCGCGTCCGCAGCACGAAAAGACAATCTGGACGGAAGCCCGGCGCATTTCGTTTTCGCGCGTTTTCCCTCCACCGAGCGTGATCGCATCCGTCGTGATAAGCTGTATGTGTGATGGCCATCTTGTCCGAGTGCTGCAGTCAGGGTGCAGTGGTCCACTTTTAAAAGTACCACCATCAAGGGATGCGCTGCCCCGGCGCAGCTGCGTTAACCAACCCTACACAGGACTACATTCATGAAATCTGAACATAACATTCTTCGCACCCCTCCTGAGGCCCGTCCTCAGGCAGATTCCTACGAAATCCCGACGACGGGCGAATTCGCGCCGGGTGCCGGCACGGCAAGAAGTCCGATCGACGACGCTCTCGAACGCTCGAAGTCGAATTTGACCGGGGGGCCTGCTCATCGTCCCCTGGAGGCCTTCCAACGTCCGCCTCTCCATGCCTCAGACTCTAGGCTCCCCTTTTCATTGCGTACGCCCTCAACTCCTTTCAGCCTCCGAGCCCCGAGCTCGCGCCTCCCCGCAGCCCACGCGTCCCTGACATGTCGCTTCGCACCGTCGTCGTCGCCCGTCGAGAACGGAACTCCCGCGGGCGCCAAACTAGCCGTCGCGCCCTGAGCCTCCCGCCGCGCGCGCGGCCGCACAAATATAACCCCTGCAGTGCTCGCGTTTGGGGCCCGAGTTTACTTCTGATCATTTCACACTGCGCCTTCAACGCACCTCTTCGCGCGTCCACAGCACACACGGAGGGCTTCGGGCTGGCAGTCGTACTATTCCGATACATCCCGGGCTCACGCGGAACGCGACCGGGGGCACGCACACGCCCTACACGTTGCACCGTGCGAGGGGCCTCTCGGCCAGCGCGGATTTCGCTCGCTCGGACTCCGCGTGAGGGGAGGCTGCTGCAGGGGGAATGCGGGACGGCGACGGCACGGCGTCCAACGTGCTGCAATCGCGTTCCCCGTCCGTGGCAAATCGCGCAGAGCGGATGACGCCGCGCATGGAACCGGCGGTGCGCGGACATACGCTGCAGGCGAGCGTTCGACACTTGGAGGACCACGCCCGGCCGAGTGCACGCTGCCCAACTTGCGCTTGCCCCCGAACCGTGAACGCGCAGCAAGCGACGTCGAGCAGAATCGGGCCCCTGCTGATTGGCCAAGGGGGCGGCAGGAAGCGCGCGTGCCTTTCCGAGCGACGGACGCGGGCAAATTCGCGATGAGGTCACCGCGGGTGAGTAGACAGCAGCCGAGATCCCATCGTGCCGTTGCCGCCGCCGCCGTTGGGCTCGCCGGGGCTTCAACGAGGTCCTTCGCTCGTCGAGCTCGCGCTTCTCGTCCCCCGACGCACGCTTCTCGCGCCGTCTTGGCTTCACCGCCCCCGCTCGCGGTGTGTTTGGCGGGCGAGGACGTCGGCGCCGGTTCGGCTCGCGACATCTCGCATCCCCATCTGCGCTGGACACCACCCGATCATCCTCGCGTGCCCGTGTCGCCGTCAGATCTCGACATGCGCACAAGTCCCCTTTCAATCTCGCGAGCCATGCAGAGCGCGGCTAGGGGCCATTATCTCCGTCTCTGCTGATGAGCACGCCGCCTCCTCCTCCGCCGCCGGGCGGTGCTCGACTTTCAATCGACCGGGGTTGCCCATTGACGTTGAGCAGGGAGGATGTCGAACCGTCGAGCTGCGTACGCTCGTATAGTTGCACATTCCTCCCTCATAGCTAGTAGCTCTGACTCCAGGCTTCCCCCAGATCCATCCAAGGGTCCTACCGCCTGGCACTGACGTCATTCTATCGCCCACCACGACCATCCCATTCCAACCATGCTCCCGACCTCGAGCCAAGACCTGCCACACCCTGTCGACATCTCGCGGGGCACATCTGGATCCCGAGTCGGCCGGGCACCCATCCCTGTTATTGCCCAGGCCTCGGTCCCAGGCATGCATTGTAGAGCGAATCGACCGCACGGCACAGGTCGCTGCAGCCAGCTATGCTCGGAGCCGCTCAATGCGCGTGGCTGTCGGATATGCAGACCCCGGCGGGGTGGTTCGGAGGACACAGGGCGTACGTACGAGGAGTTGACTGGAACGCGCGCGCGCCCGACTGCCATGCGCGAGGTCGTGTGCCCGCACGCGATTCCGAATTCGCTGCCGGCAGCGGTCAAAAGGCTCGTCGGCTGCGGCGGCCACGAGTTCATTGTGCGTGCGACGCCGGTGCGGGCTCCACTCGTCGCGCGCAAATCCTGTGCGCGCGACGGGCCAGTCGCCGGTGACGAGCGCGCTCGGGTGGGGTCGTAGGTTCGGGCGTGCGCAGGCAGGAGGACGCTCCGATGACGACGGAAACCGCGTCCCGTGTCGGCCGACGTCGAGCTCGTAAGTACATAGAGCAGAAGCTCAGGCTCAGAGTTGCGTCGACTGCGCGTCCGGGTTGGCGTCGGACGCACGCCGCGTCCTCTGCGCGTGCTTACAACCCTCTGCAGTGGTTTTTGCGATAGGTCGCGCCGGGCTTTGGGCGGCCCCATCGCGCCATTCCGTCCCTTTCGCTGCCATCGGCGTCGGGGCTGGCTCGGCGCCCCTGTTGCGCTATTTGGGGCCACACGAATGGCTGAAATTGCGCGAGCGGCTTTAGACGGAGGCGCATGTTTCTCCTCCGGCTCCTGAGCTCTCTCGTACAAACACTTGCGTATGTTCCGACGCACAGGGCGCACCGACCCGTCGAGGTGCTTACCCAAGCACACAGAGAGGCGCGAGCAGCGAACGGGCGATCCGCGGCGGACTGGTGCGTGCGCGAGGATCGTCCGACGGTGCATGGCCAGCGCCGGCAGAACTTGCAGGATCTGCGTCCGGGCGGCGGGCGAGGGGCTCCAGATGATTCGTGTGCATGTGCAAGTCGTCCTGCCTGGCCCGAGTTCTGCGTCCCCTGAGCGTCCCACACGTGCAAGAGAGAGAGGGTGCGGGGGGCGTTGCTCACGCTGCTTACGGTGCCCGTCCGGTCTGACGCAAGAGGCGGAACCCTGCGGCGTTTGAGACTGTTTGAGATTGGCTCGTCCGCTTGCCCGGTCCGAGCTCCGACGCGGAATCGGAGCTGCCGGTGCTCAAGCGCTCAAACTCACTGTCCAGCTCGATGATGACCGCCACGACCAGATATCGTCTCCGACGACTTCGAGACCCGACTCAGCCCGTGTCAAAGGACACGCTTGTCTCCTCCCCCGTTCGACACCGTGCGTTCTCTCTCTCTCCTCATTGCCGTCGCGCACCGTGCATTCGCTCGTTTGTCCTCGGACGACGGAGAGAGCTATAGAGCCCCGTCCGTGGCAGAAGCTCAGACGCCACGTCCCCGAACCGTTCCTCTCTCCCCCGCACCCGACGTCGATCGCGCGAACGGTCATGCGCAGATCGTCTCCCGTCGGTGTCGACGACGACCGACGTGTCGAGGCACGCTCGAGGTGTCGCAGCGCGCCCGCCGATCGCACCTTCCCCGCTTCGTGCGCATCCGACCCATATGCCATGGGCCTAAGCTCGATCCCGCCGTCATCGTCTCCTCCTCCTCCACCTGCGACGATGGCGGCTGGATCGAGCCTACTTAGCGGCGAGTGCGTGCACAGAACCCGATCGAGATCCAGCACGCGACGGGCTTGGCACGCGCGCCGCACGCTCCGGACGGCGGACTCTGCAGCTGCAACTGGCTCGGGAAGCTAAAAGACGACGCGGCGTTCGGCGTCGAACTCGAAGCCGCTGGGGGATCAAGACCTACGTGCGTGCATGCGACGCGGCCGCGCACGACGCGACGAAGACCCTCGCGGCGCCCGTTCGCTCCCCCCGCCTCCAGCTCGTGCATGCGCAGGGCCGTCCAGCGTCCACACGCGCAACGTCCGCCTCGGGGCGCACGCCGATCAAACGCCAAGTTGAAGTACGCAGTCCGTCGGGGCAGGTCCCGCTCCCCCCGCCGACGCGTGCTTGGCTCGCGGCGCATGCACGCGGCGCGAATCGAGGGACGCGGGCGTCCGTCACTTATAGATCCAAGTACGGCGGCGGCGCTTCGATTCGCGCGCTCCGCCGCTGTTTCGCTGGTGGACTTGAACTTGGGGCGCGGCCGCTGGCTCGATCGGAGCGTGCACATCTTCAGCGTGCTGACCGCTCCCTCCCAGCGACGAGAGACCACCGAACGGTCCCGCTCGACGCTCACGCGCGAGTCGGGACTCGGGATGCCTCAAGGCCTTGAGGCCTTGGGGGATTGGCCCGCCTCGTGCGAACCCCCGGAAGCCCTGGATCGGGGACGAATGGGGACGAGGATGGGAAGCGAAGTTGGAACCCGCGCGGCGCGGACTGCGACCACCCCGTCGTCAAGACGGGCGCGAGGCCGCGGTCGTTTTTGCGTCCGTCCGCTCGAACTCTGTCCGCAGAAGCTCGGAGCCCTCGCGCTTGGCACTTCGACGGGCACGCGTTTGTGTGAGCGTGAGCGTTCAACGTTCAGCCTTCCGTCAGTCTCGTTGATTGGAGGATGGGTCGGGGTCGTCGGACTACGGTAAGCCTCGCCGTGCCCGTACGTATGCTTACGACTCGTATGCCACACAGCTGCGCACTCGGAAGTCGGTCGTCGCCTTCGCATTGAACACGCCGCGGCACAACGCGAAGCGAAGAATCAGGATCGCCGTCACCGAAGAGGTCTCTTGGTAGGAAGTCGCAACGGCCATCTTAGAACCGTGCGATCATGCGGAGGCTCGTTCATCAATATCGATGCATCCGCGTTGAGTTGGCGTCGAGAAGAATCGGCTTAGCTTCGTACGCCTTGGCGGTGCGGACCAGAGCGCCTCCGCGGATTCTAGTGCTCTCGGCTGATCAACTCAAACAGTCTCCGATGTCTCCATCTGCAGGGAGCAGTGATCGTGGCCCAAGCGCGGCAGCTATAGCACATGGAGCTGAGGCGGGGCGATAGAGCTCGTCGATAACACCGTTGACGGACGACATCAGTCAAAGTGGCCCCTTGGGCATGATGGCGCCGCGGGCTAGCCAGAAACTCAAGCTCAAACGTGGGTGGCGTGCTGTCTTGCGTATCACTCTCGTTGGCGTTCGACCGGGGCAGGTTCCAAGCATCCTTATACCACACAGTAGATCCAAAGATAGCGCGCAAAGTCTAGCAGCCAGCACGAGCGTTGCATAACGACAGACGACGAACGGCAGAAGCAAAGGAGGAGCGCGCGGCAATAAAGTGAACTAATAAAAACATGGTGCAAAGTCAGGTAAGCGAACGGACGGGGTCAACTGCGACTCGGAAATCCAGTGCGGCCGTGAACGAAGACATGCACGTGAACGTGAACGTGGGTGACGGGAAGCATATGGATAGATACGAGCAATAAGGGTAGTGATGGGCGTTGTGGGCAAACGGTAACGGAAGGACAGCGGGTAGCACGTGCTCGGATCCAGCGAACGTAGCAGCGAGGGGGGAGAGGGGTGGCGCGGGCGCGTCTACAATACATGCACTTTAATCAAGGGGAAGTTCAGGCTTGGCGTGCAGGCAGGCGAGGATGGGTATGCAGGGAAGGGAAGTGGGAGCCGTCCATTCACGGCGGCAATTACAAGGCCTCGCCCATCTGCTGGCGACCGCCGAAGGTCGTGGTGCTCGTTTCGCGCGTGAGCACCGGCCGGCCAGGGTCGAGGACAATGTCATCCTGTTCGTCGATCTCGACCGGGGTGTCCACGGCCATGCTCTCGCGCGACGGGTCGTCGTAGTACGCGTGCAGATGGACAGGTGGCTCGCAGTGAGCTGCGATGGGGGGCGGGGAAGTCGGAGAGCCGGGACATGCCGGAGGTGCTCGTCATGAAGCTCGAGCGTGCGACCGACGACGATAGGGGACACCGAGACTCGACCGCGTGGAGACAATGCGGGACTTGCGCGTATCCGTCGGGCTCGTCGCCGCCTCGGAGGACGGGTACTCGTCGAGGTGCGTCGAGAAGCGCATGGGCTCGGTGACGGCGGGGGGTGTGGAGACGGCTTCGATGGAACCGACGCGCATATCTAGAGGTAAAGTCAACCATGGCGTCTATATGGGAACGAAGCAAAAAACGCACGCGCAGCTCCAAATGGCATCTCCAGCATCGATGATGCCCGACTCGACTCCACGTCCTCCGGAACCACGTCGATTGGCTGGATAGGCGCCTTCCGCATCCAGCGGCAGCCGCAACGGCGACTGCCCACCCTCTCGCCGGAACCCTGACCGTAACGACGACGACTGGGAGCCGACGCGAACGGGCATTGGCTGTCCATCTTCACCGCGCGAGTAGACAGACGCGGTGCTCCACGGAGACCCACGTCCTTCGAGCTGCTCGAGCGCCTCCTCGTGGTCCTGGAGCTCACCAAGGTTGACACTCAGTTGGCGCGCGAGCGTGGTGAGACCTGAGAGCGAGCGTGTGCTGCGGCCTCCGGAAAGCTCGATGGGGATGCTCGTTTTCGTGTGATGGACGGGCGGCTGCCCGTGCTCGGGGGAGCGCTCGAGCTGTCGGCGGAGGATGTACGTGCAACCGGAGGGCGGTAGAAGAGGTCACGGAACTGCTGCATGTCGTTCTCGGTCGCGCTGAACGGGTGAGGAGAGACTGGCGGAGATGATGAAATCGAGACCTCGCCCGGGGACGAGCCCGAGCGGTGGCTTGGGTTCGGACTCGGCGCAACCTGGAACGTCGGGGGGTCGACGCTCTCCATCGTGGAAGACGCGAGCGTGTGATTCGAGGACGTGCCAGTCGTCTCGCGTGGGGTCATCCCCGGGCGGCGTCCGCCAACGTTGGACGAGTCCGTTCGCGAGCGGACACCTAGGATGTCGCGAGCCTCGACGATGCCATCTTCCTCGGCGCTAGGGCTGATCACCACGACATCTTCAGAGTCGTCGGGGGTGTGCGTGATGACGGGTTGAGGCAGAGGGGGTACTTCGTGCGTTTCGCTCGTACCGAGCCCGCTGTCTTGACTTGCACGGCCGCGGAGCGTGTGCGTCAAGGCATCAGCGAAGCCCCATTCGCTCGTCCGCTTCGACGGAGGCCCATAAGGGTGACCGTGAACGGGCGGAACAACCGGCTCCGGCGAAGGCGTCTTGTGACCCGACGAGCTACTTCCACTAGCCGAAGGCGGGAACTCGGAAAGGCGCACGGGCGGGTGAGGATGTAGGCGAGTACTGAATCTCATCGGGCATGATCTCACGAATGGTCCCGGGGCTGAGCTCCGCGAACATGCTTGACAGTGGCGACGGCCGGACATCGAGATACTTGTTGGGGCGGTTCCTGTGTTGCGCGGGGGCGGCAGTGGCGGCTTTGCTTGTGCTGGTGATGTTGGAGTATGGGTGAGGTATGGACGAATAAGGCGAGTATGGATGGAGAATAACGGGCTGGCGATGTCTCGTGGAGCTCTCTCCGGCAGTGCTCGTCGGACTGGATGCTGTGTCTTCAGAAGGACCCGGCTTGACGTCGGTCTGTACCCGTGCCCGCCAGAAGAGCTGGGTTGATTGTACGAGTAGACAACACCTTGCGCATAGGGATGTGCCGGGATACGGATAGGCTCCTGGTCCAGGAGTTCTGGCGTAGGCAACGGCGACCCAATGGCGATGCCGACACCTTCCGCCGAAGATGAGTTGCCTGATGGTGTGGGCGAGGTTCCATGCAAGCCTCCTGGCCCGACAGCAGGCCCAATTTCGATCGTGCCCGCGCTCGGCGGTGGGGTGATGACCACGACGCCGTTGTCGATGATACGCTCGCGGCCAACTTGGTCGCGTAGGTGGATGATCTTCGTCCCACCGTGGCGCAGAGCCGCTTCCATTGCAGCCGCCTTTTCGTCCGTGAGCGTGCGTGGTGCATGGCTCTTGTCGTGCCCGCTGCCGACACCGCACATTGCCGCAGTGTTGTGGACGATACGCAACGCAGACTTGCCAAGTGAGTGGTTACGGCCGTGGCCAGGGGTCCACATGAACGAGTCGTCCGATCGGGGTACCGAGATCGACCCCAGCGAGGCCGAGTGTGCATGCGACCGTGAGCGTGTTCCACCAGAGAGCGGGGGATGCGTGCCAGAGGTGTATGTGCCTGTCATCGTTGTTGTGACTCCGCCACTTGAAGACGCGTGGCCGTCTGAACGTGGTGGGCGGACATGAATCGTCGGTCGTCGCTTTTGCGCAGAGAGTAGCGTGGCTTCCGCGAACGTGTCCAACGCGCTCGGTTCCAGAGGGCGCGCACGAGATCGCCCACCGACGGACTTTGACCGTGCGCGGGATACAGAGCGGGCTCGGTTGCCGCCGAACGACTTCGATGCTTGCTTCTGCCACGCAGCCCGGTCTGCCTCCAACTGTCTTCCGTCTTCGAGCACCCTGCACCCCGTTCAAACTCGGTATATGCGCATCATTTGAACGTGAAAGCACTCACTTTGCCAGAGAAGGTACCGGGCTCGGAACAGCCAGGTCATCCAGTGCCCAACTCTTCGGTCTCCACGGTTTCAAGCTCGCGTCCCCACCCCCCGCCGGCAGATCCTCCCTACGCACCGTCGACGGCCCCGCTTGCGGCTGCGGCTGCATCTGGTCCTGCGCCGAGCTTGACCTGCCCACGGTCGGAATTGCGAACGGCGGCGAGGGGGGCTCAGGGCGGGAGCGCAGCTGGACAGCTGACTGCGACTTCTTCAACGTCTTCTTCTCGCTGATGGGCGGCAGCCGCTGTGCCCCCGGCTCCATCCCAGGCGGCCAAATCGGACTCGGTGGCGGGCTGACGATGCGCCCACTGCTCCCCTCTCCATCGACCCGGAGTGCGAACCGCGGGCGGGCGAGGATGAGGGCGTCGCACCACGTCTCCGCTGCAAACCAGCGCTGACGGCCCTTGGGGAGCATCGCCCCCTGTCGCTCGCCGCGCGGAGGTTCGGGGTCGACATCGACGCCTTGATGCTCAGTCGGTCGGTGCGCTTGGCGGGAAGCAGATAGGCGGGCGCGGTCGACTTGCGATTAAGCGGGTCGAGGAGCTGGACGGAGAACTTTGCGACCTTGGAGGAAACCGGGGCGAACACAGGACTCGAGATAGACGAGTTTTGGGTCGAGGGCGTCGTGGGGGAGGCGAGGGCGTACGGGTGGCGGCGGGAAAGGAGTGTATGGGAGTTTGATCCTTCGGGCTGTTGGGACAGCCCCTGTAGTTGCTTCGGGAGCGTCGAATGCGTGGGCGGTGGGAGCGGCGGCACGGAGTCGTCCCGGAGCGTGCCTGTCGACATCGATGGGTGTATGCGCGGCGACGCGACGGACCCGCGCTGCTTGCCAAACGAGAGGATGCTCGCAAAGCTCGCGCGGCGGTGCGCAGGCGCGCTCGACTCTTGTGATTTGCGAGGGCGCGCGGGCGCTGGAGAGTCCCCGATGCCCCCGTCACCGCTGAAGTTGGCGAACGTACCGCGGCGGCCGTCGTCGCCCGTCGCCCGCGAAGCGTTCGACATCGCCCGGACCCGCGTGCGCGCCCCCGCATCGTTCTGCATCAGCCAGTCGCTGACCATGTGCCCCCAGCTGTCCGTGCTCCGCTCGTCCTTCCGCAGGTCCTTCGGGGGCTCAAGGGGGCCGTTGTAGGGGATGTACCATTCGTCCGCGCGGTCGGCGGTGAGCGGGGAGGGCGAGTTGGTCTTGAAGGGGAAGGCGAGGCGGGAGAGGCGGGAGAAGGGGGACGGTGACTGTGTTTGGGTCGCCATGTTGGCCACCGCGGGTGACCCTCGACGTAAAGAGGCCGCCGAGGACGTTGGCGAGGGTGAGCGGGACAGCAAGCTCGTTGGGGGAGGTGGCGAAGAGTTTGTGAGTGATTTGATGTCGGTAAGCTCGGCATAAAGTGGCGGATCAGACTGACAAGTCGTGCCCACAGCCACCATCATTCGCTCAATCTTCGACGCTCTATGTTTCATAACAAACCTTGCCTCCATATTCTGGCTTTTGGGAACTCTTCAAGGCTACGTGCATTTTCCGGAAGCTCAAATTTGGATCATTATTGACTTGATTCGTCCGGAATACAAGGCAGATGCTGCATTGAGACTAACGACGAGTATAGCGTTACGTCATACTAAACGTTATATAGTAACGAAGCAAAACAAAGGTTGCACGTGCTCAACTCTAGACATACGGTTGAGTAGTAAGTATAATTTCTATCAGCGCGGCGAGTGTCTGCAATAATGCCCGTGCCTAGTATGTACCTGAGTGCCTAGCTTGGTGAGCCTGCGTCGTGCGATTGGAGTTCGGATGTCTGAAAATATGGGGCGCAGACTCGGAGAAGGTTAGTACTACATGATGAGCCGGGCAGCGAACAGCTTACCTCAAGCACGTCTTTGCCTGTCTGCGGTCCCGTCACATTGCTTGCAGTACTCACATGTCACGGACGCTCTCTGCTGGAATGACTACGGACTGGTTCATCTGCGATGTGCAAGTACTCTTATAAGATCGCATCATCGCAGGGAATACGCCACCAATCTACAAACCCTGCCTGTCAACCGAGTCCAAGTAGTTGTCCTAGAGAGGTCATCAAGTCATGGAATTGTGTTTCGGATGCAATATGAGAGTCATATGTCACCAAGCAACTTAGACCAGCTCACTGCTGGAATAGCGACTTACCAAATGGTGCACTTGCGGGCCGGAGTTGCGGGCCGAGTAAGCCGGAGACTGGCGAGATGAACGAAATACCGAAGACAGCTTTGCGCTTTTGAAAACAAAGGTCCCGAGTTGAAGCGAGTTTTCATTAGAGAGCCTCTCGAAGCACGGAGTTCAACACTCGAGACGTGATTCGACACACGCCGATGTGATCATTGAATAACATATACTTATGCAGTGTGCGTTCGTAACCAAACGTGGAACGTGACATGGGTTCGTGATGAAGGACGAGATGAGTGCGGATACAAGGTTGCAAATAAGAAGCGAATGTGGGCAAGGCGGAGAGCGGATGACGGGAGAGACTCTTGTGGGAGTTACGAGGTGCGTACTGTAGACGAGGAGACGATAGATGGGACGAGGCGAGACGAGAGCGACGAGGACGACCTAGCGTTGTCCGCGCCACGAGATCCAAAGCATGGAGAGTTCTATGTATCGACCGTCCAGCCCAAACCGAAGGCAAAACACGGAGAGAAAACGCGACCTGCGCCGCGCTCACGAGCGCATCGAGCCCCGCGACGAGCGCGACGCCATCGAGCCCGCGATTGACGGAGCGCCAGAGAGCGGGGCACCTGCGGTGAGCGCGGCGCCGTCCGTCGTCTCAGCCTCGGCGCTGTGGATGGAGAGGAGGACCTCGCGGATGTACTGAATCTTGTCGTACAGCCGCTGGTCCGCCTTGGCCTTCTCCGGCCGAGAACTGGGCTGGAGCGCGGAGGCCATGATGCCCGCAAGCGTGTACTTCTGGAACTGGTGGTCCGGATCAATGTACGAGACGACGCGGCCTTGGGAGGAGAGCACGATCTTGGAGTGGTCATAGAAGTTGAACTGGAGGACGTCGTGCGAGAGCTTGAAGACGATGACGTGGCGCATACGAAGGTACTTGGAGACGAAGTCCATCCCGCGCGTGCGCTCAGTGTCCTCGTACGTGTAGGTGTGGTCAACGTAGAGGAGGTCCATGATGTAGCGCTCGAAGTGCTTCAGGAGGTATATCTTGTTCTTCAGCTCGTCGGGGTACTCCATGACGGTGTAGTTCTTGCGTACATAGACCGTCCCTTGACGACGAGACGAGATGTAGTCGAAGTGCCTGCGGACCGACATCAGTAAGACGCAGACACGAGACAGAACTGAGTACTCACTGCTTATCAGCGGACAACACGAGAGTAGTGCTGTCGTTGAAGTGCACTCCGACCGAGCCGTCGGTAAGCGCGTAGCCCATCCCGTACTTGTTGCAGTAGTCCACCCAGGAAACGATGAACACCTTCGGCACAGGTAGCGCTTCCTCCTCGGCCAGATCCCGGAACACCCGTCCCTTGGCCTTCATCTCGAACGCCAGGTTGAAGGTAGACAACGCGACGTCGAACCCGTTCAAGCGCAGTGGGACGCCTGCAGGCGCGGGCGGAGGTGGCATCTCCTCGTGCATCCGCTGCTCCCGGGCGCGCTTCTCGAGCACCTCGCGCTCCCGTTGGCGGTCGCGGTCGCGCATTTCTTTCGTCCGCTCCTTCTCCTTCTCTCGTACCCGCTCCAGTTTCTGCCGCTCCCGGTCGCGGGTCACATCTTGCTCCCGCATGCGACCCAGGTCACGCTCGTACGCCTCGCGCTCCTTCGCCTTGTCCTTCTGCAACCGTGCAGCGTCCCGAGTGCGCGCCGGTGGCGGAACGTTCTCCCCGTCGTAGTCGGGATCGTCCGCGCCGCTGGGGACGGCGGGCACCATCTGAGCGACGATGCGCGCCTTCTGGCTCTCGATCTCCTTCGTCCGGATCTCCTTCACCCGTGCCTCGAACTCGTCCTCCTGTTCCTCCGCGATTCCAGTAAGGCCCGGGCGCACGCCGCGCGTGGGGGACTTGACGGACGCAGCGGACATCGAAGGGTCCTTCGCCGCCTGCAGCTTGCGCAAGAGCGGCTGCTCGGGTTTCCCGCCGGGGGTCGCCTGCTGCGCGACGATGAGTGGCTGACGCGCGGACGATAGAAGAGCAGAGATCGGGCTGCCGGGCTGGACTGCCTTCTGGAACTCCTTCTCCTGCTGGACCAGGCTTGACACTCCGCGTGCCTTCGCCGCCGCGAGAGCGGCCGGGTTGGGCGGGGGCGGGGCGGAGGGTACGGCAATGCTCGTGGCCTGGTCGTCGTCGAGCATCGCGTTGCGGCGCAGGCGAGCGAGGTTCATGCGGGACATGTGGGGGGCGACATGGCGGAAATCGGGAGGGCTGTCGTGCGCGGAGACGGGCATGTAGCCCGGAACGATGCCTTCGGTGAACCATACGTGGTCGACAATCTCGTGGAGGGTGGGGCGTTGTGCGGGGTCAGATGTGAGGATCTGTTGAATGAGCTCCTGCACGCCTTTCGAAACGGGACGGTCGGCGGGGAACCCGTAGTCGTTTTCGCGAATACGCCTGAGGGAGGATGTTAGTCCAAGGACACTGCGCAAGTAATGAGCATATACTCACTCGTAGATTGCCTTGACTTCATGGGTTTGGAACGGTGGGCGGCCTACAGCGAGAGTGTACAAGATGACACCGATGGACCATATGTCAACTTCGAAGCTGTGCCCATTGACGGTGTCGAACAGGACCTCGGGGGCGATGTAGTTGGGTGTACCACAAATGGTCTTCTTGCGCTCGCCTGGCTGTTCGATGAGGGCGGCCAGGCCGAAATCTCCGACCTTGACGTTCATGTTCTTGTCGAGGAAAATGTTCCCGAGCTTGAGGTCGCGGTGGATGACTTGGTGCGTGTGCATGTAGTGGCACGCTCCCATAAGCTGAATCATGAAGAAGCGGCCCTCGGGTTCGGTGAAGCGTCTCCGCCGGCGGAGCATGTCCATGAGTGAGCCGTTATGGCACAGCTCGAGAGTCATGTAGACGTTCTCCCCGTCCTCGAAGCAGTCTTGGAAGCCGACGATGTTCGGGTGCTGGAGGGACTTGTGGATCTTGATTTCTGCGTAAAGCTGAGGGCGGACATGAGCACTTTTAAATCGTGATATACGGGACGGAACTTACTTTCGTTTTGGCCTTCTTCGTTACAAGAGATGACTTTGTTACTACCTTGCAAGCGGTCCTTTCGCCGCGAGCGTCTTGAACTTCGTAAACGCGCGCAAAGCCACCCTAGCAATATCACGCAGTCAGTCGCGAGGGAAGAGGGGCGTTGAGGAAATAGCGCGGAGGAAGGGAGAGAATTCGCCCATTGCGTGCAGCGAACGTATGCGCCAGGCTCGCCCCGTCCAAAAACGACGTCGAGGTCCGCACCATATCGTGCAAGAGCGAATCCACGCAGTGTGCGAGCATGCCCAACCCTTAGTCCTCTCCACAGCCTGCCACGCCGAACGACCTGCCGTCATGAACGCAAGCAGAAACGTTTCGACCAAATCTCCAACGGCGAGGATTGGGCAGATGCTCGCCGACCATGTTCAACACGTACTGGCTGGCGTCGGATCTTCCGTTGTCGCCGACCCCTCCACCCCTCAGAGTCCGCATTCAACGTCACCATCCAAAATCCCAAACCAAAGTTCACGGTAGCATCGCATATGCGCGCAAGGAAGTGGCGATGGCCCATTTCTGTCCACCTCCGTCCTCCAGAATCCCTACACCCCGCGCAAGCAATGGGGAGCTACATACCTCACCGAGCATGCCCACGCGGGCGTACTCCAGACCGCGGTGCTTGTCTGCGATGATCTTCGGCGGTGAAGGTGGAATCTCCTTAGTCTTCGGCTTCGGCACAGGGGGCCCAGCTGGCTTCGGTTTGGGTTGCTCTTGCTGTGGCTTCGGAGGGGTCTCTGACCGAGACGGCGGGGGGTGGTGGCGGCCGACTTTCTCGACTTGGCCGATGGCATAGTTGTTGTAGTGCGACGCCGGCGCGAGGGGGTGTCGCCGAGAGGCTTGAGGGGCGGAGGGGTGGTGAGACATCGTGTAGGCCTGACACCGTGGATGTCGTCTTCAGTTGGCGGGGGCGGAGGGGAGGGGTGTCGAGGAAACCGTGAACAGAGCGTGGTTCGCACATGTTCGCCGCATTATGTAACGCACGTGTTGGTTCGAGTTCTCGCGTACCGCGTCGAGTCAGGTGATCGCGACGTGTGAGAAGACTTTGTTCGCCTTCGGTTCGAATCCGCCTTGGAACTCATTGTTTGCTCTCATCATCCCAAGACGAGAGCCGACTTGATTGATACCTCTCTGCTATAGTCTTTATCTATCTTCTTTGTACCATTTATAAATGCTGTGTGTGAGGAAGTGAGCACTCAAACCTACGGGGAATGTGACTTGCTCTGACACATCACTCCCGAAGATTCACTTACTGGCGACCCATTCCGAATTCAAAGAGGCTACGCATATGGCCAACACGTTTGCTATGAGCGTGACTGATACGATATCATCACAACAGCAAGAGTCACCTGAGACCTCTCTGAGTTCCTCGTCGCCCGAAGATCCATCGTTGCAGTTTGGAAGTTTATCCCACATCCATTGACAGGCCGGTTCCTCCAACTGCTGTTATTCATGATAGCTGTCAATTGCAGCGGCATGAGGACACTTGACCTACTCCCAGAATGTCGGCCTCATGTCGGCAACCGATACTAATCCGTATTGGAATCTAGTGCACGCCGTATCTCGTCACTAGACTTGATTCTTCGCCCACCTGACGGCCGGATCCCGCGCTGATGGCGTCATACTCTTTAGACTGCACAGGCACGACCTGTAAACGGTCTTCGCATCAAAGTGAAGGAGATGTTGAGTCGACATTCGACTTCTCGTCCGTCGTCCGTGTGCGGTGCTCGGTCCACTGACACGCCGATGTCGCGGTAATGCTGTGGACCAGACAGAACTAGAAAACGGCTTGTGTCGGGCCATTGAGGTGACGATGCGGCGAGGTATGTGCACTTATGGAAGCCATCAGTCTTCACCGCGATCTAACCAGTTCATTGTTAGTGGGGCAATTGACGGGTCGTGTGGAATGATCCAGAGCCCACAGACCAGCAGTAGAAGTTAGAACCGATCGAACGCAAATTCCGCACAAGTTCATCACGAGGCCCCCAGCCAGCCTAAACTGGGAGCCAGGAGGCGACGCCGCACCCGCGACCGTCGGCGAGCCATCTCGACCCATGCCGCGGGTCCGCACGATCCACAGATGCACTAGCGGTTCCTTCACCCACCGCAGGCTCTCGGCCACCTCATGCCAATCTCGTCGGGGTCATCCTCGCACCCATCAATCAGATATTCCGTGGCAGCGTTCCGCGGCGGCGGCTCGAGCCCGAGCTCGCCCTCGGTCTCCCCGACCGGATGGGAGGTGCTGCGGTGTGACGGTGTGTCCTGCGCGTGATGTCTTACACCGTTCGTCATGCCGCGCGCCCATACATATCGGAACAGACATGCGCGGGGCTTTGCCGCTTTGCATCACGCTAGTGATAGGCACCACGACCTCATGTTTTGCTCGAGGCTTGAGTCGGCAGCCCAGAACACGGCAGGCTCCGCGCATCCATAATCAGGCTGAAGTGCAGTTCAACCCTGTTTTGTGCTTTCGTATTGAACCGGGTGGTCATGTTCGCTGACTCCCCGTGGGCGCGTTCTCAGCGGTTGTGCGCCGTCACGGTGAGTGGAGTGTGGTGCATGTATCCCCACAAACGCGTCGCGCGTTCTGACGGGTCACGGATATTGTTCTACGGCCAGATCACTCTACGTACGACCCCGATAACCACATGACATGCGGGAGATCGTCATATGAACGGGTTTGAAGAGAAGCCCGTCTCAAGCTCATTTGACATGCACTGGAACCCACTATTGCCTTGTATATGCGGGGTGCTCCGATCGAGAAGCACGCTCCGAGCATACAAACAAGCAGGTGACACGTACATAGCCATTCTTCAGACGCTAATACCATCATGTGCGCATTGATTGTATGGACGACAGTACATGCGCTCGCTGCGGGGGATCATAGTGAGGTAATAGTGAGGTATCCGCATTCGCACGGCACGACACAAAGGCAAACACCGTCCAAACCCAAAGCACAAAGAAACCCCGTCCAACGGTCAAACGCCGACCACCAACGACGGAGAAACGCGACGTCTGCGCCTTCTGCCACCATTCGGGCCTTTCTGTAGGGTGGCGGCGGGAAGGCGAGCCGGTGCGAAAGCCGTGGTGCGGGTCCCGGGAGTGCGCGCCCGCAGAACCGGCCGCGGAAACCCCCAACGCCAAACAACGGGCGCACGCGAAGCGCGACGGTTGCTTTGCGTGCGCCGCCACTCGTTGATGCGCTCGGGGCGAAAGGTCCGGCGTCCATCCCGTACTCCCGGGCCTGGGGGAGGACGAATCCGGGAGCGAGGGCCGACGGGAGAAGCCCCGAGGAGCGAGAGCTAGAGCGCGAAGAAGGGAGAAGGGGGCGGGAAGGCCTGGGCAGGCAACACAACACGACATGGGAGGACTGCCACTCGGCCCCGCATCCGACCAGGGCGGGCACAAGCACACTTACCTCCGAGCCATCAGTGGGGAAGCGGCTTGCGGGGCGGACAACGGAACGGGGGGCCGGGCGTCGATACGAAACGCCACTCGGGTCGCGGAGCGGTGCTTCTTCTTCTCCTTTGTGGTCTTGTTTGAAGTGGTTACACAGTGTGCCTGGTCGAGTTCTTGTTCGTGAGCACCAGTCGCCATCCGAGACGCAGACGCCAGACTCGGTCGTCCCGACTCCCGTCGAACGTGCACCGTCCCGCCATCCGGTATCAGCAGAGCGCGGGGTGGGGAACGAGAGAACCGGAGCACATATCGTGTACCCCGGTGCCTGCGGGATCAATGCGCGACCTACCACCCGCGCCCCGGAGGGCCAGACCGCGCGGGCAAGAGCGACGAGCATTGAGTGATGCCCAGCCCAGAAGCGCGGACCCCCGTCGCAGCGCTCCGCAACGCCAGAAGCACGAGCTACCACCAGGCGCACGGGCATCGCCTGCGCACACCCCGAACCTTGCGAACCCAGGCTCTCGGTGCGGGAGATGCGCAGGCCCAGCCTCGACGCGAGCGAAGACGTCAGAAGCGACGCACATGCTTGCGTCGCAACACGGGAAGCCTATTGGAACATCGAATCTCCAATGCCAAGCACACGCGCGTGTGTGCGGGAGCGTCGAGGAGACACCCTCGCCCCCGGGCTCCGCAGCTCCGAGGGCGCAGATCCGGATCGCGGAGACGGAGACGGAGAGCGCAGAGCGCACGGGAGGGCGTGGATCTGCGCCCGGGTCGGAGGCGGAGGCGAGACGGAGATGCGAGAAGCCCCCGCCCAGCCAATCGCGGCGGAAAACCAGGCGCGGGTCGGACTGAGAGCGCACTCCTTCACGCCGACCCGCGCCCGCTAGTCCGATGCGGCGTCGATGTGGGGGAAGACGAAGCGAGGGGGTCTGGACACTCTGCGCGTTTGTATGGCGAGGGGCTGATCTGCGGGGGGTGCGGACGAGTCGGTCCGACTGGACGAGGGGGAGGACAAGGGTGGGGGCGCATCGACGAGCAACGAGCCTCGAACGTCAGCCCGTGCTTCGATGGGGTGCGCTTTCAGGTCGGAGGGAGGGCGGTGGGAAGGACTTCGGCCGCGGAGCACATGGGCGTGATGAATGTAGCTAAGTAACGGGGGAAAGCAGCGGAATAGGTGCTGCGGCGGGCCTGGAGCTGTGGTTAGCACCCGCGTGGGGGCGAGAGGTTTGGTGACGCATGGAGGGCGGGCGTACCTGAGCGGGCTCGTGGGACGTGGTGGTGGAAGGCGTGGAACAGGGTTCGGTCGTTTGTGCGCGTCCATGCAGGGGCTGCGAAAATGGCACAATCCATGGGCTCGATGACCCTGGGCGTCCCTGCATCCGTCCGGCCAATGTCAGTGTCGTCGTATGTCAAGTTTGATTCCGACGGGACCATGATATGACGACAAGATGCCTGTTCGAGTTCTGCTGTTCGGCACCCGTCGACCCGGATCCGACATCTCCCGCACGAAGTCAATGCATGAATAGCTGCGAACAGCGAAACTCTCTCACCCACTCCCGTCTTCTCGACTCACGTATGCCCGCCGCTCTGATTCCCCTGTGTTCCAACCGCATCAGGCGCATACCGACGCTGTGCCCCCGCACGCGCGCCACCTCCGTCACTGCCGCTTCGTCGTCGCCCGAAGCCAGGACGCCGGCGGGATATGGCCAGGAGCGGGTGCGCCATGTGACGATAGAAGGGCTGCGATAAGCTCAGGATGACGATGGATCCTGATGATGGAACTCTCTCATGTCTGACCGTTCGCGTCTGGCTAGCTAGGGCTAGCTCTGGGCGAAGAAGCGCGCCCGTCCAGCACATGTGCGTCAGAAGCAGACGCGCCAACTCCGCGGCGCACCAAGTGCAACCGGACGGCGCGTTACGATGGACACGGGCCTGAACGAGCAGCACGAATCGACCCAGAAAGAGAAACGCGCGATCCGTCAGCTGCGTGGAATTCCGTGTCGCAGCTCTAGACCTGCACGGTGCCCGCAGACGAGGTACCGACGGGGAAAGTACGAGGGTGCGATGCGCGCCGTCCCACTCTGGCGCACCGCGCGCGGCGTCGCGACGAGGTGCTACAGAGTGCGAGCAAGGGTGGATGCTGCCTCGGGCGCGTTTATCAAGCGAGACGGACGGAGAGAAGCTCGTCGGGAGCGGAGCGGAGGCGGAGGGGGCCGTTGGAACGAGATGGCTGAGTGGAGACCCGCGTGATGCGCGCGCACGATGGGCGAACGTGCTCGTCGGTGGCCGGATGTGGGCGCAACGGAGGTGGATGGTGTGGGAGCAGGGGGCGGGCGTGTGCGTGGCAGGCGGAGGGAACGCTCGATGGAAGATGGAAGACGGAAGACGGAAGACGTGAACTTACGAGAGCGTCGGGCACGGCGGCTGTAGCATGAGGCTTTCAGGCCTGCGCTGGCCATGCACGGTGTAGGCCTTGAAGCGTTGCAGTAGGGTCGCGCTCGATGGAGCGACGCGCATCCTCGTCGAGGCGATCCAGCTTGAAGGCTTGTAGCTTGCACCCTTGACGCGTGAATCGACTGCCGATGGCTGCAGATGCGTAAATCGCATCCTCTGACCACCGACGATCTCCCTGCTGTCTATATGCGCTCTGCCCGCCCTCCGGTGAACCTTGCAGCCTGCAGAGGCCAGAACGCGGGTGGATGTGTCTTCGGCAAAATCGAGGGGTCGAGGCGGGTCTGAGATGCAGATTATTGAAGGCACAGGGCCAATCAAGCGAGATCCAGAGCAAGCGAGAGTCGAGAGAACACCGGTGATGGTGCTGCGTGGCCACTGGTCTGAGTCAACGCGGATCGTCGCCCGCAAAAGCGGCAGCGCTCGGGCGCCCGCGAGGCACGAGGCGCCGGCGGCAGCGGCCGCGAGCACACGCCCGCGGCCCAATCGCACGCTGCAGAATCCCGTCGATGTCGGGCGAGTGCGCTGCGCTGGCAGATGGGTCGAGAGTTGGCGGAGGATGGGTGCGCGCACGTAACGCGCCTCGGGACAGGGCACGCACCGCTCGCGCGCGATTGGCGTGCGCGAGGTATTTCCGACTGAGAGCGAGGCGTGTCGGCAGACGAAAGAAGGGTGGGCATGCAGCTGCCGCCGCCAGCCGGCGTCGGCGGCAGTGGAAGGACACTGGAAGATTCAGCGGGACGACGAAAGATGCGAGCGGACGAGGCTCGCCCAGTACTGCAGCACTCGCGCATCAACACGAGGCGTCCCGTAATGGCCAATGCACCACTTGCTGACGAGCGACTCAGTCCGCGACATACGTACTTCGCGTGAAATGCAAAAACATTCGATCCGCAAGCACGATAGTCGAAAGAAGATGACGATGACTGCGCGATAGAAATACTTGGGCTCAGGTTCGGCTTGGTTGAGGTGCCTGCAGGGACTTCGGTCCTCGCCGAGCGCCCGCATGCCATCGCTTCCTCTTGCTTCCAGCTAGCACCAACCACAGACACCTTTCTACCATCCTGCCATCCTGAAAGGACGCTGCACCAGGTCGCTGTATGCGCCGGAAATGACGAACAACAAGTTGTCCACCAGCTAAACAGAATCACGGACCATGGCCTGCTGATCACCCACCGAAACCCGACGGACCGCCGCCTCCGCCCGGGCCTCCCACTAGCCACCGCCCGCATCTTCTTCCAACGCACCTCTCTTTCCGCCCTCGCCTAGACTTGCTCCAGCCTCGATGCAACACTCCTCCAGCCGCCTCATACCCGGTCGGTACCCGCCTCCCGGCGAGTCTCCAATCGCAGACGCGATCCGCGCCCGCCGTGGCGAGCGTGGTCTCCTCCCGCTCGACGGCGCGCTGCTCCACGTTCCGCCCATCGCAGAAGGCTGGAGCGCGCTTCTCGGCGCGGTCAGGACCAAGGGGCGTCTCCCGGGAGACGTCCGGGAGCTCATGGTGCGTCCCGCCTTGCTTTGATCCGGACGGATCGAGCGGAGGCCCACGGAAGCAGGTCAGAGGAAGACAGTACTGAAGCGGACGCCGCAGATCCTGCGCGTCGCGGCGCACAACGGTGCCACGTTCGAATGGATCGCTCACGAGAAGGTTGCGCGCGCCGAGGGCCTCGGGACCGCCCAGCTGCTGCTTGCCCGCGACCTGGGCGTTGTGGGCGACGCCGGGGTGCTCACCGAGCTGCAGCGTGCTGCTTTGGCGTTTGCGAACGAGAGCACGACGGCGGTAAAGTCACGGATCGGACGACGGACGAACTACGCGCTGCGCTGGGCGGGGATGACGATCTGTTCGTCGAAGCGGCCGCGGTCGTCGCGACGTACAACATGGTCTCACGTTTCCTTGTCGCGACGGACGTCGCCGGGCTCAGCGACGAGCCCGTGCCCTGGCCCACCGACTTCGCCACGGTGCGCCTCATCCCCCATACTCAGCACATGCACCAACTGCCCACGCAGCACGAGATCCCGTACCCCGACGCCGAGCCCGACGCCGGGCTCACCCTGCACGTCGAAACCCACACCGTCTCCCCAACCGCGCCCTGGCTCGTCCTCTGCAACTCCCTCCTCACCTCCACCGCCCTCTGGACCCCGCTCCTGCCCACCTCCTCGCCCCGCCGCGCGCGTACAACCTCCTCCTGCACGACCAGCGCGGCCACGGCCGCTCCTCCACCCCGCCCACCCCGCCCACGATCGCCACGCTCGCCGCCGACGTCGCGCACATCCTCGCCACCCTGCACATCCCCCGCGCGCACGCCGCCTCGGCGTCTCCCAGGGCGGCGCCGTCGCGCTGCACTTCGCGGCGTCCTTCCCGACGCTCTGCGCGCGCGTCGTCGCGTGCGACACCGCGCCCGCTACGCCCGCGGGAACGCGACGCCTGGGACGCCCGGATCGACCTTGCACGCACACAAGGTATGCCCGCGCTCGCCGCCGCGACGCTCCCGCGGTGGTTCCCCGCGGGCTCGGCGCTCACGGCGCCGCGGCGCGAGGCCGTGGGGCGGATGGTCGCGGGCACGGCCGTGGACGGGTTCGCGGCGGGCGCGCGGGCGCTGATGGCGTACGATCTGTACGCGGCGGGGCTGGAGGGCTGCGCGGTGCCCGCGCTGCTCGTCGCGGGCGCGCTTGACGGCGACGGCAAGGTCGCGGCGGGCCTGCGGGCGTTGCGGGAGAGGTGGGCGGGGAAGGGCGGGGACGTGCGCGTGGCGGTGGTGGAGGGCGCGGGGCACCTGCCTATGGTGGACGCGACGGCGGGTTCTGGGCGGTCGTAGAGCCGTTTCTGCGCGGAGAGTGAGTGTAGATAGCCGCATAGGTCGTGCAGCAACTCCGGAGTGGTGTACGAATACGAATGACGTTCCTCTGCCTTCGCTAGCACAGACCTCGCGCGCGTCGGCTGAGACTGCAATTGCAAGCCTCCGTATGCGAGACATCCTTGAACTTCTTGCTCGCAATACACTCGCGCGGGTGCCTGGCTTTCCCCGGCACTCTCCCCTCCAGCGCTCCCGAGCGCACCACGCGGCACACACAGCCCACGAGCCTCAGCGAACCCTCGCAAAATTTCCCGCCTTCCCGCCCTCGTCAATGTCAGGCGCGCGCGACGAAACCAGCCACCGACGATCCTCCCGGACGCACTCGCGCATCACCACGCCCGCGCCATCGCAGTACGTCGGTGGAAAAGGGCACCGCCTCGTGGCCCACGTCCATCCCTCCTCCCGCGCGGGCGTGGACCCGGCCGAGCGGCGGCCCCACCTAAAAGCCACTCTGGTGGGCCAGGAAAGGCGAAGGTGTGGCTGGCGCCTAACGCCCACGCCGCAGCCGAGGGAAGACGTCCGCTTGGGCGAGTGACTCTGCACTGATCGCGGCGCGCGCGGACCTCGGGGTTCTTGGGTCGGGGGCGTCGGGCAAGCGAGACGCGGCGTTCCGTGCAATTTTTTCGCGCGTGGGCGTGGTGGTGGTGGAACGAGGTGCTTCGGTCGGCCTTCTGCGCACGCACCCTCGCGCGGCCGGCGGATGTCGATGTGGGGGGGAGCGCGGCTCGGGAGAACCTGGTACTGTGTAGATTCCGATTGTGGCTCATGGGTTGCGGCGCAAAGGCTCGTGGCCGCCCGAGCTGTTTGTCGCACACGAACCGGCGTCCTGAAATTCGGACACGGACGACGTCATTTTTTAATTGTTGTGCGACCGTGCAGCCTCGCAAAACGATCGTGCGTGCGGTGCTCAGGCGACAGGACGCCTCCCGACCCTGCCGCACGTTTGTCGTCGCGGACACGACAGCGTGCACGCCGGACGACAGCCGAGCACGGACGCCGGGCTCCAAACAAAACGACGCCCGTCGCGTCGCCTCGCACGACTCCCGAAGAATGGAGAGCCCACCTCGAGGCCACACGATGTAGTATGTAGAGGGCGATCGGCTGGGATCGGGACCCAGATAAGGATTAGGCCTTGTACAAACGACGCACCCAGCGCACATCGTGATCCCGCCGAGCGGTGTGGCCGAGCTGCCTTTCCGGGCACGAATCCAGGGGGCGTGGTACCTGTGTGAACGCCGTCCGGGCGCTCACCACTCCGTTTTCGTGGTTCGTGATGGCCTGCAGTCGACGGGAGGCGCGCGCGATAAGCAAGAAGCGTTGGGAGCTGCCAGGTCGACTTGTGGCCACGGGCGCGTTCGCGGCGGCGGACGCCAATGGGAACGGGCGGACGTAAAGGCCATCGTTGGACGACCGCGCGCCCGGCCGAGGAGGGCAGCGCGAGTGCACGGCCGGGCGGGCATGCGTGAGCTCCGTACGTCCTGCTCCTCCTCGGACGGCGACGTGACCCTTCGTGGAGGGTCTGTCCGTTCAACGGAGGCTGCTGCGGAAGTCGATCGCTCAGAAAGGTCCACAGCAGGAGGCTCCGACGTGTCGCTCGCGCTCCTCGTCCACCGCGTGCGCCCACAAACAGGTACCGCTCAGTAACCGCGTCGCGCGCGCGGGCGGACGACGCACGTTTTGAAACTCGCAGACGCCCCGGGCCCCCCCGCACCCCTCAATCGCGCGCTTCGAACGCGCTCGGGCTGTCCCAGCGCGGCCATCCAAACGTTCGTGGGCGCTAGACTCGGAAGCTCGAGGCTCGAGCTTCGTGTCGACCGAGTTCCGCCGGGTGCAGGTTTCTACCATTGCTTATACGTACGCTCCTGCCCCTCCATCCGCGGCGATCGGCGAAGACGTGGGGTGGCGGGTCGAACCAGCTTCCAGTTTCAGGACGCGATCCTCCCCGCTCGCCATCTCTGGGGTGTTTCCCGCCCTCGCCTTGCGACGTCGGCGTCGGGAAAGGCGTCGGGGTTCGCTCTCGGACTCTGTCCGACGCGCGCCGCTTCGGGAGCCTTCGAGGGCGCGCCCCGAGGGACCGAGGCTTATGGGTCCGGGCTCTGTGCACGCAGCGGCGGCGCGTGGCCCAGGAAGATCTCACAACGCTCCTGGTCCCATTTGTGTAAGCGAGATCTGGGCTGGTATATGCCTCGTCAACGGAGCCTCTCAAACTTCCGCACGTTCTCGTGTGATCGCCTGTCCTTACAAACACGAGCGTCTCGACCTCGTGCGTTCGCGCACCGCGCATGCCATGTTCGAAGTTCGGGGGTAGCCGCCCGGGATCCCCCGCACACGTGTCGTCCCGGGTGCGCTGCAGGCGCCCGTGCGTGAACTGAAAGGGACGCTACAGGCGGCCCTGGCCAGGCTCGACGCACAGAGGCGCGCGTCTGGTATACTATACAATGCATAACGGCGTATGTGATCCTGCGCGAACACAAGTCGCCGCGCCGCGATCCAGGCGCGGCGGATCCGGGCGCAGTACTTAGCTTGAGAGACTAGTCCCGGCGACCGCCCCTTGCGGCTGGCCAGAGGCTCGATCCGTCCTGCGCGAGGGACGGTGGGACGGGGGACGGCGAACGTAACGACGATGGACGGCGGGATGAAATGGCGTGGCGGACACGGACCGGGGTGCGACATGTACGGGCGACGGGCGACGGGCGTGTGGGTCCCCCACGCGGGGCAGGGCAGGGTAGGGCAGGGGCGGAGTGAATGGCTGCGGCCGCGCGCGTGGGCTGTGTGTCCGGACGCCGAGAGCCTCAGTCTAGAGTGCTGCGAAGCAAAGCCGCTGTTGAGTCTGTTTCGCGAACGCCCTAGGGTGTCGTACGAGCGCGGCGAGGGACGGCGAGGGACGGGTCGTGTGCCACGTTATGCCCGTGTCCGGCGGACGACATAGGCTCGCGGACGCGCGGGATGCATTGTTCATGACGAGCTGGTGCGAGTGCGGTCGAGAACGCGGGCTCTGAACGACTTGGGAAGGCGTTGTGGGGCCGCGAGGCGGTCTGCGCCCGCGGGGACCCACGATCTCTGCGCGGGGGCCTCGAGCCGTCGACGGGACTGCCGTTCGCGGTTTGGACCCCCGTTCGTTCGCGGCGAGAAGTGCGGGGTAGCGAGTGAGGGGAAGTGCGGGGTAGCGGCTTCTCTGCGTGGGGAGGGGGGGGCGAGCAGGCCTCGGACCGGGCCACATACGTACAGAGCCCCTGCGTCCATCAGAGCTGGACGCAGCGGTCGGGACGGAGGGCCGGAGCGGTGATGGGAGGCTCGAGAGTGTGTGGGACGACGTGCGAGCGCGCAGCTGCACGCCCGCTCGCTCAAAACACGTCGCCAGGAAGAACGGAGTGTCCCAAGCTGCACCGTCGGAGCCACACAGCCATAAAACACATCGACGAAACCTCCGAGGCGGAGGCGGGTGGACGGAGGTGGACGGGCAGATCGTGCAGGCAGAGGACGCCCGCGGTCGATCACCACGCCACGGTTGCGCTCGACGTCACCGGGCGCCTCTTCGGCCCGATCGCCCGATGATCCCCAACACTGTCGCCCCCCTCGACGTCCCATCTCGACATCCCGCAGGCCACACCGACGGCGAGTCCGGGGTTAGAAGTCGCCCTGGGCCACACATATGACCTGGGCGGGTGGCCCAGGGCGGGCTCTATCCATCAATGCATCAACGTCAACTCTACCCGGCGGTCGCGGCGTGCGTTCAGCGACGGTGCCCCAGATCGTGGACGTGTGCCTCCGCCGCGTTCGCGCCTAGGCCTGTTCACGTACGCACAATGAGCGATCGAGCCGAAGCTTCAAGCGAGTGCTCGTTCGCGCACGCCAGACACTCGCGCCCGCGCCGAACGGAGAGGCACATGAGGCACGAGGCTCGCGGCTCGCTCGCACGCACGCACTGCGGCTAGCATTAGCTGCAGCCTCCCTATCAGAAACACGCCCTCCGATCCCCACACTTCGATCGAGCTCTCTCCAACACCTCAACACTTCTATCGCCGCCGCGGCAGACCCAGCAGAGCAAAGCAAAGCAAGGCGCATGCGGCATGCATTGGCGACGGGGAAGCCCGCGGGCAGAACGCGGGGTTGCGCACGCACGAAAGCGTCCGGAGCGGAGTCCGGCGTCCAACGCGCCCTCCCTGCGCACGCCCACCTGCGCCGGGAGAGACCGTCCGGGGACCTAACGCGCGCGAAGCCTGTCACCCGCAAGGCCCCCCGCACTCGACGCGGGATCTCATAGAGTGGAGCTGCGCGCGTCCGAGCCCCGAGATCGCCATCGCGCGACCCCAGGCCCCTTCCTCCCGCCCGCGTTCGCGCCGCCGACGTCCGCGGTGTGCGTGCGCGGAAGCCCTGTCAGGTGGCTGGTTCTAGTCCTGGTCCTGGTCCTGGTGCCGCCGTGTGCTGATCAAAAGGGACGCCGAGGGAGCGTCGTGCGAGGGCGAAATCCGAATGTGCATCCATATCAGCAGCTGGCAGCTGAGAGGCACACACGGCGCAAAGGACGCAGCTGGTGCTGGTGGCCAGTCCACAGCGCAGTGGCACCGGTGGCACCGTCGCGACTCGCGAAGCCCGCGCACCCGGCCTCCGTCCCGAGCCCCGCTGTGGCACGCGAGCGGAAGCGCGCACGCGCCTCCCCCGAGAGCCGCGTTATCCCGCCAGCTCGAGTCTCCGGCGGCGGTGAGACTTTGCGACATTGTTCGCGTTCGCGTTCGTGGTCTTCGTCCGTGTTGCACTCTGCGGCGGCTGGTGAACAGGCGATTATCGATGTCGATGTCGATTCCGAACGGCACGGCGCGATGCGACGGCTCCCAGCTGCAGCCTGCAGAACACAGCAAGCGGGGCCACGCGCGCGGCTACGCGCAGAATGGAGAGCTCGATCGTGCGGCACGGGTCCGCGGCACGCAACAGGAATCGGCGACTCGGCTATGGCGCGGCGCTGCAGTTGTATTGTGAGAGAGCTATACTGCGACAGTGCGCTACAGCAGCTACGTATCGGTATGTGCGAACGCGTTCCAGAGCCTGCAGCGTCCGACGTACGCCGACGCGTTTAGACTCGCACCGCATCCCGCGCGCGTGCGAGGCACCCGCACCCAGGCATCCAACTTCCCCGCGTCCCGCGAGCGAGCCCCGTCACGCACGGTCTGGCTAGCGGGCTCGAGCACACGCTAGCCACCGTCGCGGTGTCGTCATGCGTGATCGGGCGCGAGGCTGCATACAGTCGGGTGCGCAGGTGACCGCGGCGCGCGCGTGACCGCGCGCACGGGACGCGGGCTGCGGGCAGGTCGCCCGGGGCGGCGAAGACGGGCTGCAGTGCGGCTTCGCGGACCGGAGGGGTGCACGCATCAGGAAATCCCGCCGCCGTCTGTGGGTTGCGTCGGGCAGTCGGGGCGCGTCGGTGCGAAGGGCGCGGAGACGGACTGCTGCGAGGTTCGATGTTCGATTCATCTGCGCGGGCTTGGCGGCTGCGGGGTGGGCTCTCTAAAAGTCTTCGACGGTGCACAAGTACATACATACGGCAAGCCGTTAACCGGCGCGGGTGAAGAACTACGGCGTGCGGCGCCTCGGAGGCTCGGGACTCGGCGCGGTCAGTCGCTGCTGCGAGCGACGTACGACGCCCGTACGTCCTGCCTCCGAGGCGCGCCGGACCAGCGCGGTGTGATGGATGGCCGAAGCTAGAGATCGAGAGCTTGTGCGGTGGAGCGTCGAACGTGCCGGCCGCGAGGGAGCGCAGCGCGCGGGCCAAGCACCGAGAACGGCGCGCACGAAGCTTCGTCGGGCGGTGTGGGGGCCCCACCGCCGTTCGGTCGCCGGAGTGCTTGGCTGGCAGCGGCGCGCGGGGTAGACGTCTAGACGGTGTTGGTGCGTGAGGTGGGGAGCTTAGCTTGGGATATCGCGCCACGCGAGCGCGAGCTCGGACGGCCGCGCCGTGCGCACCGCACCGCTCGTCTCACGCCCGTGCGTGCGGCGCTGTGGGTGTCTGCGGACGCGCGCGGCGGCGGCCGCAGCTGTCGCGGACGGGGAAGTGCGATCTCGTCCGCTTCGTAGACTGGATCTGTGTCGAGCGGGCCCGGGGGGCTTGAACGCTTGAAACTGGACGTCTGGGCGCACGTAGATCGGCGACGACGACGGCGGCGACGGGGTTTCCCGATCGAGCCACAGGTGTCCAAGATCCCAGCGATGCCGGTCGCTGCGCGGGCTCGCGTTTGGTACTGTATGTACATGTACATGGCGCGACGGGAAAGAGGGCGGGCGATCGCTGCGGCGCGGACGCGTCGGCGGTCGGGGCGAGGACCGAACGGACCGTGCGAGGTGACGCCGAGAACGAGGGGGAGGAGGAGCCCCACGTTCGGAGGCCAGAGGCCTGAATGAGATTCCGATAGTGAACTGTGACGGCCGCGGTGGGGGAGGGAAGGAAGGAGGGGGTCTTCGTGACGTTCGCGCTTGGCGCGAGGGGGGCGGTCAGTTGACCTGCAACCGGGGAAGTGGAGCGTGGGGGACGGGGGAGGCGTTCGTCATAGTCGGTAGCGGCGGGAGAAGGAGAAGGCAGAGGCGAAGCCGGGACGTGGACGCGGGCCTGAGGGAATCAGCTGCTGCAGGCAGGCCGCGCGACGAGGCTGGTCCCGAGGGCGACCAGCTATAGCACTGTGCGGCCGTTCGCGATACAGGACGCCTCGTGTCGCGCGCGCGGGCGATGCGCTGCGTCCACTTCGGAGGGACGACTTCAGCGGATTGTCGGCGGCGGGATGCAAGCAACGCGAGGCCGAGGAGTGCGGTACGTGCGTCGTGCGGTGGATCGATTGGCAGATCCACGGGCGGGAGCCTGGAAGCAAGCCCATCTGGAGTGACAGAGAGGCTGAGTTCAGGCCACCATCCCGGGCCCTCCCGCGTCCGATACGGCGTGGGCGAACCCCCGGCGTCCCGGCGCTTCCTGTCCATCCGCAACGCGAAACCCGACCTCGCAGGCAGACGCGCCCGTCCACCGATGAAGTCGGGCTTGAGGCCACCGACCGAGGTGTGAAGGTTTGAAGCGTGTATCAAGACGGGCAATGCGGAGAGCGAGGACGCGCGAAGCATCCGACGCCCATGCACCGATGCACCGACTACTAGCCGCGCCGCGTAGGGCTACTGCAAACTGCGCCGTTTGGCGGGACAACGTGTGTAAGGGGGCTGCGAGCAAGCGGCGGACGCATGGCGCACTCACGAGAGGAGCGGAGCATGCATTGAATGCCGTTGAGGAGTTTGGCGCGCGCGCGAGATGCGCGAGCTCCATTTGGACATCCATGATTGGAGAGCGATTTGAGCGCTGGCGTGGAAACTCAAACTCAAAGTGGCCATCGCTGTTGCTCCGAGGGCTCCGCTTCGTTATCGAGAACAGCCAGAAAGGATGCCGACATCGCGACACAGGAGAGACGGATGTTTGGTGTCGCGCGCCTCCCCCCGCCGTATGTCGTACCACGGAGAAGCTCGGAAAACAGGCGCGCCGCTATTCACAAGGTCCGTTTGAGTTCTGCGAGGGCGGTGACGTTGTCGCGCGCGCGCAGCCCGTGCGCCGCGGAGCTGGGGATGGGCGCGCTGTGGTTAGCGGCGAATGGGACGCGCGATGCGGATGGATACGGATAGCGTTGGCGTAGTGCTGGGGGACTGGGTGTGGCTCGCCTGCCGCACGCGCGCGATCGCCCGGGGCCAATGAATGGGGGGCCGCACAGATCGCCGCCGTCACTGCGAGCTCCGAGAGAGAGACGCGGCGTGGGCTGATAGAGGACGCGTTGCGCGATAGCGCGTGGAGATGGGGATCTGGCACGGCGGCGGAGGGAGATCGCGCGAGTGGAGGATGGTGTGGCCGCGAGAGGACGCTGGCCTGGCCGTGGTAGAGCGCGATAAGCCTGTGCGTGGGCGGTCACGGGGCGGGCGATAGCGGTGGGAGGGGCGCAGCAGCGGGAGGTTTGTGGTACAGCAGCCGAAGGACGGGAAGGCGTGAATGCCGGCGTGGTTCGCGCACCAGGGACGGATGGATGGACGGCGCGCGCGCGTTGAGAGCGGCTCAGGCGCGGGAGGAGCTTGAGCGCGGCGAGAGGGCGTGGTGGTCGAGAGGGCGCGAGCGGGCGTGGGGGATGTTGCTTCGGGACCCGGAGCATGGGGGCGGGGCCGCGCGCGCGATGGGCTTTCGGAGGATCGCGGTAAGCTTTAGGGAGATGGGGTCACGCTGGACGGTGCGGAGGACGAAGAAAGCAACGTGGGGGAGAGCGTGGCTTTGACGGGGGCCATTATCTGCGATGGGGGAGGGAGATAGTCGGCTGGAGAGACGCAAAGGGCCTCTACGCACGCGGGGGAAAAGAAAGAACGGACTGGGGGCGGGGGCACAGACAAGGGATGGGAGTGGCCGAGAGGGACGTCGGCGGAGGGCGCGGGGATGGGCACTGCAGACGCCCATCTGAAGCCGGCCACGCATCGGAGGCCAGATTGGGCATGGGTGGCCCGGGGCCAGCACAAGGGCTGCCGGGGGCTCGGGCTGCCATTTGGGGCGGTACACAAAGCTGGCGCCCGCTCGGTTCTCTTTTCTTGCGTTCTCCCTCTTCCTTTTCTCTGCCCGCACATATAGACACCTGCCCAGCCATGTACATCCGCTGCTAACACTCGCCGCCTAGTCGCCTCCTCGTCTAGTCCGGCGTCCTCCCGTCGCTGGATCCCCTCGACGGCCTTCCTGTCTATCCCCTACAGCCTCGACGCCATGCCCCCCTCCTACAGCCCCTGCCCCCGCCCTTGCCTCAAGCGTTCCTCCCGCCCACCCAACCTCCTCCCCCCTCAAGACGAACAATCCGCCCTCCTCGCAATCGACCCCTCCATCCTCTCCTCCGTCGTACGTTTCCCGCCCCAGACTGCTCTCACCCACACCCTCGGCGAGGCCGTCGTCTACGACCGCACCCCCATCAAGGTCCAGCCCAACAACTGCGCCCTCCCAGCGCGCGGCTGCCCCGGCCGCACCTACGTCGAAGACCCCAACGCCCCCCGTCCCTCAAAGCGGACCGGTCTGAGCCCCCAGCGGGGCAAGACCCTCCACCCACGCGCCGTCGACAGCCGCGACCGTCGGTACGACGATGACCCCACCCCTCGCCAGAGCCCCAGGGTGGACTACCACCCCCTTCCCGCTCTCGTCCCCGACCTTTCTTCCGAGTCTTCCGAGGAGAGCGACGGTATGGCCAGCCCCCCTTCAGAGCATTACAGTCTCGGTGCGTACCCCTGGCCACATACTCGCCTTATCTGGCGTGCTCACCCGCGCCTCTCATCACAGGTGCCGCATACAATGGCCCCAAGTTCTCCCTTGAGCATTCGCTGATGTCCCTCACCATGGCGGGCACCAACGCCCCCTCAACGTCTGCCCTCTCCTTCCTCCCCCACCCTCCTACCCCGAAAATGCGCTCGCCGCATTCTCCCGCCGGCTCCCCCTCCCACTCGCCGTCAAATTCTCAGTGCTATGCGCCGGGCTACTCAAATCCGCACTCCACTCGGACCACGTCGCCCGTCCGCTCCCTTTCCCCGCACTCGAGACGCAAGTCCCGTTCCGGACCCTCCGTGCCTGTTCCCATCGGCGCGGCGTATCCCTCGACGAGCCCCTCTCACATGCCGACGTCGCCTTCTGTTGGCCTCCCGGCAAGTCCGGAGCGCGAACGCAGGAGCAGGCATCGCGACGACCGCGGTCGGGAGAACCGGGATCGGAGTCGAGAACGAAAGGACCGGGAGCGCGCCGAGAAGCTCAAGAAGTTCAACGAGCGGAGAACCCTAGGTTTCGACGACGCGAGTTGCCTGGGTGGCTTTTAACCCGAGCGGTCTGGGCTCCCTCCTCGACGTGCGTTTGTGGCCCTCCTTCATCCCCTCCTCACTCCCGTTCGCGTCGCGTCGTAGGACAACGCGATAGGGAGTGTCGTCGGGACGCTAGCGCGGTGCGCTGCTGTGCATATCTCGCGGAGCCGAGAACGGACTTGCCTGGCTACGATGTGAAGAGCACCTGAATCCACCAATAATCGACCTGTACCACAACCATCTAACGACTTATATTCCCTCCACCAAGCACGTCCTCTCTTTATTATCTCTTCCTGCTGCACACATCTCGTTTTTTTCTTTCACCAACGCAACATATCACGACGACCAAACCCCCCGCTACGTGCGTCTGTCCGCAGCCAATCCGCTCTCATTCCCGGGGAACCGTGTCGTCCATACCCTCGTCCTCCTCCCATCCTTCCTCGCTTCCCCCACTGCGTTGCTCGCTCGCCACGGTGACCGTCAGCCTCGCGCTGATTTGGCCGTCGTTCGCCTGGGACGCATCGCATCGCCCTCCATCACCCCTGCGCGCACGCCACAGCTGCCCATCAGCTGCCCCGTGTTCGCCCATGACGACGACCCGGTTTCCCCCACGGACCTTCTCTCCTCCTGTCTTGTCCTATCGCGTTCCTCTTCGTTCGCATCGGTCCTGCACTACCATACTCTCCTCCCTCCTCTTCCTCCGGCGCGCCATGTGGTCAGCCGCACGTATGTCCCCCAACCCTCTTAAGTAGTTCTCCCGCGCCCCGCTAGCACTTGTGAGCTCCCTCGTCGCCGCTGCCCACCCCCTTCCAACCCGTTCGCGTCTCGGGCGCGGTGCGAGCGCGACGCTCCAATGCCATTGATTTTGACAAACACCGCTCGCTCGTCTGCTCTGAGATCTGAGTACTGAGTGCCCCTCGTCGCTTGTGTGTCCGTGCGAGCGTGCCGGCCGCCGGCGCGCGGGGCTCGAGGCGCGTTATGGCCCCCCTGCGAACGTTGGCCTCATCGTGCGTGTGCACTTTCACACACGCTCGCTGGATCAAGACCGCCCGCACCGCCGGGCGCGGCTTGCCTGCGCGGGGGGCCCATGCCCGCCGCCTCGCGGCAGCGACCAAGTGGCACGCAGTCGGAAGGCAGGAACGTCGAAGAGGCGATTGGACTCCCGACCCTGGGCTGATGTTCCTCGACGTCGCCGTCGCTCGCGAGCGGGGCGGTAAGTAGGACCTTCGGTGCGTGCGCGCGCGTTCTGCGCCGCCTCTCACTTGTAATTAGATGCTGGACGTCGGCTGGACGGCCGGTGGGACTTCCTCCCCGCTCGGTGCAGCGGCTCGGGTCGGAGGTGGCTCACCAGGGTTTGGGCGAGGGTCCACCGAGTCACGGACATCTTCGACGAGAACGGGTGCGCGGTGTAGCACATTGTACGCTAGTGTCGAGTCCCTGGGCAGCGCGTATTCATTGAAGGCCCACGTGAAATGGCTCGCGTTCGCCACCCGCGCCCGCCTTCGGAGCGGGCGGCGTTTTCCGGGCGCGATATCTCGTCGTTCGACGTCGCGCGCACTCATAAGTATCAATCAGGCCTGTCCGGGCGAGGGACAGGCCGCCCGGGGCGCGCGTACTATGGAGGGCGCGCCGCTCGTCGGTTCCGAGACCCCTCGCGCGAGGACGGTGGACGACGAGTCTCTCGACGGTGTCCATGGTCGTCCGTTCCGCTCGCTTGCCTCCGGGTAACGGGTTTCGAGGTCCACGCCTCTGCCGCGCAAGCGGGCCCAGAATAACGAGCGAGCGGTCCGACGCGCCCTCGCGCCCTCGCTGTGCTGACGGAGACGGCGACGGAAGGCGAGGTGATGCGGATCGCGGGGGACGAGCCTCGCCGTGTGAGGGCTCGTTGCGGCACCGTCCGACCCGTGTGGTTCAACTTGCTCGCGTCGCGCCGCGATCGCGAGCTCCCGTCCTGGGCGCGCGCGCCACGCGCCCAGCCGGAGTCGTCTCACGCGCCCGCCGAGTCGTCCGGTGTGACGACGTAGTACGGCGCGAAGCGCGAACGTTTGGACGTTTGGACGGGGCGACGCTTGCTCGCGCGCGCGCTCGCTTGGCACGGATGGAACGCATCCATGTCCGCGGACGATGCTTCCGGGGGGCGCTAGAACGCTGGAATATGAATGCTGAGTGCGACTGGAGCGAACGCACCGCTGCGTCTCGGGCGGCATGACCTGCGAGCCGGCCTGGGCGCGGGGAGAATGAAGGGTTCTGTGGACCGAGGTCCGGCGTGCGAGTCCGTCCTCAGATCCAGAGTGGGACGAGCGTCGAGGGGAGACGAACGTGAACTTGCAATGTGTGCTGGTGTGCGGGAGGTGCGGAGGCCCAAAACGGCGTACGGCACACACTGGGGTCTGCACTATGTAGCGTTGAGTCAAATGTGGGCAAAGTGACAAGCAAGTTGTACTATTGGATTCTGTTGTACGGGCGTGGACGCTTGCCTGCGCAGGCGCCTACTCCCCACGTGTCTTTTGTCCGCCACCGTCATCACGACCTCGCGCAAGACGATCCCCCACACCGCGTCCCACTATGTCAAACTATGACGAACGGCATGCGGGATTTGTCGTACCACAATGGCTCAAAGAGCATCCCGCAATCAAGGATCTGGGCATCGTCCCTTATGAGATGGAGATGCCGGTGGGTGGCGCCCGCCCCTCATTTTACCGCGTCTCGTTGCTCATCTTAGACGCAGCACACAGTGTGTGTTACCCAGAACGGCGTTGAGCCGGGTTATGTGATGAAGATCCCCCCTGACCACTCCAAAGAACTGGAGATCTATCAGTACCTGCAGCAAGACCCTGCCTCGGTGGACTTCATCCTACCCATTCGAGTGTTCGAGGGCGAGCGGCGTTTCTTCATAATGCCCTACCTTCTCCCATCATTCACGTGCGATGTGCGGAAGTGGTCTATGACTTTCCTTCTGTCGTGGTTCGACCAGATACTTGAAGTGCGTAGTCTGATGTTCTGGCGGATCTTCGCGTGGCGTGCTGACCTCCACGGATTAAGATCGCCGATTTCCTTCATCAACGTCGCGTAGCGCATCTGGTACGGCCTACACTCTTGTTATTTTGCTGCCTCTGACTGTTTCCTTGACAGGACATATTGGAAACAACCTTGTTCGGGGAAAACGCACAGAAGAAGTCTGGGGCCAGCAGCTCTTCGCTGATCACCAATACGTAATCGACTTCGAGTTCTCGGAGATCCTCGACCTCGGCCCCGGAGAGCAGACTGCAATCGAACTTCCGCGCACATGTTGGGTCGAATGGTTCGGCCACACGCACCTCGACCCATACTCGTTCGACGTCTGGCTCCTTGCGCAGGTGTGGCAGTCGGCCGTCTTGGTACGCTCGTGTCTCTACTGCTACAATTCTCCTGCCGGCTGACGGCCGTTGTGCTGCAGTCTATCTATGCCCGCAATTCCGAAGACGAGATCACGACGGCGCCGTGGATGCTCAGATGGTATTTCTTCTGGCTTCGGGGCAACGAGGCGGGATGTTTGGGGGTGTGCATTTGTCGTCCGACCGTGAGGCGCGCCCGACAAGTCCTCACGGGCATGCGAATCCTGGTGTACGTGGGGGATACCTTAGCCGGGCTGCTCGGACTCCGCCCACTGTGCCGAAAGCTTTGGCCGTCTCATACTACAGCGCTTGTACCGTGATTCCAACCATGTCGATTCTGCACCCCATCTACAGGTGAGTCATGTGGAACTTCGTCCGAGTTTTCTGGTGCTGACCATAATCATTTACATGTACAGCTTACCACGGGTGATGAATCCACTTCGTGGAGATACATCCACCTCTTACAATACAGCATGCTCCATGCGCAGACAAAGCAACTCTGGTACGACGGGAGGGTCTCTATTTGGAAGCAGTCACCTTCAGCGGTTCACCACAATCGGGCTCCGAGTTACACTGTGGAGAATACTCAAGGATGGACAGGAAATATCAAGATATAGAGAATGCGGGTGTCGATGGGATTCGCGAGGCTCTCAAGGACGGCCTCAAGTACTTTCGTGACAACACGACCGTAGACCGGATCAACATGGCTACTCCTGACGCCACGAGGGTACCAACGTGAGGTGAGTGGGCTCTTCCGGCGAGTGTGTTTGAGGCTGATCGACTGAAAAACCGCTTCAGAGCCTCGCTTGATCGCGTGCACACTGTGAGCTGCGGTAAGTCCATCCCAGAACGTTGTCGAGGTAGATCCGAGCTGTACAATAGAGGTTTGTTTGTTTGTTTGTTTGTATCCCATTTATCGCCCGTCAGGGCGGAGCCCTATGGTAGGCGGTACGTACAGTAATTACAAAGCGGGGAGGGCTAGCGCATACGGGGAGGAACAATAGAGGTCTCTTTGCCGTCTTCTGGAAATGGGACAATGTCAGCATCTACGCTGGCTCAGGAGCGGCCCCGGTCTCGTCTCCGATTGTGTCTGGTAATGATATATATGCTGACAGTGCGAGTAGAGGATGCCCGAGGTTGAGAGACCGTAATGCGAACTGACACCGAATGGATTGCACGCGTCACGGTATTTTGCGAGCTTTCAGACCAGTAGTGACACAACCCCTTCGCAAAACGTGGAGGAGCCCTTACGTCGTGCAGTGGCGCCGCAACGGTTACTGCTACTGGTTTGAATACTAGTGGCATGCACGCTTTCGTGTGTTGGCGGGCTGCATTTTGCGCAGTGACTTGTGTGACGACTTGATCTGAATTCAGTTTGATATGCGAGGGCCTTCAGAGAAGCTCGCGCGTCGGTCTGCGCTGCGTGTTCAGGGACTTGAACATCGGGTGGATGCGGACAAGACATCAGCAGAAGTACTTGCAAAGGCGGGCCGGCACGTGCGGAGCCCTTGGTACTCATCCACCACTGCGCGCGACCCTTGTCGAACGCAACTTCCTTCCTCTCCCTCTCTCCCGTCCGTTCCGGAGGCCTCTCTACGGCCCATAGCGACTCGCCAACGCCTCGACTGCCCACCGCGACCTCAATGTCTGTCTTCCCTCACGCTACGAGTGTCTGGCGACGACGTTGTTCCGCATGTCTGCACACTTCGCCACGACGCACACCCAGCCTGGTTCGTCGCGTAGGACCAGGGCCTTGGCAGTCAACCGGGCGGCCTCGTCATCGTCGTTCGCATCCTCCTCCTCGTCGGATTCAGGTCAAAGTAGCGCCCCTTCGTCCTCGTCTTCGTCGAAAACCAGCTCGAGCAAGACATCGAACCCCGGCCCAAGCAGCGCGTCCTCGTCCTCGAGCCCTGGCCCAAGCAGCAGCGCGAACCCATACCCATTCCCGGCCGCCGCACGCCCAACGCCGCACCAGATCTTCCACCTCCCGCCGAGCGCGACCCGAGCGGACGTCAAGGCGCGGTGTACGTCTCTCTCTCTTGTCTCTTCCCGTCCCACTTGCCACTCTCCCCCTCCCGTTCGTCCCGCTTTTTGGTGCCTCGCGCCACGCATCCTCCTCGTCGACGTCACCCTAAATGGATGACGTATGATCTGGACGACGCTCCTCATTTCCTCCTGCAGACCTCACCTCACCTCACCTCACCTCAACTCACCGCTGACTCGGACCCGCCCCCTCCCCCCTTCGCAGACTACGACCTCGTCCGGATCTACCACCCCGACTCGCCCGCCGCCCGCGCCGGCGGCGTTCCTCCCGACGCAGCGCACGCCCGCTTCCAGGCCATCGCTACTGCGTACGCTGCGCTCTCTGGAAGACTCCCGCCGGCACCAGCCTGGACGGGGACGGGCACAGGCGCGGCCGACGCGGGTGCCGACGTACCACGACCTGAGCTCGGCGATGGCGCGCGCGGCGCGGATCCGACGCGCGCAGTGGGAGCCCGCGCAGGACGAGCGGTGGCGCGAGCGGACGATGGTTGGTGCGCTTCTGGTGGTGCGTTTGTTCGTTTTTTCGTCCTTCCTGCGTCCGTTCGTCCCCCCGTCCGTTCTTTTTTCGGGCTTCAGGACGTGGTTGAGGTATGGGGAGGAGGGCTAACGGTGTTTTGGGACAGGCAATCGCGCTGTTTGTCTTCCAGACGTACGTCGGGCGGTCGCGCGCAATCGCGCAGGCGAGGGATGCACGGAGGGCGGGGTCGAAGGGTGGTGGGAGCGGGGGAGGGGCGGGGGACGAGTTCTCGCTTGGGACGGTAGAGAAGCGGGCGCAGGCGTCGCAGGCGGTCTTCGACGACACAGCGCGGTTGGCGGCGAAGAGGAATCCTCCGCGCGGGTCGTGATGGCGCTGCGCGTACGTGCCAATCTACAACTCCGTCCATTCGTTGTCGCAATGCATGGGTACTTGGGAAGGCTCCGTCTGCGTTTGCTCTTTCATTGACTGACGACCTCGCGCAGAGCCGTCCTGCGAATGAGCGGAAGTCGTAGCTCTTTTCAGGGTGTGCCCAATCCACCGCACTGCGGAACGACCTCCGAGGAACCGTCAAACCCATCCACAACTGCGCTCCCTTTACCAGGTCGATCGCGGTCGCCTTGTTCCCGAGCCAGCAGGGCGTCGACGTGACGGTGTTTCGAGTCCCATTCTTTGCTAGTTATGTGGTATACATGGCGCAGTGAGTTCACATCCAGATGGGAAGGACGACCGAATCGAACAGCTGCAAGCTCTGCAAACCGTATGTCGTCCCCGCTACTCCGACCATCTCATGCATCTCGTTTACGTACATTGGGTGGCTATCAGCTTCTCGCAGATGTGGACGCAGCTCTCAGCCAAGCTGAGCTTGACCTCACGGTTTCTTGCTGCACTTGGACATGTCCACACTGACAGAAATACGGCTGTCGCGCCGCAACGGGGCCTGCGCGATGGACGAGGTTACAAACTCGGCCCAAGTGTCGATGATGGTGCGGGAAGAAGGACTAGAGTACTCGCGTGGAGTTCCGAGTGACTGCGACTGTCCGGTGAGACGTCGTGGAACGGTTTGTCGTCGTGCTCCGTTCATTCCAATTTATCAACTTATTCAGCTTCTATGCCCGTCCACGCCCACGCCCACGCCTGGCGCAGGGATAGCGATGCACATTGCCACAGAAATAAGACGACTCCACAGGACATACTTGTCCCCGGCATTCATAGACATAGTACGTCTCCAGATCTGGTGAAACGATAGCTCCTCAACTGAAACCGTCGTCGCATCTGCAGCCACTTGGTCTTTCAAGCTGTGCCACTCATGCACCAAGCACGCTTCCCCAAGTAGCCACCTCGAGCTCGCCACTGCGTACGAGACTCCTAATATAAAGCGTCAGCATGCTTCCCGAAGATCTCTGCGCTCCCACTTCTTCGTTTATCCGCTGCTTCCTCTCCCTCACATACACTTAGCAATGTCATCCGCACACCGACACCCTTGCGGGCGTCTCAAGAATACGTCGGACTGCTCTCGGAAGGGCGCACTGACTCTCAAGCCGCTCAACGGATTCTCTCCAGGGGAGCAGAACCCAACCGTCCGTAAAGAAGATACCTCTCGACTCCGCCCAAGAGCGGCGCCTAGCGGAGCTGTTCGAGAAAAACCCATTCCCAAACGCAGCCGCGCTCGGCAAGGTCGCGAAGCGGAGCACCTAACACCCGACTTCGTCACGAGCTGGTGAATGAAACCTACCGCGCCCGGTTCGTGCGGTCCCCGCTCATCACTCTGCAGGTACGACTCGCGGCGCGTGCGCGCGGGAAGGAGCAGGGGCGCAGAGTACTGGCGCGCCCGGATGGCGTCAGCCTACGCGCAGGCCGCCGTGAACGGCGTCGCGGACCACCTCCTCCACCACTGGTACCACGTCGAAGGCTTCAGGTGCCCGAGCGAGGAGCAGATCGGCGCCCTGTCTCACGTCACCGGGTGGCCGCTCATGCGCATCCGCAGGTCGTACGTCGCGGCGTACTTGTCTGCTCCAGTGCTCGTGTGGACGCTTACGCAGGCGATCACAGGTTCAGCGAGTTCCGCTGCAGGGACTCGGACTTCGCGACGGTGACGGAGGCGGAGTGGGACGCCCGCTTTGCGCCGCTGCCGTCGCGGGCGGAAGCGGTCGGGGTTTTGAGCTTGCTCTCTTCCGAGGTGCGTATGCAGACTCGGACGCTGCGAGCGGACGAGCGGCTTCGCGTGAAGCTCGCCATATTCCACGGTGTGCCGGCCGTCACCATTAGGAGATGGTGCGTGATGCTGTTGTGCCAGATAGGCCCGCGGACTGACTTTTGGACGGTTCGCTGCAGGGTGGGCTTGGAGGAGATGACGCTGGACGGTGCCATCAGAACCATGAAACCTATGTAACAGCTTGTTCTACCCTCACCACTGGAAGAGTCACGGCGCGATACAGACGGTCTCTCCCAGAACGAGAACGCGGTTCGCGAGAGTGTGAGTGAGCGGCGTTACATTGAGTGGGTTGGAGCGCGACGCATGGGTGCCGGCGAGCAACTCCCGAGCGGTGCTCCCTCTCAGAAGGAACATCGATCTCGCCGTCGTCTACAGGACTCCTCGGGCCGACACAGCTCAGAGAGAGTGCCTAGTGCGCCGTGTCGCGTACCCCGGCGCGGGGGCGCGGGCTCGCAATGCGCGGGGAGAGGGGAGGTGAGCGTGAAGCGACTCCGAGAGCGGGGAAATGGGGATGGGGCATGCGTGCAGGAGATTGTGATACACGAAAGGGATCGATAAGAGAGAGAAACGTTTGCGTGCGTGGGTTGTGCGAGGGATGACTGGGCCTGGGGCTGCGGGAATGTGCAATTGGACTGGGCGCGGTCAGGAAATCCGGCGAGGCGGTCGGTGGCGTCGACGTGCCAAGGGAAAAGGTGCACGTCGAGGGCGGCGGGGATGGATGGAAGGCACTCGAGCTTTGAGTCATGCGTTCGCGACTGTAAGCAGGGCGGCGGAGGAAGTCGGTCTCTGCTCGTCGGAGGTGGGCATGGAGCGGGGCGTGACCAGTGTAGAGTTGGGTCAAGAAGCGTGCCTGGAGTCGGGGAACCGAGCTGGAAGAAGGGAAAGCGCTTCATACGCGCACTGCGTGGGCTTTGTGCAGCGCACGCGGGCAGCGGTTTGCGGAAGCATGCGAACCTCTGCTCGAGTCGCCATTGGCGTGTTCATCTCATTGTTGTCGATGCCCTCCCGGCCTGGTTGTCTCGCGGAAGGATGAGATCTTGAGAGACGCACCCAGAACTGTTCCGCTGGAATTGGTGGGTGGGGGATTGCCGCACAGGAATCATTTATGTAAACCAGGGGTGCTGGTGATCAACGTTGGATGGAGAGAAGTGGGGGCCGATTACGGAGACGATTATCGTTTCATCGTCCCATGCGCGTTTAAATAACTACGATTATGCCAGATGCTCTTGCTGACAAAGCATTTAACTCCTCATGATTCAACTGCATTGTCGTGGTGGAATACACATCGTGAACATCGGCCCTAGGACCTTGGTGCTGTGCTTGATGTCTCGCTTGAATACTTGAGCTCGCGCTCGAAAACTTTGCGAATGATACATCAATTTTTGCAAGGCACGCCATGCTTGAAAAACCAAATTCATTTCGGGGCAAGTGGTGACAAGTGTAAATCAAGGCGCTCCCCGACCTATAACCTTGACCACCGTCCTTGCCGGTTGCTTATGGGCCTACTTACGGTGTTGCTTGGCTGACCGCACCGCTGCCACTGGTCTCAACCGAGACACTTCCTAGACATCGAAGTGATGTCCCTTGTGTTGTAAGTACTCTCGCGTCTTCAACCGAGACCCTTCCAGGCGGTCTCCTATTTACGGCTCTCCGTCGGGGTAACAGCGCTCCGATCCCAATTCTGTCGACCAGCCTCCCAATGGAGGCAGGGCCCAGACGTGCTTCTTCCTTGCCGTATTCACCATTTCATCTCCGTAGATCCAAGCGACAGGCGTACGTGAGGATAGCGCTTAACTTAGGTGCCGACTACTGACGTACTACTGAATTTGAAGCAGCTCACGAGGTGGCCTTCAGTGCCTTCGCAGGTCGCTCCTTGCACCCTTCTTCCTGTGCCGGAGGGTTCAAAGTTCTGTCAAGTGACGAAGGGGGGAGTAAACCAATGGCGCCTTGCAGTACGTCACCGCGTGGTGGGGTTGTCGATGGCGAGCGTCGACGAGGCGGACGTGGTGTCCTTCTTGGACTTTGCTTTATGCTCGATGCTCATGATCTAGTTTTGCACTCACGGCGAGCACGGTCTTGGTGAGATCGACAGAGACAGAACGGTGCGTCCTGTTTCTTTCCTGGGAGGCGGACCGCTGAATCGGCAAGCAACGCACTCGGCCTCCCCCGCACTTCTCATCGCAAACGTCTCTGCACTTTCCATCCTCTTCTCCTCCTTGCTCGTTCCCACGTAATGGAAGGCGGCCATATGACTAGTCACAATGTGCAACTGTCAGTCCGTGTCTTACATAAGGCGATTGTGCGTGTACATAAAAGACTCGTCGCTGTCGAGGCTCTTTCGCCAGCCTTCGCAGCTCTTGCTTTGAGGTCCGCGGTCTTCCTGCCATTCTCCCCCTTCGCAAACACTCACCGCACTCTACTACCAGACTCGTCGTCACTTACCTCGCCGAAGTCTACCCCGCTTCAACCTCAAACAACCAGTATGCATCCCCTTTCATTATCTTTCGCGTGATGGTCTCTTACGCTTCTGTCATAGGCCATGACGCACTTCCCCATCGTCCAGGAGCTCGTTGACAAGATGGCTGCCGAGCCCGATTTCAAGGCCGAAATGGAGATGTCCTGGCTCGTCGCTTACAACACTCCGGGCCTCGACATTTTCAACGAGCTCAACGTCCACTCCCTCGACGAATACATCGACTTCATGGACAAGTACCTTCACTGGGTTCCGCTCGAGAACCAGACCGGCACGAACGTCTACAATCACATCTGCCTCTTCTACTTCATCATCGACCAGCCCCCGTCGTCCTCCGCCAAAACCCCATCCTGCCCGACCAGCGCCCGCCGTGGCAGTGGCTCTCCGACTGGCTCGTCCGCTACGCGCTCGAGATGGGCAAGTGGATGAGCACCCCGGAGTCCATCACCCCCGAGCACATCGCGACCTTCTACGCCGCGCCCAGCTACCACATGCAGGACTACCCCGTCCCCATCGGCGGCTGGACGACGTTCAACAACTTCTTCTGCCGCCACATCGACCCCGCCGTGCGCCCGATCGCCTCGCCCAACGACGACACCGTCATCGTCTCCCCCGCGGACTGCTCCTTCGACGGCACCTGGCCCGTGCGCGACCCCGAGGCGGACGTGAACTCGTTCGACGTCAAGGGGATCGAGTGGAAGATCTCCCAGCTCCTCGCCGACTTCAGCGGCGACGTCGGCGCGCTCTTCGCCGGCGGCGTCTTCACCCACTCCTTCCTCGGCCCGGAGGACTACCACCGCCAGCACGCGCCCGTCGCCGGCACCGTCGTCCAGGCCGAGGTCATCTCCGGCATCTGCTACCTCGAGGTCGGCGTCACCGAGACCCCGGGCAAGTCCGGCAAGGTCCAGCTCGGCATGCACCGCTACCTCCGCCGCAGGGACGACCCGGAGATCCCGAAGAAGCACCGCACGTACGCCGTGCCCAGCGCGGGCGCGGGCGGCGGCGCGCCGACGAGCGAGCTCGACGCGCCGGACACGCCCGGCTACCAGTTCCTCCAGGCGCGCGGGCTCGTGCTGATCGACAACCCGGTGCTCGGGCTCGTCGCGGTGCTGCCGATCGGGATGGCGCAGGTGTCGTCGGTGCTGCTGAGCGTGCAGAAGGGGGAAACGGTCGAGAAGGGCCAGGAGATCTCGTGGTTCGAGCTCGGCGGGTCCGATATCGTGATGGTCTTCCAGAAGGGCGCGAACGTGCAGTTCGAGCAGACGGTCGGGACGCACTACAACTACGGCACGCGCGTCGCGACGGGCGGGTCTGCGTGAAGGTGCGTGCGGGGACGGAGGGGGTGCACGCGCGTTGCTAACCGCCGGTTTTAGTTCACAGAACGATCTTTCCTCAACGTGGAGAAATGATGTACGACCTGCTACAGTTCTGGGGTAGTGTACGATATCCGGCTCTGATCGCGTGTGTGTCCCAATAGCGAATGACGTGAATTGAATGTCAATGTTTGTTAGCGAATGAAACTGTGCCAACGCGTCTAGGCGAAGTTGAAGCGAAATACTTGCAGGACGACAACACGGCCAAGTTCCGCTTCGATGTAGCCCTTATGATCACAGAGTTTGCTTCGTGAAATGCCGGCATCACTTCATTTCGCTGGCTGCGACTCCAGCGCAGTAGCTAGCTGTTATAGAGTACTGGTATAAATAAACGGCGCCCATCAACTTTCGCGACACATCAGAGATCCACGCTCCCCATTGCGGCCAAGATCGCCTGCGTGTTCACCCCCGGGAAGAGTTCCAAGTCCTCATTGACTTCGCAGACGATATCCTGACCCAGGGGAAGCTGAAAGGTGCATGATCAATATACGAAACCCACGCGAATAATCATGACTCGACGTACCGAACCGTTCGCCATGTACGTGCTTGTGATGTCGACCAAACATGCCGAGCGCGCGCCGAAGGAGGTATGCTGTAAAGTGATCGGTCAGTCTGCGTTGGTCGCTCATCGGAACACCGAAATGACTCACCCCGAACCCGTTCAATCGCACCAGCGTCGCCTGGTCACCCAACATCTCGGCCACGAGCTTCGCAGAGGAGAACGCCGTGACTTGGTCAAACTGAACGCGCCGAGTTCAATGTCAGCGGTGTGGACGACGGGAACCACGAAGCGTTACAGACAGTGTTTCCAACGACGAGCACGCGGTTCGCGAGCGTGCTGTTGAACGGTCCTTCGAAGCGTTCGGCCGCACGCACGGGCCACAGGTTGCAGCCATAGGCGTGCGTCTGCCACACCCCGCCGGCTGTACAGAGGTCAGCCGAGTTTCTTGTCGGTAGAGACAGCCGCGTAGGGACGTACTCATGTGCGAGATGTTGCGGGTCGTGTTGACGACGCCTTCGAAGACATCCCTCATCGTCACGTTCGGAAGGGCGTCGATGTCGTCGCCGCAGCCGATCGCCACCACCGGCATCTCTCCGAGACTGATCCCGCTCACATTGGCGGACTCCTGGCGGCGCTGCGGCCTGGTGCAACGTGAGAGGAGTGAGCTTTCGACGCATATAATGGCGTAATTCTTACACCCACCGAAGTCTGTGCCGCATGGCAAACTTGCCCATCGCACTGCTGAGCATGGAGGCACTTGCCAGTTGGGCGGTAGCGGATGAGGTTCCATTGGATGGCGAATCCCCTCCGATCTGCGCGACGGCCTCAACCCATTGCTGTGCTACCTGGGCCCAGCTGGGCGGATTGAAAAACGACAGGTACAGGATAACTGTGAAGAAATGGCCTTGAGATTAGCATCACGCGTCCTGGGCACATTGGGAACATTGAGACCCACTGCGAAGGAGCGATGATGTGACTTGAGTGGACGGGTTCGCGACCGCCGCGTCGTGTGCGGCTTGAAGGTTAGCGGTCATTATCCCGTGCACCTCGTTCGGAGTTTGTCCGCTGGCGGTAGAAATCGGACAGCCACTGGGGCCCGCGAGCGCGCATCCGGCGACGAGGCCGCGGTAGACGTTATCGGCTTCGACGTTGAATTGGCCCCACGACTGAGATATCACGTCAGACACGGGACGAGCGAGTGAGCGTGAAGCCTCACCAGAGCGAGATCCGTCTGTGTCAGCATGAACGGATTGACGACACCGTCGAGGATAATGTGGCCGACACGCTGCAGACAAGGGCATGGTGAGCGCGCAGCCTCCGACTGTCATGTTTGCACGGCGTACCTCCGGGAACACTGCAACGCATCATCCTTCAGTAGTGATCTCTCGCTCGCACAGAAGCGTACTCACTGTTGATGAGGATGTTTCCGAGGAACGTCCCGTACGAGATTCCAACGAAGTTGATGGGACTCCCAGCACCTTCTATGGCATCCGTCATGGCGACAAGGTCGCGCGCGGTGTAGGCCGATCCAAGGAACTTCAAGGTGTCTCCGTACTTATCGAGACAGCGTTGTCCGATCTCCTCATACTTCTGTTGGACGATGTCCACTTGTCCGAAGAATCGTTCGAGATCTCCGCTGTCGGTGAAGTTGCCGGTATACTCTGCACCGTTCGCAGTGACCGAGCCAGAGAAAATATCGCTGACTTCGTCGATGGTGTCGAAGCACAGGATGTTCCCAGGGCTGCGGGGAGAGGTTTAATGAATGCGGAGGAAGTGAGAGGGTGCTTATGCTCACTTTGAGATCCCAGTACCGCGTGGATCCCAGCTGACGACATCGTAGTGGCCACCGGTGTAGTTGAGCAAAAAGCCGGCGCTGCCGTTCAGGTCGGACAGACCAGAGACACCTGGCCCGCCTGTGAATTTACAGAGATGAGCGTCAGGAGGTCGCCATCAGCGTGAAATGGACTGACCTGGGTTGTAGAAGACGGTGCCAAGGCGAGGCTCCGCAGTAGCGTTGGCCTTGACGAGTGCGAGCTGAGCGCGACCGGCGGATCCGCCGAGGTAGTCGAGTGGGACATCAAAGGTGGCGCATGTCAGAATGGGGTTCTGGATGACTGTAGGATCGCATGGGCCCCAAGCAGAGAGAGTGTTTTGATTCTGGCGCAGAGTAGTGGATTAGCAGCATGTTTTTAGGACGTCGTAAAGTGCACTGACCATGGTAGCAAAAGAAAGGGTCGCCGAAGCGATTAGAACAAGAAGACGGAATACGGGTGAAGAAAGCATGAGAAAGGGATTGGATGGTTGGACCCATGCTGAGGATCGTCGGGGAGCTTTATACAGCGTTGCCGCTATTGCATCCTGTTGAACATCACAGCGCGGTTTCAGCTGAGTTTGCCAGGAGCTGCGGTTAACATGCGGAAACAAACGCGTGTGACCACACATCAACACAAACGAACGGGCATCCGCACCCACGATTTAGCTGGGCACAGCCTTCGGACAGCCTCCGAGACACTGCTAGTGTCCGCACCCGGCGCAGCGTAGACTGCGCACACCGACATCCCTGTTCCATTTTTGCAGCGCAGTTCAACGCTCAACACTGGCGGTTACCGCAGACAGGAACGCAGGACCCGCAGCCGCGTGTTACTCGCACATCGACGATCCGCAGAACTCTCATAGGTTTGCGCAGTGGCAGAGAGCTTGCGAAAGGATTTCGAGGAGCCCCAGGAACCCCTGCGTGGTTGCGCGCCGGGGAGTTCTCCGAGCGCGATGCCGTCCTCATGTAACGCAAACTTTGGCACCACAGACGAGAGAGGTGTTTGAAAGCAGCGTACCTAGTCTTCGCTGCTCGGGCGCTTATCGATTGGCGCATCACCGAGACAAACGGAATGGACCAACCATCTAATGGCGGAAGTATGCACGCCCTCATATTAGATATGCACGTAGCACAACTACAAAGAACCCACTCGTTCTGGCGTCCAGCCACGGCCCTGCGCCCCGCCCTTGGTGACATTATGGCCTCTGGGGGATTTGCATATCACTCATGACGCCGCCGCGGGGCCTCTAGAACTCACCACCTGCGCGTGCCTTCCAGGTTGGCACTCCGCCTCCTTCCTTACCGTCGCCGCCAAACTCTCCCAGATGAGCAGAACGAGCGCGTCTAACCTCGAGCGATTTCGTCCATCAGCGGACTAAGGGCCGGTATCACCCTCGAAGGAGAACATGCGATCCCAGTTGAAGGTGTAGTTGATACTCCTGCGTGGGAGTGAGCAAAAATCGTCCAAGCAGAACACAGCGATGGAAAGGATACGGTGGGGACGGAGAGGGCAGAGAAGGAAACGCACCGCTTGGCAACCATGTCTTGGATCTTCACGCTCGTGATACCGACCTCGAGCAAAGCGTACCGGCGGTCCTCGATCGCCTTGTGCTTCCCCTGGTTCTTACGCATTCGTCCATGCATCATCGGCGTGGCCTCGGGGGTAATATGGCAGAGGGTGCCATTCCAAGGACGAGCCTGTAGTCGGCATGCCTGCACGCCTTGCTACGATGCAATCGTGTTGTCGAGAGTATCAGACTAGTGAGCCCTACACAATTCTCACATGCACAATCGACTACGCACCTCGTTTCCGAATGACCGCCTTTCCATGCTTGTACGCTTTCAGCTTGATCCAGAGCGCACCGTTGTCCTTTTCAACCATACCCATGTCCTACAACTTCCTGACCGTGTCCTCCATCGTGTTTGCGCCAACCATGCTCTCATCCGTGTTGACGTCAAAGAGAGCTGGGCGTATTCCTCGGGCTCACGCCAAACGCGCCAGCTCCCGGACCCGGACACGATAAGACCGAACTACGGGGCGTGGGGAGGGGCGCGTGAGCGCGACCCAAGGGGGGAAACCGCGCATATAGGGATCAGATACTCACCTCCGAGGTAGTTCAGTGCGATACCTCCCAACTACATGCGCCCTAAGGGTTGGAGAGGAAGGATGGTGGTGCGCCGCAGGTGGTCGACGCGGAGGGACTTGGCAATGTTGGGCGAGAAGTACTCGTTGAGGACGCGCCTTCCATCCCCAAGGGCTTTTGCGCCGTACTCGGGCTTTTGGGGACCGGTGTCGTAGTCTGTAGATGAGCGCGTGGTTTTGGTCCAGGACGGGGGGCTGTCGTGCGACATCGGAAGTGGGGAAACGCCCTTCCAGTGAGCGGCAGTCTCGATCTACTCGACGGGTTGGAACGACGTCTGGTGTCGGTGGGGGAAGGGTGAGGAATGCAGCATGTGCGCACCTTCTTCACATACATATGTAGCACCTTTTTCGCGATGACGGCAAAGTCTTCGCCCCTTTTGGCGTAGTCTACGCCCCCGCACGCCTTTTTGACGGTGAGCTCCGGGAGGGCGTCGGCGATGACATTTGCGATGGCGACTTGGAAGGCATCGAGGACGCAGTGGGGGCCAGCCAGAGAGAGAGAGAGAGAGAGAGAGAGAGAGAGAGAGAGAGGGCAGTTCAGTCACCTCCGGTCCTCCTCCAGAGACCCAGACCCTCGTCTTGGCGGGCACGTCCGGGCCGCTGGGCGCGAAGTCGTGCACAAGCCGCGCGCGACTCGCAGATCCTCTTCTCTTCCCCTTCTCGACCTCCATCCAGCCTTCGTCTGGCTTGTCAAAATCCTTCAGGCCACACCACCCTCGTATCCGAGCACACTTCTCCGACACATCTCCATCCTGCGCCCGCGGATACACTCGGCGCAGCGCATCCCCCGAATCTAATGTGGCCCGCGACACGCTTCGCCCATGCCCACAAGGGTCTCGACGAGGTCGAAGAAGCCCGACGGACGTCGTCTGTCTGCGCATCTAGCCTCCGCTTGTCCTCCGTTTTCCCAGACCAAGCTCATCCGCTCTTGGAACTGCCCAAATGCGCGACGGGGCATCACGTCTAGCTGTCTGAGGGTACCCTCGTGGCGAACGGTTGTGGCAGGGGAGGTGGATGAGCGGTCAGGGAAACGATCGAGGCCATAGACGGGTGCCTGAGGGACGGAGCGCGCACGTCAGGGTTGCTCTCGTGTCTGGAGTGAGCACCTCCAAGTCCGAAGTGGCAGCTGGCCTGGGCCTTGGGTTGACTGGGACGGTGGCCTGCGAGTAGTCGCAGGTGCGGCTGAATCTCAGAGGTATAAAGGGAATGGTGTTCCATCGAGTTCTACTCCAGCAAACTCTTCGTCTCTCCTCCAACGCACTCCCACACACATTGCACCTCAACCCCTCCACCTCAGCCTCCACCACACAATGCAGCTCGTCAACAACGGTTGCGCACTCGACACCATCTCCGACGCGGTCGACGAAGGTACGTCCTCGCGTCGGCGTCTTTTTGATGTCGGCTCACGCCCTTCTCAGTCAACGTCCTCAAGGGCAAACAGCCCTCGAAGGAGTGGGACAACGCGTCCAAGTTCGATGCCAACAAAGACAAGGCCACCTTCCGGCGATACGAAGAGGCCTGCGACCGCGTCAAGAACTTCTACCGCGAGCAGCACGGTGCGTCCGCTGTCTGTCCAAACTGCTTCGGAAGTTCTGACAGCCACGCAGAGAAGCAGACGGTTGACTTCAACATCCGCGTGCGTGCAGAGTTCAAGAAGACGGTACACGCGCGTATGGGTAAGCAGCTGCTCTCGCGTTTCCCCCTGCACGGCGCCGAAACTGATCTGCGTCGTCCGGAACAGGCATCTGGGAGGCGATGGAGAAGCTGAACACGCTCGTGGACGACTCCGACCCCGACGTGCGTCCCGTCCCGTCTCCGCTGCTGCGATGGATGAGATCGATAGAGCTGACGCGCGATCGCGATGTCTTTTTGCAGACGGATCTATCGCAGATCGAGCACCTTCTCCAGACTGCGGAGGCGATCCGACGCGACGGGAAGCCGGAGTGGATGCAGGTCGCGGGACTCGTGCACGACCTTGGCAAGTTGCTCTACTTCTTCGGATCCGAGTACGTGTGACTCCCCCGCTGCCTCGCAAGTCTTGGCTGACCAACTTCGCAGAGGGCAATGGGATGTCGTCGGAGTACGTCCTTCGTTCACTGTATGCACTCGTCTGGCTCACCGCGCGCACACACAGGACACGTTCGTCGTTGGGTGCAAGTTCTCTGACAGGATCATCTACCCCGAGACGTTCGCCGCGAACCCGGACTCGAAAGACGCGGTATACTCGACCGAGTACGGCGTGTACTCCCACACTGCGGCTGGAGAACGTGATGCTCTCCTGGGGCCACGACGAGGTGCGTGTTACCGCACCGCATCGCTTTTGGGCCAATCTAAACGCGGAACTTCGTTCGCGCAGTATCTCTACCACGTGCTGAAGAAGCAGAGCTCGCTTCCCGCCGACGCCCTGTACATGATCCGCTACCACTCGTTCTACCCGTGGCACCGCGAGGCGCGTACGCGCACCTGACGAACGGCGAGGACGCGCGCGCCCTCGAGGCAGTGCGGGCTTCAACCCGTACGATCTGTACAGCAAGAGCGACGAACCGGTGAAGGTGGAGGAGGTGCGGCCGTACTACCAGCGGCTGATCGCGAAGTTCTTCCCCGAGGTGATTGAGTGGTGAGGGTGCCAGTCTGAAAAGGCGGGCGTGCCCGCCGTAGTTACGTCTCTTTTGTTGGGATTTGTACCATATCTGTATCTCTAGCATATACCTCTCGTTGTGGCTATTATTCGATATTATATCTCTCTTCCGCAGATGAAGGATCGATTCCACGTGTTTCCCTACAAATAGTGTTCGGGCAGCAATCACTACCGCAGCGTGCCACTTGCGGGTTTCGTGCTAGGCATGGAAAGTGAGCCTCTTCGGGAAAGCCGTGAGTTCGGAGCGGGTTCGGAGCGGTTCCGATCATTCTATGTCGATGCTCTGCGGAAAGGAGGGAAGCTGGGAGAGCAGGAATCAGACACCCGTTTAAGAGCTTAATCCAAGCTCGATGCTCAGCACCTGTCTTCGTATGCACCAACGCGATCTCGTGATAAAAATGGTTCGACCGAGTCGAAGGTCGACGACCTCCCGCAAGGTTACACATAATGAACACTAGAACCGTCCACTCAAACCTCCGTCCTCGGACCCTTCAAGCGACAGGCACCTGCTTGATAACGTACAACTTCTCTTGTCCCGGAACGGCCGAGACGTGGATGCGGAACCTGGCTGCGTTCCCATCCTTGTCCGTGCCCTCGAAGATATGGCGCGAGGTGATCGAGTTGCCCCTGCTGGTGGCGATGTCGTACCCCGCTTTCGCCCTCGAGGACTCGACGACGCCTGCCTTGTACGAGCCGAAGACGGGGTTGGTCCAGCCCTGCGCACGATCAGGATCAGCGTCCAGGAGTCGGTGCGTGAGGCCCTCGAAGCCCAAGATTCCGGGTGCCCGGCGCACTCACGATCGCGATGTCGAGGAAGTTCCGGTCGTCGAGCGAGAGCCGGAACGCGGTCCCGCCCGTGACGCCGGTCGGCGAAAAGTCGCGGTTGCACCCTGAGAAGACGAGTTGGTCGAACGCGCGGGTGCTGCCCGGCGGGGTGAAGTACCGGCCGGAGCTGAAGTAGGACTCCTGCACGAGGAGCGCGAACTGGGTCTCGTTCTTGACCGTGCACTGGATCCAGCGGAACCTGTTCATGAGCTCCGTGGGTGGCCGCGGGATCAGCTTGTTCGCGACCTGTGGCATGAAGGAGTAGGGGCGTTGGCGTGAAGCCATGAGCGGCGAGTACGACGACGTGGGGGCGCACCTCGGCGATCTTGACTGCCAGCTCGGCGCCGGTCACAATGATACCGATGATCTTGATGACGCCGGCCATGGTGGATAATACTAAGGGTCGTTTGGGTGGAAAGAGATGGTGCGAGGAAACGGGAGACACGACCTGGAGCGAGGCTGGTCACTGCTCTATTCGTGTCATGAACCGGGGCTTTTATACCTGGACCTCGCACACCGCATCACCGCAATCGGCGACCGTTGAATCGAATAACCCGTGTGAATCCTTGATGGGTGTCCACTGTCATTCGCACCATGCGTCCTTCCTTGCAGACAACCCACTGCTGGTCTAGGTCGTCGTAAGACTCATAATACCCGCAGAAGCTGCACCGAACGTACCATTTTACGAAAAAGGCGAGATGCAGACTTCAAATCAGGGAGCTTGAGGAGTACGATCGTGACTAGATATGGCTCTTCTGAGAAGGGGAGGGGAAGACGCTGCTATTGTACAGAATCGAGAATCGTCTTTTGTCCATGTAAATGATAGGGTTCTCGGGAAAGATGCATAAATAAGAGGAACCTACATGCAGGGGTGATGCATTGGTGGCCAGGGGCATTCAGCAACGGCCGTGTGGTACAACACGCAGAAACGTGTTCGCCTGGTATGTACTGTTCACAACCCGGAGTCGAATATATCAACACCCCCCATGTGCATTTTGACCAAGGGTCTTGTTGTGGGGCGGTCGATGTCGGTGTGCGAGGATGCGAGGTTGGAGAGGCAAAAGAGACCGGGGGACGGCACTGTCTGGAGATTGTGATGGGAAAGGAAGCCAGTGGGGTGCGCAATGCCGTGAGCCGAAGCGGGTAAATAGGTGCATATTTTGAATCCTCGGATATGTGGAGGTGGAAGGCGACATATAGGACAGCAGCCGGGATGACTCAACCGACTGCTGAGATATGACGACGTTGTTAGCGCTCACAGTAACGAAGACGATTGTTTACCAAGAGCCTTGGATCCTAATACGGGCAAATAACGGCAAACACCCTCCATGGCGCGGTCGCCGGATCGCGTTTTCTGTTCCGTTCTCCGTGCCCCTTGCATTCTCCGTCGTTCGCGGTTGTTCGATGCTCCAGTCTAAGACCGCCCTCGTTCCGAAGATGCTCTCTCCGAGAAGCGGAAAGTTCATATGGCCGATACAGGCTGCCTCACGGACATACAAGGCTCGGGGTACTCTCCAGGGCGTGGGACCGTCACTATGCGCGATATAATGGTCGAGGTCCGTCTCCGTCCACCCGCTATCTCGCCCCCCTCCCAAGATCTTCATTCTTCAAGCCCTCCCCCACCCGACCCCTCCACCATGCAAGCGTTCACCGCTCTCCCCCTACTCGCCGATGTCGAACTTGATAGCTTCGATAACGCTTCCTGCGTCAATCCAATGCCCACTTTCCCTTTCGATTCCACCTTCAACTTCAACTTCGACGCTGGTCTCTGGGATCCCCGCCTTCGTACCCTCGAGCCCCATCAGTTCCGACGACAGTGACCTCAACAGTCCTCTGGCGTCTCCGTCCGCCATACACCAAGAGGCGCCACAGATCGTCCTGTATGACCTCGGTCTCGCCTTCTACGACCAGACCTCCTTCTTCATCCAGCCCGATTTCGCCCAGGTCTCTGAAGAACGGTATGCCTGGCCTCTGCTATCACACTTCCCTCCTGCGTTCTTTCGTGCGCAGATACCTGACGGCCTCGAGCCATCGTGCGCGCAGCAGGCTCCTGCCGCGGGTATGGTGGTCCGGGGCCCGCCGCAGGGCGTGGATATGAACATCAGCTCGTTCCTGTCAATGGACCCTTCGCCGCCGTTACTTCAGATCATCTCCCCCATCCCTAGTCCGGTCAACAAGAGGAAGAGGGTCGCGGCCGTCCCCACGGTCGTCAACATGGAGATCTCCCCTGCGAAACGTCCGCGATCCGCTCCAGGCAAGCCCGGCATCGTGTCCCCTGCTCGACGTTCAAGTGCGAAGTCTGTTCCAAAGGTGAGTCTACGCTCTGCCTCTTGCTCTGCTCCCATGATGACCCCTTTCCAGTTTTCAATCGCAAGTGGAACTTGCAGGCACATATCGACGGTCTCCACAAGAAAATCCGCTGGAACCCGTGTCCAGCACCGGGTTGCTCATTCACAAGTGCCCGGAGTCACGACGTTCGTAGGCAGTTCCAGTCGGATCACACCGACAAGGGTTCCACGCGCCGCAAGGCGAATGATTAGTCGAGATTCTCCATGTAAGCCGCCCCGCCTATAACGAACGAACGTCCCTCACATCCCCGCGCTCCCGTGCAGATCCAACGATCGAGGGCATCAGCACTATAAGACTTCTCGAGTCCCTCGCCACCTTGAGCCTTCAGCGATGCACGCCGACGGCCCCAATTTGGCGAGGGACTTGTGTGGAGGAGTCGTATACCGCTGATGATCGTGGTCGAGAGCGAGGACGATATCTCTGTGGTTCGTGGAAGATGAGGATGTCCCGTGCGCCGCGTTAAGCGCCTCGACAGTACTCAGCGCATGGGAACGGCTCCATCTTCGATGAACGACGGAGGGATCGTCAGGCTCTGGATAATTTTTTGGCATCCATTTCCTTGTTTTCTTGTATGATTCCTGCTATGTCTTATCTCATCTGAGTATAAGTCTTGCATCTCTGCCTTTTGATTCTGCTTCCAGTTCGGATGTTCGCCCCACACCCCATGCACATGATAACGCCTGCGCCTTTTTATTTTCACTGCGCCTTCATGCTCCTCTACCTTGGTGTTACGTTGTATCTGTATACATCAGACCTCCAGTGCACTTGCGACCATAAACCGTTCGTTTCGTGCATGCATACTGCTCAGAGCTCTACCCACCTCCTCGGGAGCCCGGGCTCCTGGAGTCCTTCAATCGTTTATCCCCACTGCGAGCGAGCATAATAAAACGGCCTCTGTGCGGCGACGTTCAGCATGTTTCAATATTTTCGATGATGCGCATCCAGCGAGGCCCCGTCTCAGCGTCCCAGCTCACCTTCGAATCACGACACCACCGTCCTCGGCTCTGGGCTCGCGCGCCGTCCCATCCTCTCGCTCGCCGATATACCCGCACCATTTCGTTGCCTATGCGTGCGCTCCCACGGCGCGCGCCGATGCGGGCACCTCATGCAAGGCCGACGTCGTCGCCGCGGCTACTCGCGCGCGGGGCCGGACCTACAGCAATCTTAACTCGCCGCCAGCCAATATCCTTTCGCCTTACCGTGACCCAGCCACCCCGGCGAGTGGTTCGCTACGACGCCCCCTGAGTACGCGGGCGTTTCGCGACCTGTAGCATATGCTCGCCGCCTCTCCCTCCTCTGCGTTCTTCTCACTTGTTTCATCGCCGGTATGCCGGCGCTCTGAGATCTGCGCGTTCGTCGCGCGGGTTCCCCGGTTCGCATCACATCAGAGTCGGCCACAGCATCGCTGGCATGTCCTGAGCTTGTGAGCGAATCTCCGATCCAGATCTCTTCCCGTGGTCAGGCCTATGCGCAACAGAAGAGTGTAGGTGTTTATTTACAACTTGCGATACAAACGGAGTCAGGGACATCACTGGAGGGGTCATGTGCAAGCCCGGGATTTCTCCGGCTCCGGAGTGGTTAAGGGAAGCGTTTGTGCTCTGGTGCCACGACCCCGGGTACTAGATGCGGAGACATCTCGCGAACCAGCGTCGGGCTCGTATACACAGCAAAATAACAAAGTGAAACGTAATGCGCGTCGCAACGAGGGCGATCGTGCGCTGCCGTGAGTCACCCTCTGAAATCGAGCATCTCCCGGCCCTTCTCCGCCTTGTCCCTCCGGCGCTCGAACCTACGTCCCAGACTCGCGTCAGCGCCCAGGCAGAGTCCGCACCAAGCGCAGTGAGCACGCGGAAGGGACGCACCACCTCGTCACGTACGCGACCGTCTCGCCGACCTCGCGCGCGATTGTCGTGCGTCGCTCCGCCCCGGGCGACTGGTCCATGAAGAAGCAGATCTCAAGCCAGTCGTGCTGCCACGCCTCTGTACGGGTGCGCGCGCGGCGCTCGACGGAGCGAACCGAGTCGGGGTCGTGTGGGAGGCTGCGATGGCGGCGCTGCGATTTGAACCTGTGCGGCCGGGAGGTGATAGTGAGCAAGGCGCGGCGCGCGTGGTGCAGACGCGAGGCAGGGCGGTCGCGCACCAGTGCTGGACCTGTTCGAGCGCGAGGCCGGTCCAGGCCGCGAGGACGTCTTGCTCGTGCGGGGTGGGGTAGAGACCGTCGTGCGAGCTGTACATCGAGACGAAGTGCTCCATGATGGCCTTCGCTTCACCCGGGGTTCTCTGCCGGAGACCAAAAGCGGGGTCACAGTGGGTTTCGTTCGACATGGCGAGTATGCTGAGATGACGCAGAGCGGGAGAAAGGGGAGAAAAGAGCTGAAGAAATGGACTAGGGTGGAGGTGCTCACCGCCGACGATGAGGATGAGGATGGAGCGCACCGCGCGCGATATATAACCCCACGCCGCGCTCGACATCCCGAACGCGAAAGCAGACCGAACCTGAGCCACAGGGAGCTCGCTACCTGAATGATGTCCAATCACGGTGAGATGGCGCCCAAGCGAGGATGGGCGAAACGAGTCGAAGTGGCACGAGGCTGGAGGAGGACGCTCTTCCGCGCATAAAGCAACGGTCGCGGGGCAAGATCGCATACTGGTGCTTGGTGAGACTGCGCGGCTGTGCAAGCGTTGTCCAGGAAGGTCGAGGAGCCGGCGGCGTGAAGGCAAGCTGCGCGAGCTTTGAAGCATCCGATGGCTGCGAGGGCGTCTGCCTTGTGTTCGTGACGCCAAGTCAGGTGCATGAACAAAGCGACAGAGCCTGTTACTCGAGCTCGTCAGTATGTTGACGTGAGACGGAGACCGTGACGGGTTTACAGGACGTTTCCCAAGACTATCGCACATGACAAGCACTTTCCAGAGGGTTTACAGTGACCTTGACTCGGTAGAAAGCTGATGTAAGAATGATCGGATGGCGCCCCAGAACGGCAGGCGTTGTGTTTTGCTCTGAAAGGTTTAGAGTTCTGCAACAAACGCCTGTTAGTATTGTCTGTCAAGAGAGACTGAAACGACTTGGTCGCGAGACAGCGGTGAACGTTGTTCATGACGATTGGAACATATGCAAGATAGTTACTGAGCCTCATGCGGAGCCCTGGTTGTCCGGCGCTTCTGCGGGCTCTGTTCCCGTTTCGAAAGGCAGGACATGTGACGTCATACATGATGTTCGGCATCCCCATACTTAACACGATTTACAAGAGCAGAGTAGTAAGAGAGATAAACAAGCTAAAAGCGATGTGAATGGATCATCACAAATATGATTCGGAGGTTTAACATACCATGTACATGTCTACTTGCTGTTTATTGAAACCCGCCCACCTTCACGTCGTCAGGCCCCAGATATCAGGCGCGAAGGGCGGAAACGCAGCATCTCGGGTAGAGCTCGACGACGCGCTCGCGCTGGACCCGGGCCCCGTCCGAGCCGAAGTACCGCGTGGACTCGAAGTGCCAACAGACGTTCCCGCGCGGCCACTCGAGCATCCCGCCGATGTAGACCGCAAGGTCAGCGGCGACCGCGAGCGGCACGTCGAGCGCCTGCAGCGTGGGCAGGAGGTCGTCGAGGATGTGGCGCACCATCGCCGCGTGCAGCGCCTCGCCGTGCACGAGCGCGCTAGGAAGGTCGAGGCCGTGCTCGTGCATGATGAGCGTCACGATGCTGTGGAGGTCGTCGCCGACCGCCTGCTCCTTGTTGTAGGAGAGCATGTCCTGCAGTGACGGAGGACGGGCATGATTGCTCTGTCAGTCACCGTGTCGAGAGGTGATGAGACGATAGAGAGCACTTACGTTGTCCAGGGCGACGATGTCGGAGATCGTGTTGCGCAGGTCGACGAGCGACGTGTTGTCGTAGACGTCTTGGGGGATGTTGAGCCCGAGCTCGGTCATCACGAGTGATGGCAGAATCCCGGCCGTGAAATGCCGAAGTGCGAGATGCTCTTCGACAGTCCGGAAGCGAGTGTGGTCCCTGTCTCGGGCCTCTTCGACGACCGAGTCGACGTAGAGCTGCCACTCGCGCTTGAAGTGCCGCTGGAAAGTCAGCGTCGAGCACTTGAGCGCGTTCAGCCAGAACCTGTAAGAGCAGGAAAGCGTCACACGATCTGCCGAACGTTTCAGGAAGCTCTTCGCTACTCACTGTCTAGTGATTTCTCCTAAGATCGACTCGGTCGCCGGCCGAGGCTTTTCGGGGTGGAGCATGGCGTCCATGGTGATGTCCGCGAGGACGCGAACGCTGTCTCCCGGAAGCGTGTCCGTGTACTCGTCGAAGACGAAGAAAGCGTTCATGGTGTCGGATGCCACGCGGAGGTGTTCCTTGCTCAGTGAAGGATAGGTGAGCGCGGTGAGAAGATCTGTAAATCGGACTTAAGTAACGGAGTTATCACAGGCATCAGAGAGAGCACTAACCAAAGTCACAGCTGTCAAATGCACGCTGCGAGCACGAGTTGAACGCGTGGAATCCGCGGAACCATGTCGCCGACTCAAGCGAAACAGTCTCGTAGTGGGGATTGATACGACGGGGGTATGGCCAAACGGCGAGGGTGTCGGAAAGGGTGATGGTGTTAGACATCCTACAACCTGAAGACCTAGATAGGCGTGGTTCTGTGTGGGCAGGCTCCGAGGTCGTGTTGGTGTGGTTGGAACCATACTCCACACTGGTACTTATGGCAAACGGGCCTTTCCTTTTTTCACGCCGTCGTGCGCTCTCCTAAGCAGGAGACCCCAAAGTGTTCGCACGCCGCGCGCGATCGGGGCCATGTAAGTTCCGGAAGTATTCAAGGACGCGCCCTGCTGTTTGGAATCCCGGCCGGGAGCGTGATAGCGCATTTTCGGGCGCGCGTACTGCAGGAAAGAGAACTACGCGCCACACGACGCTAAGTATCCACCGCCCATGAGTTTAGATTATGCATAACGCTTGAAGGGACGCACCAAAGAAGTGCAACAGCGTTATGAGAGTATCCTGAACGCGATCTAGCTTGGATTACGTTAGAAATTGTATCTGACGGAATACTGCACCTATAGAAAGGTTGGAGATGGGAGAAGATAAGGAATAATAAGGACGGCCACTCACCCGCAATCACTCGGACAGCCTGTCAGGCAGGGTACGGCTTGCCGAGGCGGGGTTATGCTGCCAATACTGACGCTGTGCTCAACACCGTTCCAGATAACGCAACATCTGAGCCGCATACGGCATGGATGGGGTAAGTTCGCGCCACTCACTCCGATGCCTCCGTGGCTGAAGTGACAGATCTCCAACGTCTGCAACCGCGAGTCGTGAAATTTGCGACGCTTGCACAAGCTGGTGCGCAGCGGAGGCTCTTCATAAGGCGCTATCTGATGAACCTGTCGTGCGATCGGAACATTCAGCGGGTTGTGGGAGAAGGGTCTGCAGCGTCGAAGCTCCAGATGAATGTTTCCAAAGCGAAGTGATGCGAGAGGAGAAGGGGAGCAAGATAGTGACAGTAGGCGCACCTGTAGCTTTGACTCTAATGGCTCTCCTATGACCATTTCAGATGCGTTTAGGTACACGTGGAAACGCGTGGAGTGATAATATGAGCGGAGCGTTGTCTGTTCGCCGACGCAGACAAAAGGGCAACGGTCGGCGAGCAGCAGGTTTGAAGGGTATGGCGATGATGTCGTTCCACTATTCCGTTTGGCCACGGAGCTGTTTTTTTCGGTATAGATCAGGATCGTCCTTTGTCGGAAGTGGGAGTAATAAGAGGATGTATGTCATTTCCAGCCTGATGGAGGAGAGAGAGGTGATGGGAGCGCACTGACAACCGAGACGCAGTGACGCCGAGCAACCAAATGTGGGCGCTCACACGTTCACGTGCATCATATGACGTTGTAACCCGAGGCCGGTCGACGACCAGGACGAACAAGGGCTTGGCACCATTGTCAAGGATGCGCTCAGTCCGCCCCAGGACGAAACTTGCGGAGGCGTCCGTCAACGTATGTGGCAAGGGTAGAAGGGACAGTAGCTGGGGGTCTTTATCAGATATCACCCTTCAGCCTGTAAGCGCACGCAGATACTAACACCAAACACCCACCCCATTGGAGGCGCCGCAACGAAAAAGTATCATCAAGCCAGTTACAACTGCATTCCAATGAGGTAGTGAACTTGGAGAGACAACACAACGAGAACAACTATTCTGGAGATATGTATCAAACATATATGTACTGACGGACATCCATGATCATTGGAGCACTGGTTTATACAGTATACAGACACAACGTAGAAACTGAGAGCCATCGTGTATGGGCTCTGCGTAGGACGAGCGTACAAAGTGGATGCAAAGAAGAGAATCGGGACGGGGAGAGTTTGCATGGTTGATACAGGGAAACGTAGATATAGACGCCAAGAAAAACCGCCGTTCAGAGCTTGACGATGCGTCCATCGTTCACCGAAGATGGAGTCGTCCCCATGCGCTACATACTGTTGAGGCACTTGACGTAGGCACAGGACATCCCCATCTTCGTTGAACGATGAATGCATCGCCGTCGCTCTCGACCACGATCACCAGCGGTATACGACTCCTCCACACAAGTCCCTCGCCAAATTGGGGCCGTCGGCGTGCATCGCTGAAGGCTCAAGGTGGGCGAGGGACTCGAGAAGTCTTATAGTGCTGATGCCCTCGATCGTTGGATCTGCACAGGAACGCGGGGGCGTGAGGGACGTTCCTTCGCAATATGCGGGGCAGCTTACCTGGAGGATCTTGACTACTCCTTCGTCTTGCGGCGCGGGGAACCCTTGTTGGTGTGGTAGGACTGAAAGTGCCGTCCGAGATCGCTCTTGCGCTTGCTCCTGTAGGGACAAACCGTGCACGGGAACGGACGGAGGTTCTTGTGGCAGTCGTTCACATGGGTTGTCATGTTCGACCGCCGGTCGAAGACTGGAAGAGGCTCAGCGCAATAAAAGAGGAGCGCGACGCATACACTCACCTAGGTGACAGTCTTCGCATGGGAATTCCTTGCTGGAAGAGCGTCGTGGACGCTTCCGGGGAGAGGGATCGGTGTCGTCGACCCCAGCGACGTCCTCGGCCTCCTTCCTCTTGTTGACGGGGATCGGAGTGGGGAGGGCGACCTGTGGAGGTGGCGGCGAAGGGTCCATGGACACGAACATCGCGTCGTTCATGTCCACGCCCTGCGACGGGCCCCGGGGCACCATACACGCGGTAGGAGCCTGCCGCGCGCACGATGACTCGAGGCCGTCAGGCATCGACACACCGAAGGACGGATGAAGGATGGGGAATGGGGAGGACCCGGCGTACTCGACCTCCTGAAACTGGGCGTAGTTGAAGTCGTCGAGGAACGAGCAGTGGTCGAAGACGGCAGGGTCGTCCACAACGCCCAAGGGCGATGACTGGTAGATGGTGGATGGGGACGCCAGGACACTCTCGAGGTCGCTGCCATCGGAGCTGAGGGGGCTCATCGGGGATGCGGGGTTATAGGTGAGATCTGGAAGGCTGATGTCGAAGTTGAAATCGAAGTCGTCAAAAGTGAACTCGAGATCGGCAGGGATGTCGAGCACTAGCCCGGTGCGGCAAGTGTCATCGGAATCATCGAGATTGGGGCGGGGCGGGAGATCAAGGGGGTCGACGAGGAGGGGGATTGCGGTGAAAGCTTGCATGGGATGGGAGTGGGACTGTGGAAGGCGTGAGGGGTGGCACGCCGGGAATATCAAAATTTCTGCTCGTCCGATATGTATGAGTAAACCTTACGAGAAATGTAATGTTTTTGGTAGCGTTCTGAGCCCTTCAGAATGATACAATTCGCGTGCATTGAAACTTTATGTGCCTCGACCTATTCCCGAGTCCTCAAAATGAAACATTTCTGCGGGTGCAGAATGATTTCTCACACATAGAGTTCTGGCGGCCCGGGAACTCAAAGTTTCCCGGTGTGCGAAATCATCTGCCAAATTTGACGTTTTTCTCATCATTTTGTCGGCCTCGCAACGATATATTTGGTGTGTCGTTCCGGCGGTCCTGAAATGTTATGTTTTGGATCTGAGCGCCCGCTCATCGCCCACTTGTCGCCCGCGCGTCGCCCGCTCGTCGCCCGCAGGCCGTCCACCTCCCTTATTTCCTTGTGCCCTGCTTATTGCGCGCAACGATGAGTGGGCGACGAGCGGGCGACGCGCGGGCGATGAGCGGGCGCTCAGATCCAAAACATAACATTTCAGGACCGCCGGAACGACACACCAAATATATCGTTGCGAGGCCGACAAAATGATGAGAAAAACGTCAAATTTGGCAGATGATTTCGCACACCGGGAAACTTTGAGTTCCCGGGCCGCCAGAACTCTATGTGTGAGAAATCATTCTGCACCCGCAGAAATGTTTCATTTTGAGGACTCGGGAATAGGTCGAGGCACATAAAGTTTCAATGCACGCGAATTGTATCATTCTGAAGGGCTCAGAACGCTACCAAAAACATTACATTTCTCGTAAGGTTTACTCATACATATCGGACGAGCAGAAATTTTGATATTCCTGGCGTGTGGGGATCCTGGGAGGAGAGGAGATAGCGGGTGGATAGGGACGTACCTCGACCTCAGCGATTATATCGCACGGAGAGACGCTGTCCTCGCGTTCTCGTCTCCCACGAACGTACCCCGCAGAGTGTCCCGAACCTTGCATGTCCACGAGGAAACCTTGATTGGCCATTTGAACCTTCCGCTCCTTGGGGGTGAGAGCATCCGGGAGCCATGAACCGTGAGGGCCTGGGGGTGGACTTTGGTCCGGCAGCATCGAGAGGTGATGGAGAAGAAGCGGGTTCGCGAACGATGGAGAACGGGTCGAGGTAATGGGGCGCGACTCGGCGTATTCAATGAGGTGCACCCACTTAGGGGAGTCAAGGAACGCACGGTGCGCACGGTCACCGAATCGGCTTGCAACGCGTGACATGTCGCGTCGCGTCACGAACTCGAGGCGGGCGGCCGGGCGGCCGGGAGTTTCCTACTTTCACTTGGGGGTGCCCCGTAGGATTGGACAAGAGTCTACGTCTCGTCTCTGCATGGCCAAGGCATATATCAAGCGATATTTACTCCGTGATGGTTAGTCTCGCGCACGAGATCGAGTCTAGACGCGATCGTCAGTCAGGGGCGGATGCGCGTTGGCCGTAGAATGATATATATACACGCCCACGGAAGAGGAGAGCCCTTTAAAACACATCTCTTTTCCATCATCCATGCTTGACCTCGCCGCAATGCTTCATCGTAGGAAAAAGTTCGCGTTCACCTCCAGGAGCGTCTACAACTCCGATGTCGTCGATCCCTCCAGTGGAATCCCCCTATTCAAGGTCGTGACTCCAGAGAATGCGTCTACGACCACGGTCACAAACATCCAGGGCCAATTCGTGGCGAAATGGGAGCGTAAACCTGGCTCGACGGACGATGACGTCATCACCTTCCACGGCGTCACCGTCGGCCTGTCCGAACGAATGCAGGGGTTCGGATTCTTCTTCATGTACGTGTTAAAAACATTACACAGCAGTTCTATGCCAGCTTAAACACCAGCCCCCGTCACATCAGACCCCCACTGCTCGCCCCGGCCGACCGGGAGACGTACAGCTGGGTGCAGCGCAACGCGGCAGCCGAGTTGAAGGTCAGCTCCCCCGATCATCGTACCCCACCAGTGCTAATAGCACATACTCACCCACGCTTCCCAGCTCGTCGACGGGACCAACACCGTAGCCAAAGCGTACCGAAGCAACACACCCCACGCCCACCCGACCACCGTCAAGTTCGACCGCTCGCTCGCTCCGGACCTCGACCGCCTCGTGGTTTCCTTCGTCGTCGCCGAGGGCAGGCGCGAAGAGCGGCGGGCCGCCGCTGCGGTAGAAGCCACCGCCCGCACGGCGGCTGCCAGTGCGTACGCGCCCCGGCCTCGGGCAGCGACCGCGCCCTCTCCCGCTCCCGCCACTGCCCCCGCCGCCCCCGCCGCTCCCGCTCCCGCGATACACGTCAACACGTTCGCCACGCCGCTCATGGGTCCGTCTCTAGTGCAGCCTGTCTTCCTTCGGCCTCCTCTAGTCGCAGTCATCCCCCCACGAGCTCGTTTTGCTCCGCGTCCTATGGTTCCCATCGTCGGGCCAAGAGGGGGGTTCCGTCGGCGGTGTTAGGGGGTGCGCGCGGTGGTGGCATGCGTGGACGAGTCGGCGGCATACACAGACAGCGGTGCGTTCTGCGCGTGCTAAGGATGGACTAAGTCAGTACTGTACCGCACGAGTGCATGTATGGCTGCACACTTACCGGGCCCGGTCAGGATTTTCCGCCCTAAGGAAGCGGGATAATGGATTGCTGTCCCACACGCTTACTTCGTCGTAGCCCGGAACTATGTGGCTGTTCGTTCCAGCTTCTTGTTACATGAATGTGTGCCATTATTAGGCCATAAGTTGATGCCGTACTCGTACATATGACGAGCGAATCAACCGCGCGCGATATCTCATGGCGTGTCTCGCCTTGAAATGGTTGCCTCCCTGCTCTGGTATAGAGTATAACAGTACATCTTCCCCTACCAACAAACCCTCGCGAATCAATCGGCGCAGGCGGCGACTCGACGAGCAGAAGCTCGGCTCGCTCATTTCCAGACTTTCTGTGCAGGCTGATCTGATTCTGGAGAGCCCACGATGAACGTCAGTCGTCAGTTAGGTACTCGCAAAAAGACGCGAAGAGAGACCACACACCGCACGCGCCGACCGCAAGGGTCAAGCTTCAAGCAGGAGGGTTGCGGCGACGTCGCACAGCCATCCTCGAGTGATGCGAAGCAATATGGCGGGTGAGATCATGTTCGCGCGAGTACGTCTTGACGCATCCTGGCTCGCCGCAACCGAAACGCCGCCGGGCTTGGTGCCGCACCACGAGGTGGAAACCCAGGTTGTGCGGGGTGGAAAAGTCTGATAGTGTGTCGGATGTCAATAAAAATTGCTGGGAGGGATCTGAGACTCACGGAACGAGCATGTCGGGCAAGTGAAGCAACGGGGCTCAGGCGGCATCACGGCGAGGGCGTCCGCCAGCGAGCCAAGGTCGAAGGCCATGGTTTGTGATGGACTATTGCGGAGGTGTATCCCGGTGAATGTAGTGTGAGTGCGAGAAGGAAAGTGAGAGACGGGAGTGCGGAGAACAGGAAGATATAAGACAAAGTAGGCGCGTGTGCAATCCTCGCAAAGTTGCCGCAGTAGCAGCCTAAATATAGGTCTGCCACAATGCTGCCGCAGCGGGGGGAAGGTCGTCTCTTCTTTGTCTTCCACCGCCTCCTGGCATCTGCAAGTGGCTAGAGTGCGGACATGGAAGCCCATTTCATATCTCAGTTGACACGAACGCTGCGGCGGTGCTTATCAGTACCCTGGTAGGTGAATGGCCTGTGAGAAACCCGTGGAACCAACTCAGGCGTAATGAATCATAGCAGTACATGGCCGCTGCAAACCCTTGTACACTAGGTCCCGCAGAATGGCGGGACTGCGGTAGGTTGAGACTGGACACTCACCATTCGATTGCCTGGGAGGTAAGCTCGCGATCAGCCTCGGGATGGATAGGCCAACCCAACCAGCTAGTTGCCGCTTGCACGGAATGCGCCGGTTTAGCGACATATTTCCTTCGGCCCGGTTCGCACACATTCGCCTTCCGTCACATTGAGAGCGGCGCAAACCGACATGCGACAACGCGCACTCCTCGTGGCCCCAGGAGAGCATCGCGTCGTCCGCCCCGCAGAGATCGGCACAGTGCTGTCGGGCCGGGATCAGCACGAGTCGAATGAGGCTCGGGAGATGCAGCTGAAAACGATGGCTTCCTCCTCGCTGAGCCTGTTGAGAACCCTGGCATACTCCCGTCCTGGATAACAAGCATTGACGTAGCAAAGCACACACTGTTGCCGTCCGCCATGCACGCGAGCGCACACTCCAGCTGCACTCCCGCGTCTGCGCCTACGCTTCTGTCTTCTACAAATCGTGCGTATAGACGGAACATGCGGCTCGCCATACCGACGACGACGAAGGTACTCACGAGGTCGATACGGTGTATCCACTCGGGGATCACAAGCTCCCCGTTCGCCATGTCCCGGAAGCAGAGCCCACATATCCGTTTCTGGAATACGAAGAGTGCATGTCAGATGAGGATTTTGTGGCTGAATTTGAGCCAAGGTGGATGGGACGGGGACGGGGACGGGGACGCACGATAGTGGATAAACGGAAAATCGCTTGCTTACCGAGGTCCGCCGAATCGATTGTGACTCGTGTCCGACTAGGGAGTTATCAGCACGGCCGCGAAACGAGGGCGCTTCGTGCGCTGCTCGCTGTCGATACGCTGTGAGGTTGGCTCAGGCGAGGAAGAGGAAGCTCGAGGAGGAAAAGCAACAGGCGACCGGGTCACCGGGCCCGCGCAGGCTTGCGAGGAAGTTTGGTGTTATTTGGCTGTGTTAGGATCTAAGGCTCTTGACAAACAACCGCCTTCGCCGCGGGTTCTCTACGCCAGAGTACGATACCGTTGTTCTGTCTCAGTCATCCCGGCTGGGATCCCTTCTTGCCTTCCAGATGAACACGCACCAAGATCATGCTTCTCGCGCCGGTCGGCTTCTAGGCCTCTCACTCACACACACACCTCTCTGCTTGATCGTCTCCATATCCTGTCACACCTCCACCCCTCTCCCACTGTTGCCGCACGTCAGGTTCCATGTCTGCCCTTCTGCGTCGCAACGTGTAACCAAACCCTCACATCCTACCCCAATTTCTCCTGCACCCCCGCTCGACCGCACGATGTCTAGCACGCAAGATGCGCACGGCTCGCCCGGTTTCCTTCGAGACCACATTTCCACCCTTCTCACCCAACTTTTCCCCGGCCCCAACGCCCCGGGCTCTTAGCCAAAGTCTGCTGAGGCCTTGTTGGCCCGCCCGGCCCCGAGCCCGAAACCATCTTCACGGAGAACGCGGAGGGTGCTATCTGTAAGCCTCCAGTGGACGGAAAGAGGCACTACTCGTGCGCAGCGGCGCTAGGACCCTTGCGCGAAGTTTGAGCCTGGGGCGGCGAGGCAAAATGGGCAGGATTTGGCGAGCGTCCTTAGTTTTCAATGCCCAGATGGTGTGTGAAAACGTCGTGGGGAGCGCTGATGGTGCGCCTGGGGTGACCGACGCTGAAGATTAGGTGGACGCAGAACAAATCGAGGGGGCCTGCCGAAGTGATTGCGTAGAACTGTGAGTGAACGCAACGTTGTCTTCGCACAATGGATGCCCATTTTAGTCGATCACAGGACGCAAAATGCGTGGATCAGTAGTCTCTACCTCGATAGCGACCCGCCGCTGTTTGTGGGGTAAATCAAAAGCTCGCGTGTACGATACGGACGCTTGTGCCGTTGATCAAGCAAAACTCGGCCTCTCGCGCTGCTCGTATGTCCAGGACCCAGGACGGGCCTCAGGCAGACACTGCACCTGGATAGACGTGTATCATACTTATGCGATGTTGAGGGGGCGGATAGGCTGTCACGCGGCGGCGAGGCGTCGTCGTGGCCACAATTCCAGCCCGCTGATGATATATTGCTTCAGGCAGTGGTCTGGAGGCGCCAAACGGCCGAGGTCCAGGCGATACGCAAGGCGCCTTCGAAGTCTGACATCACGTGCTGGGCCGGCCCTCGAACTCCGGTGAGCCGGTCGCCAGTCGCCGTCACAACTTGATCTGATATGTCGACACCTTGAGTCTTTTCTGCGCTAGCAAGCACCCCACACGGTGCACGGCGCACGCTTTATTTCCTCAGTTGGAACAGATGAAATCCGCGCCTCCTCAATCATAGGAGCCTGACTGGGCTCGAAGCTCTCCTCAACTTGCTCCTCAAGGTGCACGGGCGCAGAATCGCGGAAAGCTTCGCTCTACTTTTCAAACTCTTAAAGCTCCATGAGTTTAGCGAGGCATCGCGTCCCAGTGGAGGTATGTGAGATGGGGATCGGAGTCATAGGCTCGGCAGGTACGTTCAAGAACGCTTCTCATTGTCTTTCTCAACGACTGATTTCGCGGCATCTCTCTCTCTTTCCTGTAATCTACGCAACCACTAGTGCGATGTTATGAGTGTTCGACACTAGACGTTTGCGACCTCCTCTCGTTCCTTCGTCACGCTCTCGTGAGTATTAATTAATTCGCGTTAATTGCAGAACTCTAAACTTTCCGGCACAGAGTACAACGCCTGCCGTTCCTGGACGCCATCCGGCCATACTTGCGTCAGTTCTAAGCCGACTAAAGACTACTATGATCTCTCAACAAAGTGCATTCAAGATGTAGTGCTAGTCCTGGGAAACATCTCGTAGGTCCGTCGGCCTTCATCTCAACATGCTAACAAGCTCGAGTAACAGACCCCGCCGCTTTGTCCAAGCACCGACTTGACAGCCGGATCACGGCATGGGGACACGAGGCAAACGTCGTCGCCGCCGTCGCCGACCTTCAACGCTTCAGAACTTGTGAAGCTCACAAGGCCGACTACTGCCCCGCAACGCTATGTCTCTACCTCAGCATACTGTCTCACCTGGACTCACGCATGTGGTTCGGCCCTGCGACCTTCCGCTACTGTCAGGTGCGAGCGCGCCCTGTCTACTACAGCCTCAAACGTCGGCGCTCCAGCATCACGCCACTCCGACTGGCGACCAAGCTCGCTTGGGCGCCCTCCCGCTGTGGTTGGACATCGCTCAGGGTCGCTAGCCAGCTCACAGTGGCTCGACCTCCATCTGTGGCCTTCGGGATGGCTATATAATGGGCAGGGCGGGCTCCCTCGTCATCGTCATCCTCCGCGGTGAGCGACTCCCCCACATCTCCCCCTCGTCCTCTCTTCTACATCGCCATAGAACACCCACCATGTCGCACCAAGCGCACGACGACGCCAGCCTCGGCCGCCGGAAGAGAGTTTCCGGTTGGGCGAAGGCAATCTTGGAGGAATTCGTCTCCACCAAGAGCCTCCCAGGAGGACTGTATCCTACCCCGCACGAGAAAGACGTCCTCGCCGTCTGGACGCGTCTCACCGTCTCGCAAGTGGACAACTGGTGGGTGGCACCCGCGTCCGGACCCCACCCGCGTCGCTTCACTGACCAGCCTGAGGAAATAGGTTCAAGACCAAGCGCCGCGAGAGGGCCCGCGTTTCCGAAAGCCACGCAGGCGTGGGCGCGTGCGAGCGCCGCCCGTACACGAGGACGGAACAATGGCAAGAGGAGTGGCTCGAGATCTGCTACTTCATGGACCCGAGTCCCGAAGGGCCGGAGCGAGAGACGATCGCGCGCGAGACGGCGACGACGGGGCCGTATGTGAAGGCGTGGTGCGTCGCTCACGCTCTCACCGAGTCTGTGTGCTCGCTAACTTGACGTTGTACCGGCGTGCTGGCAGGTTCGAGCGCCGAAGGGACAAGACTAACAAGGGCGATGGGCGATTGCTCATTGGCATCTGCCAAGACTGATGGCCTCTCACCCCGGGCGATGACATATGTTCTGTGGCCAAATATTTCGCAGTAGGTTTACTGTGTACGTATATTGTATTTTTAGGGTGTACGGCTTGGGCTTTGCATACGCCCATCCTCGAAACTTGCTTTTGAGCCACTCGCACAGTAACCTCTCCCTTTGCCTCCACCGTGGCGCCCACGCATGTACACAACACGCACCGCCATTGCGTGGAGCGGCCCGTGCACGATTGAACTAGCAGATCGGCTCAGAAGACGTGAGTGCGCACACAACTAGCACACAATAGATAGGCGCTCGTACCTTCAAAGCTTCACCCCAGAGGCCGGTGCACACGCGTGTGCGCATACACCTAAAACCACCACGCACCTTCAAAGTCACTAACCTCGCCGAGAGGTGTGCACGTGTTCCGAGGTGCTTGCTCGTCGCGAACGACATGGAGCGACTCGTGTCGGCGTGCAGCGAGTGAAGAACGGTGCGAACGGTATTTAAGCCCTGCTAAGCACGCGTCTCGGCGCCCGAAATACTGAGAGCCAACAAAAGCAGTACCGATGCTGCGGGCGATACGGCCGGACAGGGAATGCTGAGAGGGAGGGCGATACCGCCGAGACTCCGGACATTTGCCGTGGCCCACGTGGCCACCGGGGTGCCGGCGGTGCCAGCGGTCCCGGAGAGCGGTCCTCAGCGGGAGCAAGGTTCTGCTGTCCCCCCTTTCGACGAGGTCAGTGCTGTCTTCTGTCAGCCAGACGTCTTGACTGAAGAGCTCGAGGTGCGCATGGACCTTAACAGCTGGGCATAACGCAGCTCAATTGCAAGCACCACGTCCGTACACCATAGCAACGATAGTACCAGCCGTCATCATGATTCATTCCTCGCGATGGGAGGTTCAAACGTTAGTACCGTCAGGGCTCTCGTTGAAACGTTCAGATTTGCTGCGGGTCTCCGGTATGGTGGTGCTTCAAACAAACGTTTGACGGTTCAAAACGGTGCTGACTATGATTCAGCGTTCCCACAGGAACCTATGAACGAGTACCGACCGCCGAACTTCTGCGGTCAACATACCACGTCCACGGGCAATAAGTAGCCAAAAAACAACTCAAACCTTCCATATGACGGCTTAGCTTTCCAAAGCTAATACCTACAATGGTTTGGAGGCGGCCGACGCGTAGTCGCTCAGGGGTCAGAACCTCCCCAGTCGCAGGTTCATGACTCGATCCATTTCCTGGATCAAGCCCGAGTACGGGACGACGGGCAGTTCTCGCCGGCAAGTTATAACATCTGGCAATGGCAGTGTCAGGAACGCGGTGGTGAGTAGCCGCTTTTCACCTGGAACTCTCTTCATCAAGCGCTACATACAATCGACGTATCATGCGCGCTACGTGCATCACGCATATAACATCCACTTTCTTGCAGGTAGCTCCACGCCCACCCTCGACCATGCATGCACGCTCTGTTCTCCTTCTGGCCATCGCTGCAGCAGTGCTGTCTCCGTCCACAGGCACTCTGATCTCTCCGCAAGTTGTGCACGAACGACGGGACAGTATTCCGCGCGGTTGGTCCTTGCAACGGCGCGCCGATCCCGACCTCATTCTCCCACACCTTTTCGCGCTCGCGCAGCCCAACGTCGACAACCTAGAGGCTTTCCTACTCGATGTCTCCGACCCCTCATCACCCAACTACGGCAAGCACTGGACCCAGGCCAAAGTCTCGCAAACATTCCGTCCCACTGCCGAGACCGTAGACACCGTTCACGCGTGGTTGACAGGTTCGGCTGGCATCGACTCGTCGCGTGTCCGCCTGACCAAAAACGACGCATACATTGAGGTCAACGTGACCATTGCTGAGGCGGAGGCGCTTCTCGGAACACAGTACTTCGTCTACCAACACGAACACGGCTCGATCCACGTGGCCTGCGGAGATCGATACCATCTCCCCGCGCACGTCTCGAAGCACGTCGATACGGTGTGGCCTACTTTTCACTTCGATGCAATGCCTCGCTCGCGGCGCAGAAACACGCGCCCCGAGACCCTCGCTGGCTCCACTCCCATCGCTCGGCCATTCAACCAGACACTGTCACCATTGGTAAGCTCTTCCGCCGTACGCATGAGGATTTCGGGACTGATACACATTGATGCGTACCGTCCGAACAGACAGAATCGGATGGTCTCAGCTCGTGCTGGATGACAACCACTCTTGACTGTCTTCGTGCGCTGTACAATTTCACATACGAACTGACAGTCCCGGAGAAGCACTCGATGGGAATCGGTCAGTTCGTACTTGATATTGTCCCTGGGCTGTCAATTAATGCAAATTACCAGTTGAGTTTGGGACGGAAACTCTAAGCTACACGGACCTGGACGCCTTCTTTCAGGCATATGCTCCATCGATGGTGGGCACTAGGCCCACATGGGTTGGCCTCGACGGAGGTACGTGTTATTACTTTCAACTTGTGACTTGTCCCTCTATGTTGACGGTTCAACGCCAGCTATCAACAACCAGTCGATCATGGAAAGCGATCTCCTCATTGAACCAAACCTAGACTTTCAGTATGCCATGGGTCTGCTCGGTGGGAACGTCAACATGCTCCAATACCAGGTCACAAATGATGGTGCGTCTCACGGTTTCGTACGTTTTGATCCTGCTCAGCCTCTCATAGGAGGCCCGTATTGGGCCTACTTGAACATTGACTACCTTATGGATGCGATCGACGGTGACTACTGCACTTTTGAGGGTGGAGATCCGCCTTTCCTGAGCACTGGACCAGGCAATCGTACGTGTTGGATCATCATACTTCTGAGGCTGCGCTCCTGAACGAACTTTTTTACTTTAGCAACGGTGCAATGCGGTGGAGCCCCGCGCGCCACGTCGTTTCTGTATCTTACCTTCAGGCTGAGTTCGCGTTTGGAGATTTCTACGCGACGCGTATGTGCACTGAGTTCGGGAAAGTGCGTCTTCTCTGTGCGCTTAATGGCACGATTCTTACTGATTATAATCGCATGCAGCTGGCGTTGATGGGCACGACCGTCATCTTCTCATCCGGAGACAATGGCGTTGCGTCACTCGGCGGCTCCTGCGGGGGTGACAACAACACGGACTTTTACCCTCAGATCGCCAACACGTGCCCTTACGTGCTCTCCGTCGGCGCGACACAGATCATCAAGAATCACCAAGTGACCGACCCTGAAGAGGCGACGAGCGCGGTCTTCAAGTCTGGCGGCGGCTTCTCCAACTACATCCCCCGCCCTTCCTTCCAGGACGCTGCCGTGCAGAACTTCATCGAAAACTACGCCGGCGACGTCCCCGATGGCGTCTACAACAAATCCGGACGCGCGTACCCCGACGTCTCTGCCAACGGGTACGTCGGCTTGTCTCTTCGAACCAGCCATGGAATAGTACCATATTCTGACCACTGCGCGCAGCGAGAACTACCGCGTTTACATCAACGGCGAGCCGAACGCCGTCTTCGGAACCTCCGCCTCCGCGCCCGTCTGGGGCGCGTTCCTCACCGCGGTCAACGACGCGCGCATCGCCGCCGGGAAGTCGCCCGTCGGCTGGGTGCACCCCGCCGTGAGTCTGACCTCGTTGCACATGATGCCCACGGAGCGCTGACGATGCCGTCTCTTGCCATGTAGCTGTACTCGGACGCCTTTGCGGGCGTCTGGCACGATGTCACTCTCGGGGACAACAAGGCGTGCGGGGTCGATAGGACGCTTGGGTTCACCGCGGCCCCGGGATGGGACCCGATTACGGGGCTTGGGACGCCGGATGTCGGGAAGTTGATTGAGGCGTGGCTTGCACTCCCTTGAGTATCACGCGGTAGCTGAGTCATAACAGAGCCAGGCGATTCCCTGACCCGCAATACTCGCTCATTTCCACTCTCACAACGCCGAACGAGCATCATACCTTGCTCACGTCGAGGTTTTAACCGTCGAGATCCCCCCACCGAGGAGTCGTCCGACGCAGATCTTATCGCCGCCACGCGCCTTCCCCGCCTTTGCTGTCGCCCTCACGGAGCTCGAAGTTTTTTTCGACTACAACCACAACTATCAGCGGCCCCGCTCCTTCCCGCGGTCAAGATGCTCGAACCCTTGCTTGCACTCCCGCTGCTCGCAGAACTCGTCTTCGAGACGCCTGCCTCGCCGCCGCGTGGCTGCGCATCCGCCACCTCAACGTCACCGACGACTACCGCGGCCGCACACCTCCCGAGGACCCCCGAACGCCCGTTCATACCCGCCGCGGCGCGGCTTGCGACGGAGTGCACGCGACCTGATATCGTCGTTGTCAGCCTCGCGGACGTCGGGCAGCGCCCCAGGACGCGCCCTTGCAGATTCTGCCGGAGTAGAGCATCACGTAGTGCATGGAGATCATGAGGATCTGCGAGTTGCGCGTGCTCTGATGTTTTCAGGCATCGAGGGCGGAGGCGTGTTGTAGCTGAGCGAACGGAAGCAGGTGCGGGTCGAGTGAGAGATGTGAAGGATGAGCCACGTGAAGGGCAGGTGGTGGACAAGTTTATGGTGCTGCTTGCCAGTCGGCTTCAAGCAGAGATGATCGCCTTCAAGAGGTTGGAGCCTGTAGCTTGAAGAGATGTCGGCACGCTCAAAAAGTGTAGGAAAGGTCACGGGAATGCGTGGGAGGATCTTTACAATGGTGTGATCGCTTATCATTGTCAATCAAAACTGCGCCTCTCTGCTCTACACCATGTCTAGTCCCATGAACCATCCCTTGCTGGTGTACACATCCTAGTACAGATATTCAGCAACATAACAGTGGCGAAAACACGCGACGATGGCAGCGACGAAGGATGCGAAACCACCGAATGGCCTCATTCTGGGGCGCTCCTGCCGACAATTGGACAGATCTTGAAGGAGCGACCACCTTGGCAAGGGCGGCTCGAGTTTGCAAAGCATTCCATGATCCTGCGCTGGATGCATTATGGGCCACCCCCCGTGGTGGACTTTACACACTCCTCGGTTTGCTCTCAGCATTTCGAAGTACAACAACAGGGCGGGTGGTACATAGTAGACGTGGCTCCAGGGTGACAAAGTACGACTTCGTTACCTATGTAAGACCTAGTGAATTTTTGCGTATGAAAGACTAAGTAACCTGCACAGGAACTAAGCGAGGACGTTGATGTCGTGGAATGGCGTCGTCTCATGTCGTACGCAGATCGCGTGCGCGAAATTGGTTTTTACGTTGCCTGCGGGCCCGGAGCGCGCCTTCCCTTCAAAATAAATACGGGCTCCTTTGGTGCTCTACATAGGCTCACGAAGGGCCGCCCGCTCCTTCCGAGACTCAAGGTTTTACAATGCCAACTCGGTGGGAAAAGGGACTCCAACGATAACGTCGACTTGCTCCTCCAACTCCTCGCATCCCCAGTCCTCTGCACCCTCATACTCAGACATCCCCATCATGGCGTTTCCTGGGGCGAGCCAGTTTTCATCGACAAAAAAGGGGCCCCCTCTGACATCACCACGATTGTGGCGCGGTCGCGGTCGCTCCAGCACTTCGTTGCCGATCTTGACATCGATTCTGAGGCGCTGTTCCCACTTGCCGAGCTTTCGTCTCTACGCACCATCCGTATCACCCACAGACTCATGGGAACCGCCCTTCTCGATCGCTTCGCGACCCTCCCGCATCTGGAACTCCTACAGGTTAACCTTGGCGCGTACCCCGGCCACGACGAAGTGGCGCAAGGTGTTGAAGGCGCACCCAACGGAACCATTTTCCCGTCTCTGCGCGAGCTCACTATACGGAATAGCACAAGCCGGGCGGCAGGCCGAGTGCTCGCTGCCATCGCCTCCGCGGGTTCCTCCTCCACCATCGCGTCCATCTCGATCCGCCTCGGCCGTTCCGAATCATCCGACGATGAGATTATCGGCTCCATGCACCACTTCGCTCCCCGGCCTTCGTCTACTCCCTCAAGACGCTCCACGTACATCACCAGTGGGGGCCTGACAGCGGCGACCGCCGATTCTGGCTCCTGTCGGTGACAGAGATGCTCAAACCGCTGCTCTCTCTCGCCAACTTCGAAGACCTCGTCCTCACCTTCTCAGGCCGATGTTTCTCGCTCTCCGACGCCGACGTCGCACGGTTCGCGCCCGCGTGGCCGGCCATCCGCCGCCTGCGCGTCACGCACGATGGGAACATCCACCCCAGCCCGGACCCCAGCTCGCCGTCGATCCCGCCGTCGCGCACCTCGCGACACAGTGCGCGCGCCTCGAGGTCCTCGTGCTCGACGTCGCGGACGTCACCGAGGCGCACGTGTGCGCGCTAGAAGAAATAGCGGCGGCGGCGGAGCCGCAGACGGCGCTCGTGCCTCGTCGTCGCGTGGAGCTATGGGCGGCGCGCGGGCATGAGGTTCTTCGAGCCCGATCGGCTCGCGCGCGCGCTGCTGCGGATATTTCCGAACGTGGAAGGCCATGGTGTGCTCTTGGACGAAGAACGGAAAGCGGTGGAGGGCCGCGAACCGTGGAGAATCAGACTCGGGGATGCTCAGAATGGGGTGGGGGCGTTCATGGTGCTTCTTGACAAATTTCAAGGGCAAAAGAAGGGAATATGTCGCGAAGGTCTTTCGGTATAGTACCGTAGCTAAGCTTGGACTGTGCAGGATGACACTCTTATTGCTCACTTGTGTACATCCACATAATCTTGAACATGGTTATGGGACGGCGTAGAGTACAGCGATGTCCCGCTCTTGAATGGTGGTCCGCGCGCGCGCTAGAAGTAGCAATATTGTGTAGCCGACGGTGACAATGCTACCAAATACAGGCTGAGAAGGTGGGGCTTTCTGGTGAAATCCCTGTCCGATCTACTGCGATCTCGCGGCGGTGGTGGCATCAACACCATTCAATTATGGACAATGAATAGTCTGTCCTGTCTAGCCTCTTTTTTCAGCACAACCGCCGTTGGGCTCACACGTACTAAGTAGGCGCGTATTAAGTAGCAGGTTCTGAGATTAGCGACATTTCTCATCCCACTTGGATACGACCGACTACATCACCGCAACAGAAACTCTGAGGCTCCCCACATCCCGGAAGCATATGTCCCCTCCCGCAGTCGCGAATCTGGCCACTGAACCGTCCCGGACAGACAGTTCCACACAGCCGGGATTCTGTCCTCGCGTCTGAGAACCTGACTCAGCCTCCAGATCCACAACTCCGACCTCAAGTTTCCTATTGCTACAACGCAGCCGTCGCCCAACAGAGCTGTGCTCGGAGGGTAGCTGCCGCCGTCGAGGGAGGCAATCGTCGCGCCGGTGAGCGTGTCTGGCAGGACGAGGCATGCCCTTCGTGTCGACGACTAACACGCGCGTCCTGTCGGAGGAGAAGGACGCGTGAGATGGATCGAAGGTCCGCATGAAGCCGTGCAGGTCGGATGGTCTTCACTCTGTCCGGAGAGCCTACCGCGGCGGTGAGCAGAATGCCGTTGTCGCATATCACAACGACGTGAGGGTTAAAGCTCTGGACTTGAGTGCTCGTGGAGGGCGGTCGCGTAGAACTCCGTGGGTCGTGGTACCGGAGGAGGTGGGGCTCACAGGAACCGGTGGCGAGTGTCCACACATTTGAGCACGCCGGTGGACAAGACAGCATCAGAAGTATCCATGCCATTGCGTGACAAGCTCCACTCCGAGAAGACGGGTATACAGCACGATACAGTTCCAGAAACCGAGAGCTGCAGTCAGTTGAGCTCGCGAAGCCCTAGCAAGAGAGACGACTGAGCAGATCGTACTCGTTCATCATGAGAAAGTCGTCAAGAATCATGTTGCGAAACCCGCACAGCTCGCGTCCCTAGTCGATCTTTTTGTGCGAGAACTGCAAGGAAAGCGAAGAAACCACTTCAGCGCTATGCTATCGTTTCAATGCACAGAGACGCAGACGCACCAGAGTAACGACGGTACCGTCGTCCAATTTTTCCTTGCGGGGGATGAGCTCGTAACCAAGATATCCAGGCAGCACGCGCCACGCCGCCCAGTAGACCACGCCGGCGCCATGACCCCAATCCCGACAAGACAATACCTACGTCGTGTATGCGCGTCAGCGTGCATTCCGTGCATGGCGATCGCATAGATGTGACCATAGAAGACACGCACAGGTAGTACGGGAGCGGAGGTGTATCGCCGACACCATTCGCAGGCCTGAGGAAGGGCGCAACGAGCACTGCAGAAGATATTCCATGAGCATGAACAAGAGATACGATTGGGGTGAACATACGGAAGACGGACGCCGCCAAGAAGAATACCGCGAGCGGCCACCAGACTGCACGTGCGCGTCAGTATAGATCACAGGTTAAAGCCGGACCAACACACCCTTGAAGGGCCGCGGGAGGTTCGGCTTGTGCCACCGGAGGTAAAAGAGGCCAGCGACGATGAAGAAGTTGATGATCTGCTGCGGGTACCCTTCAACGTCCACGATGAAGGGATATGCGACTGCAGGCGGAGGCCCGAGGATGACGATCACCTGCGTGCCGAACGTCAATCATGAGCCCAGGTAAACCAAGGCGAGGAAAGAGGAGACGCACGGAGGGGATCAGGTGAATGATCAGGCCGGGCAAGGGGATTTCCCTGTGGGCCAGTTTGAAGCCCAGAATCGACTGCCGAAGGGAGAGGGATGCCTTCTTTGGCGAGCTCTGGAATGGGTAATTAGACGTATTCCGACCGGAAGGCAGGTGGTGGAACGACGAACCCTGATTCACACGAGAAGCGGCAAATGTCTAGGCCACAGATGATTGGCACTCGTGCACGAAATCAAATAAAAGGTGAGACGCACGATGGTTACAACATTCTGTAGGAGGTTTGGTGAGGAAGCATTCACCATTTGACATGATATCACCACTTACTCTGTGATTCATATCAACCGGAGATAGATTGCGTGCGGGTCAGTTTGATATGTTCATCGTACTGATCAAGAATACCCACCCAAGAGCACTGGCTTTATGTCAGAACGTGAGCGAGGAGGAGCCTATGAGAGCACTCACCTCAGCGCAACGAATACCGTCAGCGCCTTCTGCGCGGTCGCACCGAAAACCTTCTTGAAGAACAGACTCGCAACCGTCACGCCAGAGTGTGCAATCTCTTCCTTCGTCGCCGCACTGCAAGAGGAATCAACAAAACCGGGCTCGGACCCGGGATAAGAAAGCGACGCACGCGAAGTAGGCAACGTTAGCGAGCAGGTAAAGCACAGCGCAGATCCCCAGTCCGAGCGGACCCGCAATCTTGAGCGTGCGCACGGGGTTCTTGACGTTGTTGAGCACGTAATTGACGTTCGACCAGCCCGCGTACGAATTCAGTACTTTGAAGGTGGCTGTCGCATACTGGTGATAAACACAGCACGGCTCAGCGGCTGTCGCGAGGCAGAGCAGATAAGGTACAACACACGTCGTTGCTGCTGTGCGAGCTGCCGGCGAACGCGTTGTGGAAGTGCGTGTGGGAATCCTTGATGCTGGTGGCTCCCGAGAGCACGACCCAACCTGAAGCAGAACTATCAGCCTGACACCTCAAAGGAGCCACTAAATTCTGACCCGTGATAACAATGAACACGAGAATCACGATTTTGAACACACTCAGGCCCTATCAAGGTGGGACGGGGATGAGATATGCGGATAACACAACGAAATGCAGTCTCACATTCATGACATAAACACCAAGACGCGGGGTCAGACCGTGAAGAAGCGTCACGAAGAAAATCACTGCCCAATACAACAAAACTAGCATTAGGGCAAGAAAGTCAAACAGCGGTCCCGTATGACGCACCTGCGAGAGCGATGCCACGCGTCACCCAGCGATCGGCGGTGTGTCCTGCAGTCACGAGAATGCTATGCTATTTCAGAAACAAGCTCCCTTATGCGTTTGGGGATTGCAACGTACTTCTGTGCAAAGATCTGAGGGCAGCCGCAAAGGCAATCAGTTGTGCTGTCACATTAGAAGAATCGCGCATACGTACGATACATCCGGAGGCAGTGAAGCCGAGCAAAATCGCGTTTGCGGCGAAAATGACGGTAACAAGGTACTTCGGCTTTTTATAGGAGGCCTCCAAGTAGACCTTCTCTCCTCCCGAGCGCGGGAACATGGTCCCGAACTCAAGCCAGATGAACAGGCCGCAGAAGGAGAGGATGAAGCCGAGCACCCATAGCATGAGCGACGCGCCGATGGAGCCGACGGAGTTGAGGATCGTGGAGGTGGTGGAGAAGATGCCAGTACCGATGATGCGACCGACACTTGACGCGAGCAGTGAGGAATGGGAGTGGGTGTATGCGCATGAAAAGAGACGGAGAGAACTCACATGAGCAGTGTGCAACTGAACACGCCTAAATGACGCCCCATGCCCCCGGCAGCGTCTTCCCCAAGTCTCAGCGATGGCCGGACGAGATAGCAAGACGAGCAGACGCACCTTCCTCGAACGTCAGCCCACCCGGGTTCACCTCCGGATCGACTGCTGTCGTGAGCTCCTTGGAGGCCGCGTCATCGTCGTCGCTGTCCACTACTCCCTTCTCGTTCTTGACATCGAGCTGCGGATCCTCTGCGGCCACGCTCTCTGCTGCGGCCCGCTCTCCGGGCTGCGGTGTGCGTCGCAAGCTTGAGGCAGGAACTTGGTGAACGACGCCATTGTGGATCTTCGCCGTCACCTTGCGCGTCGGTTGGCGTAGAGGACAAGGGGCGAGAGGGCGAGGGAGAGAGGACGCGTCCCGAAAGCGCGTCGGCGAGGGCGAGGAGCATTGGCGATATGGGTCGTGTATTAATAGCCTCCTCCAGCGAAGGCGCCATCCTGGAGTTCGGGAGAGCAAGGATGAGATAAATCGCTGGAAAGCCCGCGATAAGTGCGCGGCGGTTGGAAGAGGCGGAGCACTTACGTTATGTATCGGGGAGCAAAGAAGGCATGGCGAGTGCGGCGACTGCGCCGTGCAGATCAGGAGGATACTCTTGCCGACATCGCTCGAATAGACCAACAGACCCAGGCGGAGACGAAGCTGAGGGTAGCACACGACACCATGACCTCGGCCGATCTCCTTTGATCTCCCCTCCACGGTCACGTGGCAGTCCCCGCGTTCGAACCCCCACGTCGGCTCTTTCCCTTTGGACAATATCTTTGTCCAAATTACATGGTGCATGCTCTCTGCTGAGTGCGTATACCCTGAGTGCGTATACCTCCGTTCGGCGTTATTCCTGCATAGGATTGTGTCCCTCCATCCGTCATCCTGGACGACTACGACAGGTTTGTCAACTACAGTTTCAGCCACTGCCCACATACTCAGTCGCTCTGTATGTGCATCGCGCACTACTTTAGCCTGCCATCCGCGCCATCCAGCGTATGTGGGGCGTGAACGCTGTTTGACAGGCCTGGAAGAACCAGCACGATTGGCTTATCAAGCTCGTCTGCAGTCCCGAGCGACATGAGCACACGAGAGCACGGACGGCGTGGCAAGAGAAACCGGTGCATGTTGCGGGGAAGTCCAAGACTGAAACAAATACATGTTGCTCAAGGCAGCGCCATCCACGCCGCCAACAGCTTCTCAAAGTCGGGCGTGCCCAACCCACTGACGGGGTCCCAGCCTGGCGCGGTGACGAACCCGAGGTTCTTGTTCGGCCCGCATGCGAAGTTGTCGCCCGACGTGATGTCGTGGAACACGCCTGCGAACGCGGACGAGTAGAGCTGCAGCACGGATGAGGCTTCGGCGTCAAGTGCAAGAAGGGACCGGGAAGATACGCACCGCGGGGTTCGCCCAGCCCACGACCGACTTGCCGGCGGCGAGCCGCGCATCGTTGACGCGGAGATGAGGGACGCCCATACGGGCGTCGAGGCGGAGGTACCGAAGACGTTCCAGAATTCCTGGTCGATGATCACCTGGTAGTTCAGCCTGGGGATATACGCATTAGCATCGTGGCGTGTGAGAAGCAGAGGGATAAAGTACCCGTTGGCCGACACGTCGGGGTACGCGCGCCCGGAGCGGTTGAACGCCGTCGCGCTCAGATTGCCCGTGAAGTTGTTGATGTAGCTCTGGACAGCGGTGTTCTGGAACGACGGGCGGCCGATGAAGTTCGAGAAGCCGCCGCCGGACTTGAATGCGTTCACCGCGACCTCCGGGTTCGAGCTCGTCGGCTGCACCGGGGTTTGCTGTCGTCAGCGCGATCAGGGGAACATCATGCGCAGGAGAAGACGTACGTCAGCTCCGGCCTTGACCTGCGTCGCGCCGACCGAGGTGACATATGGGCAGGTGTTGCCGATGTGCGGCACGAAGTCGGGTCCACCGATTTCGAAGTTGCCGTTGTCTTCGGTGCAGAAGTTGCTGAACGTCGCTACGCCGTTGTCGCCCGAGCTCATGAGGAACGTGATCCCAGTCAACGAAAGCTGGAACGTGCGTTAGAGGCGAATGCAAGCAGAAACCAACGAACGAGCTCACCTTGCCATACTCCGTGCATTGCCTCTGCGCGAAGAACGAGCCAAAGGAGGCCTCGGCTTGGTCGTATGAGATGGAGATGACGTCAGCCCGTGGCTTCGTACCGCAGTCCTCTAGACAACCGATCAGAACACAAGGTAGGACGAATCACATGCAGGTATACCCACGGTTGTTATCGAACTCTGCGAGTTGTGGCGGGTTCCCCCCCTCGAAGGTGCAGTAGTCGGCATCGAGCGCGTTAAGGAGGAGGTCAAACTGCAAGTAAGGGAAGCTGGGACCACCTAGGGGCCTATGTCAGAGGCACAACACATAATCGAAGTGAGCCAAGAAAGCCACCTTCGTTCGTGACCTGGTACTGAAGCACTTGCGCCTCCTCGCCCAGAAGACCCATGGCGTACTGGAAGTCGAGGTTCGGCTCGAGGAGAAGGTTCACATCTGTGATGGACTGGTTCGAGATTGCTGCACCAGAATCAGCTGCTAAACTTGACACACGCATCCGCTTCCGTACCTCCATCGATACCCACGAAGGTAGGAGTCTTGTTCGCAAGATCGGGGGCGAAGTTCTCGAAGAACACACGGAGGTCCGCGAGGTTGAGTGTCTCCATACCGAACTCGACTGCCATCGTGAGGTCAGCTCCGTCCCATGGTGGCCGCGTAAAACGCGAGACTCACCGATGCCGATCGAGTGCTCATTAGGTACTACGAGGTCGTAGTTAAAGTTGTACAACGCGCGCAGACAGTCGAGCGTCGTCGCGCTATCACAGTTCGTGGGAGTGGCCGAAGAAACCTAATGGGACGTTCACACGTGAGAATATGCGCACCACGCGGGACCATACGTAAACACGCACCAGACGCTGTGGGGGCTTGAAATCCGAGAGCGACCCTTTCGCCGGCGCCCGCCCCGCCGTATTGTCCGCCCCGCGCTTCGAGAGTGGGACGACATCGAAGTGAATGGTGGGCCACACGGTGTCGACGTGCTTCGCGACGTGCTCCGGGAGGTGGTAGCGGTCCCCGCACGCGACGTGCCGCGTGCCGTCCGTGTGCTCGTAGACGTAGTACTCCGCGCCGAGCAGCGCCTCCGCCTCGGCGACAGACACGGTCGTGTCGAGGTACCCGCCATCCTTGCTGAGCCGGACGCGCGACGCGTCCACACCGTCTGCGCCCGTGAGCCACGCGCGCACGCTGTCGACCGACTCGTCTGTGGGGCGGAACGTCGCGGCGACCTTCGCGGGGACCAGTGCTTGCCGTAGTTCGGCGAGTTGGGGTCCGCGACGTCAAGGAGGTACGCCTCGAGGTGTTCGATGTTTGGCTGAGTGAGCGCGAAGGAGAGCGGGACGACCATGTCGGGGTCTGCACGGCGGTGGAGGGACCATCCGTGCGGGGTCGCGGCGCGGCGTTCGTGGACGACGCGCGGCGAGATCATCGTCGCCCCGACGAACTGTGCTGCGAGCGCGAGCACAGTGACCCCGAGCAGGTTGCGGAACGACGTCGAGAGCATGGCGAGAGATGGCTGAGTGGAGGGTGAGGGGCAGAGGAGAGACCAGGGCCCGATGGTGACCAGGGAGGAAACAACACGCCTTATAACCGGCGGCGGCAACTGTCGGGCAACGCGCCTGAGGACTGTTCGCAGCATTACCACGACAGCGGTGGACAGTGGATTGCTATTCGGGGTACAACTGGCGCCTTTGCGAGTGAATAGAAACTCGGACTCGCAAGGCAAAACACCGCCCGCTCTCCCCGCGAAGCACCGGTTTCAGCGGAACGACCGAGGCGTGCAATCTGATCCGAGCCCACAAAGGAGCGTCTCGGCCATAGCAGTGAATGCAACAAGACGCATGAACGCTATTTCAAAAAGATGGCCCTGACGCTATACAGCCGTGGACGCCAAAGTAAGAGGTAATAGCTCCATTCGTAAGCATACGGAGAGAAAGAAAGAGCCCGAAGACCACGCGTACGCACGTCTGGGAATGGTATAAATGGGTGTAGAGAGGTACTCACTGATTGGAAGCGGAGATAAGTCTCAATTGGTGTTCGAGCAAATCCTCCTCAGCAGGCTGACACCCCAGCACGGTGTTACAGCTACGTGTTTCTGGAGGTTCCAAGAGGTATAAATTGCATCGTGGGTAGTAGATGTACCCATGGAGTCCGAGGTTGCAGAGGTGCGGAGGCAGACATCGTTGGCAAAAGTCAAGATTGCCATATGCGCTAGCGCCGGGAGGCTCCACTAACGCGCGCTTCCGAGTCCCGAGCCTCTCGGAGTCGAAGTTCGAATCCCGCTGGAGGCACGCCGAATCGCCGATGTTCACCTTTACTCAGAACCATACACAGGTGATGTATCGGCCCCCGTCGCTCTGTACCGCACTCCGCCCACGTCTAAAATTTACTAGTGGTCATGGAGTCATTATCATTCGGATGTAACAATAGTCTCTTTAGAATCTGTGCGCCCTTCCAGTCACTGAGTGGGAACTTAGGTAGGTACGCCCTTCCCGGTAGTATTGGCAAAGCGCATATGCTTCAGTACGTAGCAGAGGTATACTCGTAGAGTCTCCAGTAATGAAACAACACTAACATAGAGAATGGGTATATTTGAGCAAATACGGGAAGTCCAGCGGGGTATCATCAAACAACACTGGTATATGGGTATATCGAGCTGTGTCTGCCAGAGACGGTCAATCGCAACGTCCATCCAGTCCGTCAATTCACCGCAAGGTCTCCATGACCACCACAAACACCTCATCAGGCGCCATCCCAAGCGGAACCTCCCGCGGCGTCGCCGGCCTCAATCCAACAAATGCTCGCACATCCCCGAGCAGATCAACCTTGCGCACCCCGAATCCGCGATCGCGCTCCCTCTCGCGCCTATCCCGGATGGCTCCGTGCCGCATCTCGAACGCCTTGTCCGCCTGCCTCCGCACGTGCGGTGGGAGGGCGCCGTACTCGCGCGTCGGGAGCGACGTGCGCAGTTCGCGGTGTAGCTGGTCGAGGACGTCGCCTACGGTGAGGAAGTCGAGTGGGTACGAGGTCCAAGTCGGTCGCGGGGGGGGAGAGTGGACGGAGAGAGGAAGCCCGGGAAGACAGGACCATTCGCCGGAGCGCGAACGGGGACGGGACCCCCGTGGGCCGTGGCGCGCAGCGGGCGAGGCGAGGTCGGCGGTCGTGAGTGTGGAGCGCGAGCGAGAGTTGGGGATGCCGCCGAGGGTGATCGTCGAAGGCCGCTCGTTAACGTCCCAGGTGAGCGTGGGTGGATGTAAAGCGAGGCGGGCGCGACGAGGAGTGGGTCCAGAACGAGCTCGGGAGCAGAGCGAAGAGCGGAGTAAGTCTTGGGTGGTGATATATGGACAGGTACAACGGGCGGCGAGGGGTAATGCTGATGCGATGTCCAGGGAGGATATTCGGCGCGCATGGTGATGAACGGCAAGGGCTGGTGAGGGAGCTGAGGAGGGGTCCAGGGTCCCGGCGACGAGCCGAAAGATGCCGTCGAGGACGAGGGTGATGGCGTTCGAGGAATGGCAGAAGCGTCCACGAAGCGGACGGACTTGCGCTGAGACTGAGGCATATGGATCGCTGAGGTGATCGAGGAGGTGTCGGGTGTCGAGGGACGTGTGCAGCGAGACGGGCCAAAAGACCAGATATATATGCGAGAGAACGCGAGGTGGAGACGGTACCTAGCAAGGTGAGCTGGTGTGAGTGTGCGCGGGCAAGGAGAGTGTCTCGAGTGCCTTGCCAAACCCGGATTATATGCAGAGCAGAGCTTGCTGGTCTGTTGACTCGCCCCCAGAGATTGATGCGTGCGCCTGGTCAGGCCCGCGCCGCCTTTCTGCATCCTCCGTGCACCACTGCGCCGCCTCCCGGCCCAATTGGGACTGGTGGGCCAATTGACGCCGGGCGGCACCGGCCTGCGTGGGCTCGACGACATTACATGTGGCACGAAAGGCATTCTGTCGTCGGAACACGAGGTCCGCCGAGAGCATCTACCCACGGTCTGACGGCGCTACTCTGTCCATAACCAGAAGGGCGGGGGCGGGGCACTGCCTGGGCCGCATCATGACCCGCGCCGGGGCACTGCCCCACAGCGGTGCAGAAAGTAAGCGTCTTCTGCACAATCACCTGCGAACACCGTTTAGATCGGTTTGGAGCTAGAAAAAGGCGATGAATGTACGGTACCGACGGAGCATGAGCCAAATGTAGTGCATTGCAGCGGATGTAGTCGCTGAGGCCATTTCCAATGGCTGCGCGGCGGATTCGGAGCCTTGCCTTTCCGAGACTCTTCAAAGGTGACCTCTGCATAGAAGGGGGAATGAAGATGTAAGTTGTTGGGCGAAGCCTGAGGCCTCGCATATGGCTAAATACACGGTTGTGGTTGAAAGGTGCTGGTCGATGCTGCCCTCAGTGGCGTCCGGGGTCGCTGGAGGTGCAACTTGGCGGTGAGCCGGAAGTCACCACACGCTTCCCAACGGGGTCTGTACATGTTGAATAGGCTAGGGGTTCTTTTAATCCTTGCCGCGAATTAGTAAGAAACACATTATATGGTCGGCTCACAACGAGATCTTGTTGCCAGGAGTTTTATGTACTGATAACTTGACCCATGGGCAAGTACGTTGATACAACAACAAAGGCGGACCTCGTTCTGAAGTAGCTTATAGCGAAGAGACTCGTGCGTGAGATTGCCGTGCATCGTGTTTGCGGTTAGCCTGTGGAAGTTTAGAACAATCGGGAACCGACGACAACGTAGTATGGTGTGGGGAAGCAGTGGGTGAAGCTGCAGTATAGTGCGAGTACATGTTAAGTGGATGGACGACGTGGGCCCAAAAAAGGACAGCTGATGATGCAGATGACTAGCAACGACGACAAAGCACTCGGGGAACATGACTAAAGCATGATTGGTTGCTCAAGGCCTGCAGGTTCGTTTTAGCCGTGCATCCGGTCATAAACGCGTTCAAACAACTCACGAGACGATGCTGAGCCCCCAGCTGCGGCTGCGGGATGCTCGTGAAATCCAAGTGGTCCAGCGGATGGGCTCCCAGTCTCGTAAACGGTGCCTCGCGGCGCGGGGCCTCCGTCAACGTCGGCCGGACTCGGAGCTCCCCATCTCGGTAGCCGAGCTCGACGAGGCCTCGACTGGGTGCTTCCACTTCCAGCTCTCCTGGGACCGTGCGTACGTGTCCGCTGGCGTGTAAATCTTGCCCGATAGGTCACGGATGAAGCGATTGAGGGCTGGTGTGGGTCCCGCTGGAGGAGCCGAATGAGCCAGTGCGTGAACGAGCCCGTTGGCTCGAAGTCATGTGGGAGTCTTGACATGACGCGATGGAGAGCACCGTTGCGCCCTCGATCGGTTTGTCGGCCACGTCATAGAAGCGTTGCACTGGGTCAACGATGTGGGGACGAGCACCTGCGGTCGATCTCTTCTTCGTCGATGAGAGTGGACGTGACCAGAGAGGCTGTTGACGGACTCTCCGCGACGTCCCCGAGAGACGACCGGCCGCCGCGCACCCCGACTTCGTCTTCGGAGACGCGCCGCCTGCGCCGGTAAATACGCGCGCCCCAGGTAGAGTCCTCTGCGACGGCGTAAAGACAAAAGAGTGACTAAAATCTTGTTTCTCATACCTCGGGCCGCGTCGCCGTGGTCGTTATCGGACTGCGAGAGCTTCCCAGTGACAGTACGGACGTCCGACTGGCTCATACCTGAGTGAACAACACCGTATGCAGTCAGTTTACAGCTCCTGGAACCTTCAGATGTTTACCCAGACCTAGAAGCACGGTATAGACCGCATATAATCCGTGCCCACCTCCAAGTGGACCTCATTCAAGACGCGATCAAACACTCATGTTGTCCATCCCTCCGGCGGACTTGCTGCCACTTGCTCTGGTTCCGCCGCAACCCAGGGCTCTTCCACGGACTGTAGATGGAATTGCAGAGGTAGTGGTCCAGGTCCAACATCGTCCCCGACTGGTACGAGTCGAAGATCGCTGTGAGGTGAGCCCCAGTGGGGAGGGGATCAACAAGCCGCTGACGCAGCTCACTGTCTAATAATATGCGCTCGTTCGTGGTCTTCTCGTCGACGCCGATGTGCTTCCTGTGATCAATGAGGACGAGGGCTAGGAAGAGAACGAAGCAGAGGAGATTAAATAAGAACGTAGACGGCAAAAGCTTGGATATGCGCACACTCGTCGAACGAATCTTCCTCTTCCGGTTGCCCAGTCGCAACTTGACCAGAATAGCCGGAGACTGGAAGGAACCAATGAGTTAGTCAACGATACAGCGACAGGAAAGATGGTGCAGAGAGGAAAGGGTGGGAGCAAAGAGAAGATACAACGAGGGTAAAGATACAGCAGAGGCACTGCAAAGGACGGACGAGTATTAGACGGACAGTAGGTAGCGCGCATGCGATAACAACCAGAACAGAGGAGCAACACTGATGTGGAAAGAGGAAGGGTGGATATGAGGCGAAGGGGGGCGTTGAGAGGTAAGGGGGAGCATGAGGCGAAGGGGAGATACGAGAGGACGCGTGATGGGGGCATAATAACACTCACAGAAGAACACATATCGACTCCCCGCCCGTGCGTTGGCCACCATCTTGCGTATCTGGTCCAGCTGCACGCAAAAATGTAAGTCCTCCACGAATAGAAATGACTGCACGGCGTGTCGGACTCACGATGTTCGCCCGCGTCGGCTCGAGGTTCGGCGCGATCCCGTCCTCGTCCAACATCATTACAATATTCTCGGGGTCATAGCCGTATGTCGCTGATCCAGGCGCGTTCATGACAGCGCATAGAATCAAGCAAACGGGCACGACGTACATATGAGCAGATCCCGAAGATCTTTCGTGTCCTGGCGCGAGCGCGACAGCGGCACGTACTCCTCGTTGTATGGCATGCGGTCGTAGTTGATGCTGATCAGCAGTGCCTACTTGAACGGTGCGAGCTGGTCGTGTCAAAGGAGATCGGGGACATTTTAGCGACCCGAGATATGAAGGGAAGCAACACAGCTAACCTGACTCAAGTTGGCCTTGGCCTCCCGTGCCGTGTGCCACGAGTGGGATGAGGATGTGCTCCACGACGTCGTGTCCGGGGACCTCTGCTGCAAGCCAGCCAAGAATGCGAGAAGGGAGGAACCGTCTGGAAACGTGCCTGGCATTATCTCCCTTTCCTCCTCTACCCTGGCGAGCTCCGCGTCCGTCAGCGCCGACTGAACGTCCCATGCGGTATGATAAGTTCCTCCCGGGGTAGCGTTGTGTACCAGAGTGTGAGTCGGCGTCGACAAAGTTGCATCATCCTGATCCTCGAAAGCTTCGCCTGAGGAGAACCCGGGACCTGGCATTTCGTGCAGACTTTGACGGTGCGATTGGAGTACTACGGGTCGTCGGGTGTCCGAAGATTTGTCTGTAGTGCGTTGGGTGGATGCGGTTCGTTTGAGGAGAGCGACAGGGACTTAAGTCTTGGGAGTGAGACGGAGGGTGCCAGTGGCGTCTTCGGGTCGTCGAGCCTCGTGCACTCGTACACGGCATCGCCACGAGACATGAGGTCGTATCTCCAAATTGTCGGCATTCGTCTTTTCACTTCATATAATGGCCTCTCGGGCCCTGCAGCCAGAAATGCACCTTGCCGCATCTTCCACAAGAGTTATTGTGGGACAATAATCGCGGTTTAAACCGATGTTTACACAAGTTGAATCGGCCGGGCAGCGGTCCAGCACCAGCCCATTTGCAGCCCATACCCAACCAGACGAGCGCGAATGATGGCGCCGCTCAGCATCACCAGCACGGACCAGTCCGCTCTTGCTCGCCCAGCCGCCGCGCACCCTCCGGGAAGTACGCGCGCGCACCACCGTGTGCCCTCTGGGGCGCGCGCGCACCATGACGTGCTCCCCACGTCCCGACGCGTCTCCGCCGCACTCCACGCTACAGTGTTGACGCGCTGCTGGATGGGCTCAAATCGATAACCTCCTCCTCCGACTCCTCCTACAGCCCGGGACCACGACCCCTGACGGTCGCCCGATGAGCCTGCGGCACGCGCGGCATGAGCCCCTCTCACCGGGCAGGACGTCGAAAGGTGCGTGGCGGCTCCGTGCTAGCCCAACCCTTCCGCGCTGCTGCCAGGTAAGCAGGCCGCGCTCCCCCTCGCGCTCGGGTGTTGTAGGACAGCATAGACATAGGGTGTGGGTATATATGGTTTGGGTATACAGAATGCATTCTCATAACGCATACGGTCCGTCACGCAATATCGGTATGCATTATGGGCGCATATGCACGAATAGAGTAGGCGTCTATTGAGGAATATTAGCGCTAAGTAACGTAATGGCTATAATGCGTATAATATAGACTACCGCGAGGGACTGGGCCCTGCCGAAGCCCCCCAGAACGACTGTAACGAGGCTTGTTGCATGGAAAATATCAGTTATGTCTATTGTGAAACTCTCGCTCAGTGTTGGTACACATCCGAGGCCCATTCTGGTGTCACAAATGACGTCGCCGACACTGAAACCGACCATCATATTATGCATTATTCATAGACAGGCCTATGCATTATGCGCTTCTAGATTCCATGCATATTTGGCAGGGGACACGCTCGGTCACAGGCCCCTCCCATGCACAAAGAGAATTTATGCGTGATGAGGTCATGCATAATGAGAATGTCTTCTGTATATATAAGATTCCGACATATGATGGTAAGAGGGTGAGCGGAGCTGCATGTACGATCGGGGACAGACGCAATGTGCACAGCGGATCGACAATGTCCATGGGTATCGCTTAAGACGAGGACGCAGAATCAATGACCATAGTCCTCGATGGACTGCACGTGGCTCGGGCGCGGCGACCCGGGAGGCGAAAGCATCAAGTTGAAGTATTCATTGGGATGCTGATCAGGGTATTAGTCCGTCGAAGGACACGTAGAGGCTGATAGACGAAGGCGTACCAATGGGTTAGCGCTTCCGATCTGCAGGACTTGTCAGTCTCGTGCGTTGTTATATCGCAGAAAACATCGGACGTACCTGGGGTATTGAATCGTTACCGTCGAGCTCGCCGATATCCTTCCCTTGCATCTTCAGCTTCTCGATACGCTTGCGACGCATAAGCGTTGTCTGAAAGACGTCTTCCCTGTAGAACATTTGGTCAAAATCGATGTTCAATCAGATCGCAGTCGAAGACGTACGTGACCTTCCTCATAAGCTTGGAGATCGAGCACTTAGGCTCGTCGCCTGCCATATGATTCGATCAGCATACACACATGCGCTTGGAAGGAAGAGTATCCTACGTAGCGTGGCGATGAGTGACTGTGAAGGTAGCCAAATAGGTAAGCGGTGATGCTGCCATCGGAAGACGAACGGGCGCACCTGGGTCATGGTAATAGATCTCTTTGACTCCCAAGTCCGCTCGCCGTCACTGCATGCGGAGAGCGATATCTGCATCGAAGTGTGTTAGTACAGTTGCAGCGGCGTACGCAGGCATGATACTCACAACGTGCGCCCTCTCCTGTCGAGCATATGGGCACGACGTACAGATGGGTAGATCCCGAAGATCTTTCGTGTCCTGGCGCCCGCGTGACAGCGGCGTGCACTCGTCATATGGCATGCGGTCGTAGTCGATGTCAATCAATAGTGCCAACTTGAACGGCGTGGAATGATCGTGTCAAAGGCGGTTGGTGTAAGTGAGGGATGAGAGCAAACGGAAGACATTTTAGCGAGCTGGAATATAAATGGAAGTAACTCGGCCAACCTGACTCGGGCTGGACCTGGCCTCCCGTGCCGTGTGCCACGAGTGGGATGAGGATGTGCTCCATGACGACATTTTCGGGGACCTATGTTGCAGGCCGGCCAGAAACGCGAGAAGGGAGGGTCCGTCGGGAAACGTGCCTGGCATGATCTCCCTTTCCTCCTCTACCCTGGCGAGCCATCGGAGCTCCACGTTCGTCAGCGACGACTGAACGTCACTTGCGGTATGGTACGTTCCTCCAGGAGTGGCGTTCGGTAGTGGCGGAGTATGGGTCGTCGTCGAAGTTGGATCTTGATCCCCGAAAGCTTCGCCTGAGGTGAACGGGCCTTGCATTTCGTGCTTACTTGGGCAGAGCAATTGGGATACCACGGATCGGCGGGCGTCCCCAGTATTTCGTGATGTTCCGTCGAGTGCGGTGCGGGGATGCGGTTCGCTTGAGGGGTGTGGCAGGGACTCAGGACAATGCACGACGGGCAACGGTCTAGCTTCGGGGCTCGAAAACACGTAGGAAAGGACTGCAAAAGATGTCATTTCAAAGGATACAAAAATAGGGGCTCAGGTGACCTTTTCTTTGCAATGTTCGATGTAGCTAAGAACAAAGACAATATAATGTGTATAGTATGCGAGTAACAAAGAAGTAAGTATGAGTGATAACCCGTGTTATTGTCGAACGATGTGGAGAAAAGGTCACCTGAGCCCCCGTTTTGTACCCTTGGAAATGACATCTTTCGCAGTCTTTTCCTACGCATTTTCGAGCTCCGAAGCCAGGCCGTTGCCTGTCGTGATGTTGGCGTCTTCGGGTCGTCAATACTTAATAGCGCTTATGTAATGCTCCACCAGTGCATGCACTCGTGCGCGACATCGCCACGAGACAGGTTCAACTAAACGAGGTGACTGAGCATGCCTTCGTTATCTCCAACTTGTCGGAATTCGTCTTGATCCCTCATGCAATAGCCTCTCGGACCCTATGTTCCACAATTACACTGAATTGCCAAGGCGACTGCAAATAGATTGTCGACGTTATCGTAGTAGAAGAAAAGCATACTATCGATGTGAGAGTGTTCAAGTAGGACAGCATAGACGTAGGGTATGGGTATATGAAAATACAGCATATGACGCAAGAGGGTGAGCGAATATGTATATATGATCGCGGATATCCATGGGGCTCGCTTAAGACGAGGACACATAATCGATGACCATAGCGTCCTCAATGGACTGCATGCGGTTCGGACGCGGAGAACCGGGGGGCGAAAGCATCAAATTGAAGCATTCATTGGGATGCTGATCAGGGTATTAGTACGTCGAATGACACGTAGAGGCTGATAGACGAAGGCGTACCAATGGGTTAGCGCTTCCGATCTGCAGGACTTGTCAGTCTCGTGCGTTGTTATATCGCAGAAAACATCGGACGTACCTGGGGTATTGAATCTTTATCATCGAGGTCGCCGATGTCCTTCCCTTGCGCCTTGTATTTCTTGATGAGCTCGCGATGTCTACGCGTGGTCTGAAAGACGTCTTCCCTGTAGAAAAATTGATCAAAATCTACGTCTAATTGAATCGCAGTCGAGGACATACGTGGCCTTCTTCATAAGCTTGAAGATCGAGCACTTAGGCTCGTCACCTACCATATGATTCGATCAGCATACACGCATGCGCTCGGAAGGAAGGGTATCCTATGTAGCGTGGCGATGAGTGACTGTGAAGGTACAGGTAAGCGATAATGCCGCCATCAAAAGAAGAACAAACATACTTGGGTCATGGTCATGAATTTCTTTGATTCCCAGGTCTTTTCGCCATCACTGCATGCGGTGAGCGATATCTGCATCGGAGTGTGTTAGTACAGTTGCAGCTGCGTACGCAGGCACGATACTCACAACATGCGCCTTTGCCCTCTCCTTCCCAGCCCTCTCCTGGCACTTCCCGTCGCATAAAACGGGCTTGACTTCCGGCTCCAGAGTCGAGCACCGCCGGAGATATTGATCATACAAGTTCCGTCCGGGGATGCTGTCGACCAACTGCAGAACTTTGTCCTTTGCCAGCGTGCCCACCGTGTCCGAGAAGCTGTGGAAGGTGAGCGACCGCTTGGGAGGAGGCTGAGTACCGGTCGCGGAGTCCGACGCGCGCTTGCGCTTGGCCTTCTGGCGTTGGCGAAGCGGGTGGGTGTCGGAACAGTGGCGGCGAGGGACGCGGGCCGCGATAGAATCGAGGCGATAATCAGGCTTCGGAGATCCAGGTACCGCGAGATTGTCGACGGTCGTCGCGACCTCGAACATGATGTCGCGGCTCATCGGCTGGTACTGGTGGATGCGTAGTTGTGGGCCGGGGGAGCCCCTCTCACGATTGGGCTCGTGCTCAGGGGGCATGGTCTCGGGCTCTACACGCAGAGAACGGAATGGGTATCTTGCCTGCATCAAAGAAGGGGCATGGACGCACCTTTACAGATGATCATTGGCACCGAGGAGTCAGCTACATCCTCCCCCATGTCTGTCGGTCCTGTGGGCTGTGGCTTGGTAGATGCTCGTCGTGTGCTTGTGCGACTTGGGCGCTTCGCTGATCATGAACGGAGTTCATGGATGTGTCGGAAAGCGAACATATAAGTGCTCACAAGAACATCCGGAGTGACTCTTGCACGGCTTGCCGGGATTCTGCGTCAAGAAATCGTGGAAGACCTTGTTGCATTCGTAGTGCTCGAGGTCCAGAAGTGTCCCAGAAGTGCAGGCGTCGAATACGGCGGTAATGCACGATCCCCGTGGAAGCCTTTCCACGAGGTGAAGTCTCAGTTCCTGAAGACGCGGATGAGTGTTAGGAGGAATGATTGAGTTGGCCGTGAAAGTACATACATCGTCGAGGATAGGCTGGACCTTGTCACTGATCCATAAAGCTAAAATGTCTCGTCAGAATCACCGGGCTTAGGCGAAAACAAGTATGGGCTTACCTTCGTCAAATCCATCGGGCTCTGTGTCAGTAGCAACTTGACTTCCATGTCCCGAGTCTAGTCCCATGCCCTGAGATACGAAGGATACGCACGAGTAGATAGACTCACAATAAAACATGAACTTGTCTCCGGATCTTGCGCCGTTTACAAACCTCTTGATCTGACTAATCTATTTCAGGGGGGAGGTCCGCTTCGGATCGCAAAAAAGGTTATAGGCAGACGTACCACGTTCTCCCTCGTAGGTTGCAGATACTCAGGCGTCCCGGCGTCATCGAGCATCAGAACAATCTCGTCTTCGACGAAGCCGTACTTCTCTGGAGCAAGGACAGTAGCATGTGAGCTGCGCTTGCGCAATAGTCGATGGCAGATTGCCCGCAGGACTGACCGACGATGAGGTCCCTCCACGCCTTGGCATCTCGATGCGGGGAGGAGAGCTTCGCCTGCGAACTGCCACCGATCCCGATGATTAGGGCACGTCGCTGCTTGGAGCGCTTTCCGAGTCTAGTCCGAGGCATAGGAAAGAGGCGAGATTGGGGAGGGAAAGAACTGGATGAGGCGGTCGCGCAGAGGATTCGCGGGACGCACCAGTGGGGGTGGGGGATCGCTCCAAGGCCCCTTTTGTACCCGATTCGTCCTGCCGTAGGGAGGATGAAGGTGTTGTATAGCGATGCGGAAAGAAGATGCCATGGCTGTGGGGCTCCTCCAACTACAGCGAGGTTTGTGGGCGTCGAGGCGAAGGTGAAGGGGTCGGCCATCGCAATCTCCGAGCCAATTCCCACACCCATTCGACCGATATCAGATCCCGAGCCTGCTCCGTCTGCCTCCGCCTTGGCCTATCTACGACCGAGCGCAAGCAACTGAACAGACAGCAGCGAGACCGGGTGTCTCAGAGCTGAGTGTTTAGACGAAATGAATGCCTGTATGACGACTGGTCACTCCGCTGTGTAAGGCTGTGCCTTAAGCCTGTGAGCAGCTGCTAATCGCCGGGAGCATCCGTTGCGACAGCCTTTCAGCAGGGTGCGGATGCATCCGGTGATCCGTGATGCGCGCCCGTAGAGACGCGCCTCTGCGCATGGCGCGCATCGTCGCGTGGCTGTGATGCGCACCACACGTCCATCCCCTTTCGCCGTCCTTACTCTCCTCCCCCTCCTCCTCCTCCCCGCTCTGCCCAGGCAGACGATAGCGGCCATACGGTCGACTGTCGTCTGCTATTGGACTACAGTGTCACTTGGTGACACTACTCTCCCCTTCCCCTCCTGCCCTCCATCTCGACTTCCATGTGACGTCCTTCACCCACCTTGCCGGCCACCCTCACAACGTCAAGAGCGCACGAGGACGTCCATCCGGACGTCCTCAGCATGGAGATTAGAATATGGGGGCCAGGGCGATGTACCGCGGCCCTAGTTTCGGTGAGTCTGCTCGGACCTCCTCCCCCTTCCTGCCTCACCCATCCGACCTACCGCCCTGCCTTCACGCCCGCCTCCTCCGCCCCCGCATCGCTGCGTCGCCCGCCTTCACCTTGCTGTGTCACCCACCTCCACCCACCTCACCGTCCGCCCTCCTCCTTCGCGCCCGCCTCGCCCGCCATCGCCTCGCCGCGTCGCCCTACTCTGCACCCGCCTCCTCGCCCACCTCCTCTGCGCCCGCGTCACTCTCACTCGCCCGCGTCGCCCGTCTCCCCCACACTGCGCTCCTCCGTCCTCCCCTCCGCGCGGTCTCCGCGGCGTCGCGGTTGTGCGTCGCGCACAACCACCTCCACATCCTCCCGGTCCCCCGCCTCCTCCTGCAAGCCCTCCACGTCGCCCTCCCCTGCCTCCGCGTCCGCCCGAGTTGCCCTCCTCCTCCTCTTCGTCCTCCGCCTCCGCGTTGCCCACCCCCTTGGCTTCGCCCGCCTCCGCGTCGTCCGCTTCCTTGCGCGTCGCCTGGCGACCCACCTTCGCGCTGCCCGCCGCCTGCATCGCCCGCCTCCGCCCACCTCGCCCGCCTCCGCATCGCCCGTGTCCGCGTGCGCCGCCCTCCTCCTCTGCGTCCTCCGTCTCGCCACCCATCTCCGTCTCCGCGTCACCCGCCTCCGCCCACGTCGCTCGCCTCTGTCCGCGTTGGCCCGCGCCTCCACCACGTCCCAGCCCTCCGCGTTGTCGCGGGGCTGTAGTATTACTTGCTAGTCCTACTGTAGTAGCTTACTATTAAATATATTTTGATCGCAAATTCTATACAAAAAGTGTGGTCTGAAACAAAGGGGGAGGTGAGCTCACTGTCGGAGACAGTGAGCTCGAGTGGAAGCGCCAGAGGCGCCGGTGGCCAGACATGTCGGGGCAGCGTCGCGCCCGTGGCGGCGCGTGAGCGCGCCTGGGGAAGCGGCAGCGGCGTAGATTGCAACCGGCGGGCCGGCGGGGGTGACGGATGCATCCACACCTTGCCGAGAGGCTATGGTAATGGATGCACCAGTCGAATAGCTACTGTAGAGCCTGTACAGCGTAGACACGAGGAACAGTATGGCACATCCACAAAATGGCGACCGTATCGCTCACGGGACCTTCACGCCCTCCCATTGGCATGAGCGAGGGACGAGAAACCACATCAGGAAAAAAGATTTGCTACGGAGCACAGCCTACAGACTATGTAGGCTCGGTAGGCGCCAAAGTCGTCGGTGCGCACTCCATAGCACTCCATAGTACTGTCAAAGCATACCGTAGCAAAGTCTAATGACAGCCAACACAAACCAGATGAAAACATATTAATAACGTGCACAACAGACCTCTTAGCATATCTTAGCATACCACTGGCAGCTGGGAGTGCACGACACCTTGATGGTACTAGCAGGGACGACAAGGTGTGTTGTACGACATGGTCCTCGCGGTACCAATGGTATATTAATCTGTGTGGGTGTACTTACTACTGACTGTAGCCTGCTCCAACCGAGTGCCCTGAGGACCAAGAGCACGCCTGCATGCCACACGGGGACCACGCGCCAGCTCGGTGCCGGTCTGTACCTCGTCTCGTCTTACGTGCGACCTTTTTCCCTCTTCTCACGTTATGTCCCTCCTTCTACAACCCCTCCATACGGCTCACACATTCCAGCAACCCGTTTGGCTGCCAGATCTCCGCCCCCAGCTCGACGGACCTCAAGCTCGTCGCCACGCACCCGACCAAGGCCAGCGACAAGCTCACGATTGGGTTGACGTCTAGCTCTCAGCCGAATCTAGAGTCCGTGGGCGTCGCGCGCGCGCCGCATTGAGCTCGCCCGCGGGTGGAGGTTCAAATGCGAGTGTTCGCGCTGCCTCGCTGAGGCGCTCACGGAGCTCATCATTGAGGACGCCGCGAAGGGTGCGGTCACCGTCGTCGCCCTGGACGCCTTATGGCGTCGAGGGCGACGAGAGCATCACCTGGCCTGAATAGACACTGGCGCCTGTGGATTCACACGCGTGGCCCGTGCGCAAACGCGCGCTTCTGCCACAGCCAGCGCCAGCGCATGCTTTCCCCGTCTCCTCTTCCGAATCACCCGCCTCCTCCTCCTCCTCCTCCCTACATCTCCCGTTTCTTCATTCTCCTGTTTACTCAGGTCTTCCAAGTATCAACTCAAGAAAGCCCCTGCTCTGCCAACAGCTACGAGGGTACGCCTAGGCTTCGCACTTTTCATGCTGCTGAAGGACCTCTACAGATTGGTCCGACACGAGCTCCCGGCGTGGGTTTACGTCGCCAACTCCCCGGCTCCTGCTCCGCGCTGAGGCGCGCGGGGGTTTGTGTGATGAAGGGCTGCAGGTATGTGTCCTCTGCAGTTGTGCGGTCGAGGTACTTGACGGCCGTCTAGGTTAAAGAGCCTTTCTTCCCTGTCTGCGGCCGCGAGGCTGTTGCCGAGAGCACTTGTCCACGCCACCTTACGACGTCATGGACGGCGGGGTAGATTACACGAAGGGCGCGGATGACCAGTGTGGCAACATCTTCGACTGTGAGTATGTCTCCGTTTGTGCGTCCCCCAGCTCAGCTCCCCTCTGACCTCCTCTCCTCCCCCATCCTCACCCACTTGGGCTGGTGTGCGCACGTCGAGCTTGCCTTTGACGCTAACCGCGCTGTCTTCTCCCCCGCGCCTGCCAACGAGTCCCCGCTCCCAGCGGTCCCGTTCACATACAACAAGGACCAGTACACGGAGCTCCCTGGACTCCTCGCCCTCCATGTCAACCGGGGCGGCTACGAGGGCCATTGCGCGCACCTCGCCCTTTGGGCGCCCACCTTCCTTGCCTTCAACGGTCTCCCCGGTCTCGCCGAGTTCACCACGCCCTCCAGCAGGCCCTAGCCCAGCACGGCGACAGAGGAGGGCATGGCCGTCTACGTCGATCGCTGCTACCCGTCGATCGCGCGCATCATGGAGCGCACACGCGGACGAGCCCGTCTCCCCGCGCCCCGCGCTTGACCGCGTTTTCATCATGGCGAACGGCGACTTGGTGTGAGTCGGCCGGTCGAAGAAGGCGCTCTTCAAGAACCGGCAATTTGCCCGGGTCGTGAGCAGCCGCGACCTCGAGCCTGGTGCGGAGCAGAGGTACGTCAGCCAGGCGGTGGATGAGCAGAGAGCGTCCATACGGGTGGGTTCGGCTTTTCCCATTGTTGTCGTTATTTGTTAGTAGTCGCATGTACTCTATTGTAAGGCTTAATACAGTTTTTTGACCACTATATCAATCATTCGTGCGCTTTGTTGAGTGCAATGGGTTGCTTTGAACATGCTTTGGACGAATATCATAGACGGTGCATGCTGCTATGCGGTACTATGGAGTGCTTTGTAGACGCCGTGCGCGACTATGGGAGACCCCAAAACGGGGGGGTTTCCTATGGCACTTCGGATGCTATATAGCCCACATAGTGCTCTGGAGCAACCTGCTTTTTTCCTGATGCAGGTGCTGAGCGTTTCAGCCAGAAACATGGCTACCGTGTGTCTGCGTCCCGGGCCAGAACGTCCGGCTGCAGTCGGGAATACTCGCCCACCGACTGGACCATAAGAGCCACGTTGCCCGAGACAGACATTACCTGAGCGGTGGACAGGAATAGATGTACGTGCCGGACGACACGTGCATGACACGCGCATTGATGTTATCCAATGTGAGCCTAACTGCCCACTCGAGCCTCGAGAGTATGCCAGGGCATGTACTCATGAATCACATCAATGGACATACCTGAAAGCAGCTCACGGCTGGAGGACCGACGGCCAGTTTGCCCGCTCGAGGCGCACGCGGTCGACACGCAGCTCGGGGTCATTTGCCACGTGTTGGCGAAGAAGACCAGAAGGACCGCAGAATGGCACGGGGGTGCGACTTCAGCAAGAGACAAAGAAGCTCGAGGCACGAGATTATTTTGTTCCTGTCCCGCTTAGCTCAGAGTAGCACAGTGAACCGAAGTCCGAGCCTTTAGAGACCATCCTAGAGCGCACGGTGTAGCGAAGCGATACAGACCACAGCGCATGCGACAGCAGTACAGAGTACGAGTACGAAGCCAGATGAAAGCGGGGGTCCAATGACGATGATGTGATAGGGCTGCTTATATATCATATTGATGAGGGGGAAAATAATACTCCGCCCCGCACCCGGACCTCCCCGCGCTGACCAATCTAACGAAACTTCGCAAACACCACAGTCTCGAGTGAAACAGACAATTAATATATGTGTATGTCTGATGTTTTGAGCGTTCGATCTCCACTACTGTTACCAGACGGTGCAAGGAATATGGCTTGTGGCATCATATGGATGACGTCATCCATGGACGCTCCTTCTTCTACTACCGCCACCATCTGGTACTTTCCCACGCCTCGCTGCCACTGGAGCGGACAGCGGTCGTGTGGAACTCTCTATCTCTAGCTTTATTATCTACTCTTCTGGCCTACTAGTAAACCCCTAGACAACATGCCCGCAGCCAAGAAGGCGGGTGTGACTGGGGGAGCCCCCGGGCCAATGACGCGCACCGGGTCAGGCGCCCTTAGCCGCCCGAGACGGACGTACCTGTTGAGCGACATCGAGACGTTGACCGAGCCCAACGTGCTAGAAGCTATCAAGGGCATAATACCAAGTGCGGAGGCAGCGCATGCCGCCCTTGCCCCCTACCAACTCGAATGGGACGACGACGTTCCGCCCTCTCAAGAGCAAGTCACCCGAGCCCTCGCCATGGTCGCTCTCGTGCCACCGAAGCCATCGGAACACGTCAAGGTGGTCGCGGCCTTGTTCTACTTCTCCAAAGCAGTGCAGGAGGAAACGGTGAGCTCTGTCATTGCGAATCGTATCTTGAAGAAGGTCAGGAAGGGGATGGAGGAGTTACGTGCATCCTCAGTGGAGGCATGCAAGGCGGCGGCGTCCTCCATGGAGGCGACGCTGCAAATGATGAAGGAGAAGGTCGAATCTGGGGGTGGCTTAGGAGGGGCTGGAACGCAGGGGGAGCTCGCGCCGGCATTGGAGGCTCTATCGGACCCGTCCTTTGCGCTGGTCATCAAGCAGGCCGCTGCGCAGGCGACGACGCGTTAAGGCTGCATGAGGATCGATCCACGGATGATCCGGAGTCTTATCCGTGGATCATGGCCATTTTCGGGCCCTGATCTGGATCCGCATGGATCAGATCCTCCGGAAGAGCCGGAGCCGCGCGAGCTGGAGCCGCAATCTGCGGATTGAGCCTCGAACTGAGCCGCACATCATGGCTCAGTGCGGATCAATGGATCCTGCAGTTGATCACTCTCACTATAGCAATGCATTCATGAAAGTATAAGTGTATTGCAGTCAAAAAATATTACTCTATACACATTCACTAGCTCTACAAACATATAACTATGACGCGGGGCCGCAAGACCGCGGGCGACGAGGAGACGAGACGGCGGTGAGACGGGTGACACAGGCGGCAGGCGGGCGAAGTGGGCGAGGCAGATGACGTGGGCGCGACACGGGGGCTGTTGAGGCCAACGTGGGCGAGGCAGGGGAGGCGAGGCAGGCGACGCAGAGGGGACAAGGCCGAGGGGACGGAGGGGGCGAGGGCAAGGTGGGCGACGCGAGCGCGGGAAACGTGGGCGTGACGCGCGGGCGACGCGGGCGTGGGCGTGGTGCACAACGCGAGGGCAAGACGATGGTGGGGTGGGCAAGGGCCAGACGGGCGAGGGAGAGATGGGCGAGGGGGTGATGGCAAGATGTCGACCATGCGCGGACGACGTGGGTGACGCGGGGGACGCGGGGCAGACGAGCGAGGTGGGCGACGCGGGAATGCGGGCGAGGTGGTGAGGTGGGTGACGCGGGCAGGCGATGTGGGTGAGGGACGGGTAGGCGGGGGATGGGGCTGCGGGCTAGGGTGACGCGGGTGACGCGCGTGAGACGTCGCTGAGGACGACGCGGAGGTGGCGGTGGGTGAGATGGGCGACGCGGAGAAGGCGACGCGGGGACACCGATATGTCGGCGGAGCGGACAACGCGGGGGGCGAGGGCGAGAGGTGGGGTGGTGGCGAGGGACGTGGTTGACGCAGACGACGTGGGCAAGGTAGGACCAGCGAGTGCGAGCGCGAGTGTGGATGACGCGGACGACGCGGGCGCAGGCGCGGTGGAGAGGGCGAGCGCGAGGATCGTCCGGGGGCGGGACGGCAGGGGTTGTCGGCGTGGGGTAGGGAAAAGAGACGCGGGGAGCAGAGGGGGTAGTGGAGAACTCACCAGCGGAGATCGGGGACACAGGAGCTCGCCGCGACCCCAGACAACGGCCGGCCGGCCGCGCGTGATGACGCCGTGTGGACGGAGGGTGGGATGACGCGGGGCAGGTGGGCGACGCAGGCGGACACGGACAAGGCGGCGCAGGCAATGCGGAGGCAAGGACGAAGGCGAGGCGGAGAGGGCGAGACGAAGAGGGGGAGGTGGACGAGGGCAACGCGGGCGGAGGGCGACACAAGGCGAAGGTAGAGGGCAAGGGTGAGACGGGGCAAGCCGGGGGATGGCGAGGCGGCGAGGCAAAGAGCGCGAAGTGGACGAGCGCGACGAGAACAAGCGGACGAGCGTGAGCGTGAGCGTGAGCGCGAGACAGTCAAGGACGCGCGGGGAGCAGAGGGGGTGGGACTCACCAGAGAAGATCGGGGCCACGGGAGCTCACCGCGAGCCCATGGCACGACTCATGGGCTTGAGAACAGCCGCGCGCGCTCAGGCGATGATGCCGCGCGGACGGAGGGTGGAAGGTAAGCGGAGGAGGAGTGAGGAGGAGGGATGATGGCCAACGAGTGACGCGCGAGACGCCGCGTTCGATTCCGAACACTGCCCGATCGGGACGGATTCCCGCATGCAGACGCCGGATGCCGGCGCCAAAGGCGTTCAAAGTGTGAGTAGGTCATGTTTTGTCTATAACTCAGTCATTTCTTGACAGAATCACACGAAAATTATATCGTTAAAAAGCTGCCTCAAAGGGCTTGTAGATTACGCACATTTTGTAGTATATCACACGAGACTCTGCGGATAATCCGTGGATCGAGCCTCAGAGCCGCCATATTTTGGCCTTGTTGATCCGGAGCCGCTGGGAGCCGGAGCCGGAAAGAGCCGGAGCCGCCCGGCTCATGATCCCCGGCTCACGGCTCCGGATAATCGCGGCTCTACCCGCGAAGTGAGCCGGACCCTCATGCAGCCTTAGTTCAGACTCACGCAGACACTCGCGCAAGTCCTTCGGTGAGCACACCACCCCACGGCAGTCGGCCGCACGGAGCTATGTAGGGACTCGATAGCGGTGTATTTAGTGTACATGTGTACTGGTAGTGGTTGCGGAAATTCAGCTATTTTGTTCCCCCCTCTAAAGAGTGTGAACTGCGTGCTCGTCCTGAACTTCCCGACAATTTGATCTGTAAAATGATGCTATCTTAGACTCCTTCTTTTTCTCTCCCGTCTGAGATCTCTCACACAATGTCTCAATGAAGAGTCAAAGTGAGAGGAATTCTGAATCTCTCAAAACAACTCAAAGCATCTCAAAGCATCTCAAAGCATCTCAAACCTCTCCACAGAGGTTTTCAGAGATTTTGGGAAATACTGATGCACTCAGCCGCTTGTCGAACTCCTCCCAATCCACCGACTGGAAGTCCTGGCGCTCTGGGGGCTCGTAAGCGAGGAGTTCGTAGTCGATCTCGGTGTAGATACTGCCGTGGGGTGGTGTGCTCACCGAAGGACTTGCGCGAGTGTCTGCGTGAGTCTGAACTAAGGCTGCATGAGGGTCCGGCTCACTTCGCGGGTAGAGCCGCGATTATCCGGAGCCGTGAGCCGGGGATCATGAGCCGGGCGGCTCCGGCTCTTTCCGGCTCCGGCTCCCAGCGGCTCCG